GGAAAGGAAAGGGAAGGAAAGGAAAAGAAAAGGAAAAGGAAGGAAAGGAAAAGGAGGGAAAAAGATAGAAAAGAAAGAAGGGGAAAAGAAAGAAGGGAAAAGAAAGGAAAAGAAAGGAAGGGAAAAGAAAGAAAGGGAAAAGAAAACAAAGGAAAGGAAAAGAAAGGAAGGGAAAGGAAGGGAAAGGTAGGGAAAGGAAGGGAAAGGGATGGAAGGGTAATGTATGGAAAGGAAAGGGAAGGAAAGGAAAAGAAAAGGAAAGGAAAGAAAGGAAAGGAAAGGAAAGGAAAGGAAGGGAAAGGTAGGGAAAGGTAGGGAAAGAAAGGAAGGGGAAAAAAGGGAAAATAAAGGAAGAGAAAAGAAAACAAAGGAAAGGAAAAGAAAGGAAGGGAAAGGAAGGGAAAGGTAGGGAAAGGAAGGGAAAGGGATGGAAGGGTAATGTATGGAAAGGAAAGGGAAGGAAAGGAAAGGAAGGAAAAGAAAAGGAAAGGAAAGGAAGGAAAGGAAAAGGAGGGAAAAAGATAGAAAAAGAAAGGAGGGGAAAAGAAAGAAAAGAAAGGAGGGGAAAAGAAAGAAGGGAAAAGAAAGGAAGGGAAAAGAAAGAAAGGGAAAAGAAGGGAGAAGCAGGGAAAGGAAAGGGAAGTTAGAGAAAGGCACGGAGAAGAGCCAGGACGGGAGGAAAGAAGGAAAGGAAAAGAGGGGAAAGAAAGGAAGGGAAAGGAAGGGAAATGGAAGGAAAGGTATATCTACTACTTTTCTAAAACTTGAACTCTCTACTGTTTGCTTCTGGACTGCAATTGCAGGGTATCAGAAATGGTGTGATACAGAAAACATATTTGATTTCTGATAACACAACCAATAAAATCAAACTCTGTCTCGATCTCCTTCTTTTCCAGCACAGTGAGAATCACGCACATTACAGCTGGTGGGTATAAACAGGGCATTAGAAGTGGCAGAAATTTCTTCTATAGTTTCGTGTTCTTCAAACCATAATAGAATTGCTAATTACACTTTTACTACAGATATCCCAAATCAGTTCGTTATCGCAACCTTAAAGTACTAGGCTCAAAACATTATTAAGGCAAGTTTCCCAAAACAATACTGGCTATCAACTGCCCGTGTAAAAAGGCAAACGCTGTAGCTTGATAAGAAATAGGTCAACATAACAGTTGAATTCTTCAGCGGCTCTTCTCAGACAAAACAAAACTAAAACATCGAATTCATCCATCTACTTTCATTATTCCAAGTCAGTAAATTTGCCAAATAAAACCCACTTGTAATAATAAAAAAGAATTCTTGACCTGCTTAAGAAATTCCGCGCTTTTTATTATTCGCTTAATCTTCAAGTTTATGGCTTTTCTGTTTCAATTGAATGTATACATTTCTAGTTTGCCGTTGTGTTTATCACATTTATACTTAAAAAGCGATATCCCTATCACTGATCAACGATAAAAACTAAAACACAATGGTGATAAATTTTATAGCATCGTGGGAAAAAATGAAAGGGATAACGCTGTAAAAAATTGTGGAAAAGATTGGGTCATATGATCAATCGAGGGGCCGTATGATCAAGCCTGGATCCACAAGTCACAAAAGGAATAATAATGATATATTTAGGTATCGGTGCCATATAAATACTAAGAACAAAAGATGCAGCAGAATCATGTCTAAATACTAAATGCACCAATCACAGCATAGAGCTCTTCTACGAAGATTTTTTTTAATAAAAGCTCTAATGCTTCTCCTCATTTTCTCATCTCACCATCACATCACTATACCTGCACAGCCCCACCTTCAGCCCCTTTTCCCCCCTCCTTTTAATTACTGTCCAATCTAATTGTATTTTTTTCCTTTCACTCTCTCGACATTCCGTCCCTTTCCTTAACATTATAGTAACACCACAGCGTAAAGATTTTTACCCGCACTAACAGCAACGTACATAATACTCCTTTAGACTACATAACGCATACAAACCTTTATCCTTTTAGAATTGAATAACCCAACTGATTTGCCACTTGCGTATAACAACTAAAAGAGAGGGATAAATGAAATATAGTAATAAACCAATTAGATACAAAATACACAGAAGAACAGCTTCTTATTCACTCTACAAAACTTGGCATCTTGCACTAGAGTAAAAGCTATATTGATATAAGCTAGGGCAGGACACACAAGCATGTCGAAGGGTAGGCCATAGGACATTTTAAGCATTGATAAACAATTTGACATTTTTCCAGTTCCTTAGTAAGAGTAGTAGCTCGCAGCAATCCAGCTATTTACGTCGAAAAAAGGGGTGGAAAAAGACAATTTGGAAATCTGAGACAGCATAACAAGCCATGAAAAAGCAACTGTTACCAATTTTAACATGATGCTCTCTAAATCTCCCAATATCAATTTACTTTAGATTGATTTCCTCTTTATTCTTTTGACATTAACGTCTATAGTTTCAAGAACCAGAAATACTTTTACAGAAAATTAACGGCTTCGATGCTTCTGTAGCAAAAAATTTGACGATTCCTTTTTAATTGCTTCCACCAGCACACTATTTTTATATTCAAGAGTAAATTGAAGCTCAGGCTGGCAGTTCTAGCTTTTTCCAAAACTTTGTGGCTGGATTCCTCTTAATTCTTAAACTATGCGTTTTAATTTATTGGGTTGCAATTGTACTCAAAGTGAATACTCAGGCTCCTTCACCAACAAAGCACGCCTGGATGACAAAAAACTTCTGGCTTTTCAGATGAAATTTTATCAAGGAGGTTATATAACTTTGCAATACCTCAGCCGCAACTTATTCCTGATTTGTTCTTAACTTTTGACCACTTGAGGCTCGTGTTTTTAACATCATTTTTACAAAAAAGGAGTTTCATTATTGTTTTGGGTTTTCAGGTTTCGCACCTAAAATGGACGAGTGAAGGTGAAAATCGAACAACGCTCTTTATTTATTCCTTCGTTACGCCGTATTGATAAAAGCAGGGTTCCTGAGATGAGCACTTTACGGGAGCGTTAATCATTTAATGAAAAGGGGCTGTATCTTGTTGTAGTTGATGTTACGCAAATAATGATAATAATTGAATTGAATGAGGTGAAACCAGCAGTTCTCTAGTGAAATATATCGCTGAACACTTGTTTTAATAGAGAACCATTAACCTTTTCTATGTTCTTTTATTAGTTTAAAAAGCAGCACATTTTTAACAATTTATTAACAGTTGCAGCTGCCTCGTACATGAAAATGTGGCGGCCACCCAAACACACGTGCCCAACCACCTGTCCTAATTGCATATGTTCTTCTTCTTTTCTCCGTCATTACAGCCACCATGCTGGCAGATGCCGCAATTTGGGCGAATTTTAACTGTTATCCCTCATCACGAAAACTACAGCGACATCTGCAAACATTGATAACGATCCTTAACCCCATTTTTCTCTAAAGACCACTGAAGCTGTATAAAACTCGCCGGAATAAAAGGAATAAAAAGCCGAAAAAACAACTTTACAAACTAACCCAGATTCGCGCCGGGCTTAAGAAACTCAGACTACCTTTTGGTAGTGCAAATGTGACTTTCCCGGGCTCGACCCCGATGTAACTAACGATGTAACAATGCCCTGAATTAGTTTTTGAAAATTGCAGCGTTCATGCGTTGAGCCAAGAGCTAGGCCAAGCTCACACCAAGCAACGCTTACCCTAAAATTATGCAAAAATTAGCCCGGTTTAGATTTAGCAAGGGCGAACCCGGGTTAGTTATCATAGTATAAATAAATAGAACCTAAGCGGCCAAGGACTCGGTCTTTGCTGTGATCGAACTTTCGATTACCTGCCCCCCCCCCCATCTTTTAGAAATGGAAATAGGGGCAACCCTTTAGGTTGACCGCAGTTGACCAAAATAACAAAGGATCATTCTTTTATGCTTTCCATTCTGGAAAATATGCGGAGAGGATATCACAAAAAGAAACACAGTTTTCGCAGCTGATAGGATAAAATCGTGCAGCAATCAATTTTTGAGTCAAACAGACATAAACTGTCGTGAATAAAATTGTTACGTTCCTACGCTGCTTTCGTAATAACAAATGCTGGAAGAAATTTTACAGAATCTTTCGTTGATTTCTTTTACATTCAAAAGTTGGAAAGAGATTTCAGTTTTATGTTGTTAAGCGTACAATACATTGACTCTCTGGATCCTTAAGATAAACGACACAAACTTGAGATCAAGGGTATTAAAGTTCGTTTGACTTAAAAACAAAGAAAATATTAACAGTTAATTCCTATCTTAAATCTTTTCATTTCTTGTACAATTTAATAATCGTGCTGCAATTATTGATTAGGGTTGGTGTCATCTTTGAACAACGGGTTAGTGTTATCCAGAAAATAGCGGTTTTGCTAAGAACAATGTTTTATCGTTTTCTACAATTATAAACGTTTTCACTCTTTTTCTTGATATTCAGTACGGGGAACATTTAAGAAACCCATAAATATGTGTTGATTGAAAAAGACCAGTATTCAGAAGACGTTTACTTTCCCTTTTTCTCAACAATTTAAAAAAACTCCCTCAATATCCTCTCTTGACGTCCATGACTTCTGGCAGGGCCACCGAGTTGTTTTGGAGGCCCCATGTGAGCGAAGCGAACAGAAAATACTTGCGACCATGCTCTTTAGATAAGCTTTAATTCATTCATTCCTTTAAATGTTTAACTATTATCTGGCAAAATTTTTATGCCATCAATGAATTCAATTTTAAAACACAATTCACTATTTCACGAGGCCCACTAGACCTCGAGGCTCTGGGGCAATTTCCCTCTTGAATCTGACTTAATTGATGATTTCAAAATTTCTCTATTTTATACCTGGTTTTGCGCGATGGAAGGGCAAACACTGATTCTTGTGTCTGTTTATAAGCTACTGGTTGGCCTGGAAATAATTTTTATAACACTGTTTTTGTTTTCGGTACTAAGAATCAAAGAAACGTGTCAGAGTCCCAGTTTCTAGGTGCTAACTTAATGTATTGTAGGAAAGATCGCCGAAACAAAAAACAGTTGCCGAGCAATCCAATTGAATCAATCCATAGATCTCAGCGAACGAGCCCTAAATTTGATCCTAATGTAAACCATAGCGAGAGATGCCAAAGATTTATATAAATCTAGTTTTTAGATAAAACGTAGTCCTGCCGAAATCCAGTCTATTAAGGAGATTAAAGAGTCAGTTGGCGAAAAACATCGAAAATCGCTGTTTGCAGTAAAGATAATCCTTCTTGGTTTCAGTTGATGTGGCTTAAAGAGAACTTTGGATGAATCCAGCGAACAGGGAAACAAGGATACAATGAAACGAAAGTAACATGAAAATCAGGAATAGTAAATGCGACGGGAACTTGACAATTTTAAAAGACAGAAGTGGTACACGTTCCAAAAAAGTCACACAATGCGATTCGATTTGTGCTGTAGCTGCATTGAAATGGTTTATATAGATTAGTGTCTCCTAGCCTCATTTGCATGCATTTATAACAAAAAGCCAACGCTGCACACTAAACGCAAATTACTATCGAGGACCGTCTTCGATTACCCTTGTGAATTTGTATAGGAGACCGATATGTATGTATATAGTATGAGTTTTAAGGATTGACAAAGGAAGGACAGAGGCATTTGCGCTGGCGGCACAAACAATTATCATTTATCCCGCCTTTCCGCATGTCCGTAGCTCGTTGAGAACGAACTATCGAAGCTCTATTTCAAAATGCGCATTTTTTGATGCAAGATCATAATTACATTTTCTTTAAGAATGATTATGTCAATAAGAATAACAATTTTTACCAAAATCATTCCAAATATTAATTAAGCAATTTGTGCGGTATAAAAGGCTGAATATGCGGAAGGGGGAGGGGGGAAGGTGGAATGACAACCCGGTTCAATTTTAAACAACTCTCTGTAGCGCCATTATAAAATTAAGCCTCACAGACACAGTACTACTAAGAAACTGATGAATAGGGCTATTTGCTTGCAGTTAAATGCTGCTAGATCTATAAACCACAATAACAGATGTATAGCCAAAGGAGCGCCGGTTTTGCTCGATGACATTTATTTCTTTTTGAAATATTACGAGCGACTTACGAAGAATCCTGCCGGAATCCCGACAGAAATCAGCTGATAAATACGACAACTATTTTAAGGTGCAAAACAAAACGATATTTGTTATCAGATTAGACGGCATGCGTGTGTAGGTCATGTGACAGACACGTGAATTAATATATTATTGACGCTCAAAATAAACTGGATAAAAAACGTTTTGTTTGCGTATGCAGAAGTCATTATTTGCTGCTGTGCATAAAATTGCCCGTGATAACATTCTTCTCCCTTTCATAAAACACACATCCATTGCAATCAGACACTGAAAAGGTAAATCCACTTCGACAGTAAATACATGTGTGTTCATGAAAGCGGTGTTCAGTTTATCAGAGATTAAAGCAAAGTGTGATTGAAAACACAAAGGAAACAATATGTATTATGGTAAACTTGCTGACTGGAAACAGGGAAGCAAGGAGCTGACTCTGATAGCCCAGATAATAAATCCCCTATAAGTGTGTGGACAATTTAAAAGAGAAGCTAATCAAATAGATACTGAAAAAGGCTTTGGCTATAAACGTTTTAGCCATGACTAAGGAAAACAGCATGTAAAAGAGATAGGTCCCCTGATGACTTGAGCTGAAGTTGTAAAATGTGGTCTCAGAAATAAGATAAATCAGATTTAATTTGAAACCGTACTTTCTCGGAAAAAGAAGTTAAATTCACGCTTGCCATTATAGCTTAATTCACTGGGTCCAGAAGCAATATGGCCCTCTTTTCCAACTCAAGAAAAGCTTGTTTTATGATTCACATCCCCAGTTTTTTCATACAAGTCTTCAACAACACATATTTAAAGTTTGATTTTATTTGTGGCAAAACATGAATCTGCAGCAGTTATATCGACCAATATCTGTCCAGACTGACTTTGAATTCAACTATGTTGGCACATAAATGAAAATAGACAACACCTAGCATTGTACCTGCAAAAATTCTGATGCAAATTTTTGTGGGCCAGCGCCATTGCTTTTTCATTGGTTGGGAATTGTCGCTAATTTTACTTAAAAATATCGGCATGAAGAAGATTATACCAAGGATAATGCGCTCCGGAAACAAATTTAATAATAACAACGGCAAATTGAAGTGCGCAGTCCCATCAAAAAGGTGAATTAAGAACACAAGAGCAAACAAGCGAAGAAATTCCTGCTTTAAGCTTAAGAGGTTTTAGACAGAAATATATCTGAAATCGCTTCATCGAAAATAGCCCTGTCGCAAGAAGTAAAGCCTTTTGCCTTCCTGATTTGTGCGAATATTATCAAATTTTATGTCTATTGTGTAAACAGATAAACCTGTTGCGTAAGATACTAACAAACCGGGCCTTCACCTAAAAACCTTCTTAGTACAAGCTGCGGCCATTACTGCAACGAAATTGTACGCCGTGAAAGGCAAAACAATCTAGCCGCTACTCGACTGGCCTAGCCACTTGTCAAAAGAGCATAAAACACTACTGCGGAGCATTGGTTCATTGCGGAAGAATCAGGCAAATCAAAAGGACAAGGAAAATTCCGAATGACATTACAGTCGCAATAGAATATTTTCCCCTATGTATGGGATGACATAGTTGTGTAAATGAATGGGACAGACGTGTGGTTTGGGAGCCAGGAGTCTTAAGCTCATAAGAGAGAAGATATCCTTCAAATTCTTTTCATGATATATATTTTCAAACAAAGAATTGAAAAATTAAGCAAAAGCCTCTCTGAATGCAGACTGAGATTTCAAACAACGAAAGAATAATCCCAGGATTAATGATGAAAAACATTTCAAAATAATACATACTAACTGTTAGTCATTCTACTCGGCAGAGCGCAGGCCTTGAAAGTGGGGTCAAGACTTTGGTGTGTTTGTGTCGCCTTGAAACAGGTGCAAAATGAGCCAAACTGCTTTCACAAAATATTATTCATTCTATACACAGGCCTTAACAACTGTCTACTACGCTACAAATTGTAAACATCTTGATTACAGCGTACAGATGCTCTTTTTTAGAAGATAGCAGATAGCTGTTGATCTTTGACATCTTTTAATAAAGACGCTGGTTTCGCGACGAAAGATCTTGTAAATTTTGAAAATAACTCGCACGAAAAATTTCGTATATATTTGAACTACTCTGCGTACAGACGTTTTTGAATACAACTTAGCAATATTCATAGATTCGTCAGCAAGTTTATACCCTTTAAAATATTTTAATATCAGTTATCAATTTTGTCAATTATAACCTATTTCTCACTTTCTAGATAGCTGAAGTACAAGTTGCAATAATAAGAAAGAAAATCTCTGTCTCCTTCTGAAAAAATTATTATCTAACATTAATGTCTGATGAACTAATTCGACTGTACAGCAGGACCTTTAGAGAATAGCAGATTGATGGTGAACTTTAGATACTCTTAACAAAGAACGCTGGTTTCCCCCAGAAAAATAACAATTTGAGAAATAGCTTTTTCATTAACAAGTCAATGTTTCATCTGAAATGACGTTATATTGATTCCACATTCAAGCAAGCGCCGCCATACCACCACGACCTTGGATAATAACAAAATTTTAACTTTTGTTTGGCAAAAACTTTGCTGCCACAAATTTCTCAACTTAGCTCTGAACTTTTCATGAAAAACTGTCAAAATAAAGCCACAATTTGTATTGATATGTATCTACCAAGCCCCTGTAGATACGTTTAGCTATTAAACTTGGTTACACTTCTATCTGGATAAAAACCATGAAAATTAAATTTCCTGTACACACCCAAAACATATGTTCTCTACCTATGCTAAAATTTTAGCAAAACCTGATGCCACCTGAACTGTAAATTCTTGCAAACGCTGCCAGCTCTACCCTAGGCACTGGTCTAACTGATTTTAAACTGTCGCATAGTCCTTGTTTGTCAGCAATGAGGTTTGAAACTGGATTCCTTGTCATTGAAGGGAACTCTATGCAGTAGATGGATTGATGACCTTCCAGTGGAAACGGATAGAAACTATTTGGGAATATTTTGATTTCAAATTGACGATGTCAAACATTTTTATACTCGGCGTGATATGAAGGAACGAATGAGACCCGTTACATCACAGCTGCAGCCATTGAACAAGCGAAATATAAGAACTGGCAGAAAAAAGCAAGGTATTAAATGCATCATTAGATTTCCAGATGATTCGTCTCTGAATCCTTTGTGCATGGACGCAGAATAATGTGTAAAAACAAACAGGTTTAAGTGCTTACCTTGCAGGTTAAAAGAAAATGCTTTCTTTTATCCGAATCGGAAATAAAAAGTGTTTTTGCTGTGCAAAATCCCTAGAAAAAAAGAACATTTGGACTTAAGTAATTTTATAAATAAGAAACATACATTACATTATTTTAAAAAAATACATAGCGACATCACGATTTTGTAAATGTACGATCTAAAGGGTTGTTTTGTCTCGAATATTTTCGAGATTGTTGTCAAAATTCGCGGACTAAGTTTAGGCGATATTATAAAGGACTGGAATGGAAGCTGAAGTCATTTTTAACAAAAATAACATTTTAGAAATACAATTTTTCATGAAAATGATGAAAACTTTGCAACATACTAAAGCAAACGATTCTGACACTCCTCGGGGTGTGAAATGTCGGTTAGTGAAGAAGAAGTTAGGTGGAAAAGGAAAAGAATTATGTGTTGTAACAAAAAGATAAGTGCAAACAAATCTTGATTTTAAGTTAAAGGAAAAGGTTTACATCAAAGAACGTGTTTTGACATTGCGAGCGACTTCATGTAGAATGTCCAGTTCATATTTAAAAAGAAGTAAAGACGAAGTTTCAGCTGTCCAAATTAGCAGCTGTTTCACCCTCTAGTATTTCGACGAAAATAATGAATAAAGATGAAATCAAAGCGATCTTAAATGATCCAGATTTTAAGTTCACAAGGATTGACGATGGGTTTAAGGACAAGATAAGCGAATACGGCGTCATCACTGTTGAATATTTATCAATACATCAGAACACTGCCAAGTTTGAATTGGCCTGCTTAATAAAGAGCTGAAGATGTCACTTAATAGCATTGGAAAATTCATTAATACAGCGTGCGCCTGCTTTTAAACGACCCGAAAATAAATTGAGCAGCGGACAGAACATCTGCAGCATATGAATCATGCAAAATGCGATCTGTATCTGAATAACTCTTTGGCTGGTAAAAAGACCTCATCGCTCGCCGCACAAACAGTTCAGACAAAAAGTGCAGCTCGTTTTAGAGCAAGTTGAAAAACCTCAGAGCCACATACCGTTTTAAAAATATTGATAAAAACGTGAACAGAAAATTTAGTTCTTATTTCAGATGACCATAGAAGGCCGGGATCTTTGTGCTATGCGAATAGCAATTAGATCTCAACAAGCTAAAACACTTTGTGGATATGTCGGATAGCTTAACATTGGACCTATTCTAGCTTGAAACTATACCGCCTAATATGCATCTAAACCATGGGGACTTTGCCTTTTGAAACAGCCCAAAAGCCACTGAACGTCAACAAAATATTTAAACGACCCTAATGGAGTTTCCTAAGCCTGGATTATTAAGACGTTTCTAGATGGCATCGATTTATCGATATCATCGTGGTTTAAACGAGAGACAAAGGACTTAGACCATTGTCTACTTGCCTAAATTTATCAGCGAGAAAGCGAGATTTAGCCAGATGGATTTAGGACATCTTTGTATTCCTATTCCTATAAAACAGCTGCCCAAAATAGAGTGATTGAATGGTCTTTGAAATATTTACCAACTGTAAACGGTTCGAAACTTGTCATTGAACTTAAAGCTTGAAAAACAAATGGGTTTGAATAACGGTCTATTGTTTAGTGTCTTTACCTTATCTTCAAATGTTAGCTGTTGTACATCTTGATCGCTGTTGCCAATACCAATAAATGCATATGGCCAAATATCGAATTCAGATTCACCGTCTCTGTCAATATGACGCTGTTTCTTTTGCCAACCCTTTCCAAACAAATATAAACATGGAGGTGGACAGAAGAAGCTGCAAACAAAAATTGTCAATAAAAATCACTTCACAAAATGCAGTTTAACAGAACATGATTTGTCACTTGATAGGCAAAAACAACAACTTACCTCTACTGATCTTCACTTTACTTTCTCTACTGATCTTACATATTAACAGTTTGAGTGTGAAAATCTGATTTCATATACAAAATGATAGAACAGCTAAGAATTTTTGTGTGTTTCATGGTATCAATCGAAACAAAACTCAAAGTAAAATTATCCCAACAATTTAACAAAGTAAGGTAATATTAACAAACAATCTTTTTAAAAATAAATTTCTATGGATACAGAGCTTTAAATGTCAAATTGGCTAAAAAAGTTCAATCTTTTCGAAGCATTATGGATTCTTGCCAGACAAATCAAATCAATTTTAGAAATACACAAAGGATTTACACAAAAACTTCATATTGAATGCTTTATATGGACTAACAAAAGTTTTCTATTGAATGCTGTGGTAAGAAGATGAAAACTTTATGAAAAAGTAGTTAAATTTTAAGAGAGATCTCATGTCAAAAAGGAAACTATTGTAATACACCAACACACAAACTTACATCTAAACAATTCTTAGGATATCATGCTTTAGGAGACAGCAAGGCTACTTCATTTAAGAATATTTTTTTTAAAAATATGTTTTGGCCAGCTGATGCTTACAAATTACTCGATTTTTTAGCAGCAAACTGTCCTTTAGGAGAAATAAATCCTTGTCTTAGAAAATTTTGAGGAAAACTGAAGAAAAGGAACTTTCAAAATATAACCACATTTCCTCTTACATCTTTCTCTGTTACAGTATTTAAAACTTTTGGGAATAAGAATCTCTAGTGAAAAAATTAAAGCTAAGCCACTTCAAAAAACTGTAAACCCAATTTGAACAAAGCTATAGCTCTTTAGTTTGATCACAAAACACTAATAAGAAAATAATAAGGACTTTGAAATGGAGAAGATTCTTTTTTACCGTTTTTCATTTCCATATGATTTTTGTGCCACTTTTGAATGAAGAATAACAACAGTCTGATGGTCTTTTTCTTTAAGATATCTTTGCATTGCTTCTTTTGTTAATCTTTGCTGTTGGTACTGATTATGATAGCAACCATCTGGACTTTCATATCTAAGTTTACACATATATGATCAGGATTAGCAAAAAATAGCATGACCATATACTACGTTATTACAAATATATAATTTTAAACATTTCATATTATGTTTTTTCATAACCATACATGAGTAGCATATAATCCACCTTTCTATTGTTCATTTTTAAGCTAAATTAAGATAACCATAAATGAAAAAAATCATTCAAAAAGCAATAAATTATGGATAAAGACTTGAAAAAAGCTTCATTTCCTCAAAGAGGCAGAAACATAGGTTAACATCCCAGAGCAAAAAGGCTGCTTGTGTTTGGCCAAATTGCAACTATAAAACAAACAGCTGCAAGGAAAGCTGCAACAATCACATAAACAGAAAGATGTTTGACATTTCATAGAACAAGACTAAACCATAAAGAAAAAATAAAACATTTCAAGAATTGACCAAAAGCAAAAAATGGCTTGAAGTAAAGTCAGGTCAGGCTTTTACAAAGGTTGAAAAAGAAAACAAAAACAAACGTCATATTATGGTAAAAATTGTTTTGTCAAAATTGTGGGTCACTCTTGATTGATTTCTTGTCTAGACCATGCCAATGCCCCCTCAAATCTGGCTCAACAACAATGCTGCTTGAAGATCTGATATGAATTCATTATATAAATTTCAAAATCACATTTGCCATACCTCCCTGTGTTATTATTTCGTTCTCCATCACCATAAGATGGTGATGGCTGAAGAGGTGGCGAAATTTGTCCTTGCTCTGCTGAATTTCTCACAAAAGATGGAAACTGCATTCGTGATGGATCTCCTCTACTCTCCATCAAAAGATCAGGACTTGTTTTTGCAGGCAAAATTAAGGTTTCTCTAAAATGTAGTTCTAGAAAACAAATTGACAACCATTGATATGAAAAGTACCCTTTGGAAACGGATTTTCTATGGCAAAACATACCTAAATCTAGTAAAACCATTTACCTAAATTTTACAAAAGTTTATGCTATCAATCAAATTATGACTCTCAATATGGGGACATTATGAGAAATTTCTTTAGGTACATCCCTGTTTTGATAGATGGGGTGTTTTAAGAGTTGAAAACATAGGGAAAAGGCATTTTATCAATGAAATTAAAAATTATCAGTGAAACTATCTAATGTACTCAAACATCATTTAAAAAGAGGATGAAAAAGTAAATGTTGAAAACTACAATTGGGATGAAGCATGTTACTGCTTCTGAAATAAGAGAAATGCATTCTAAACCAAAATATTTTACAAAATTCAGAAACATAGGAAGTCTTTAATGAAAATTTTTGGAAGAAATAAGCATTCTTGCTTCATCTTTAAAAATAAGCTTTATATCCATATGCACTTAAAGGGACAAAGATTTCTAAAAAAATTTCTGCCAAAATAGTTTTTGATTACATGTAAATAAATGATCAGATTACAGTGTTATAATCTCAATGCTGCCAGTAATTTTCAAAGCAAGACCTATTTACAGCGCTTTAGGAAAATTATAGTTTAAAAGTTAACTTTTTGAATTTCTGAATAAATTCAACTTGATTAAGTTACCCAAAAACATTACTAACAACAAATATTACTTCATTTTATCAAATTATTATACAATTCTCTTTTAAAAATTTTTTGTGCACCAGACGAAGGAAGTTGAAATTTTCATAAGGATATATTTAGTAACAGAAAATGCAATTGTGTTTATTATACGCTCGACATGTACAGCTGAAATGAAACTTTTGAGCCTTGGAAGTCTAACGGAATCCTGTGTACAAAACATTTTCCTTATCGACATAACAATCAACTGAGAATGAATTTGATGTTTCGTAGACTTGGCAAAGGCATCTCGAATTTTGATTCGTACAAATTTTCCTAACTCGTCTAACAGGCAGCACCCCCTGCGTTTTTTGACAACAATCAATAAAGCCACTCCTGTGGTAGGGCCTACTTTGAAGTCGTTTAATTCCTTCCTACCGAAACTTTAAAATCAATGAACATTATATTGATAAAATCGTTTTAATCACACAGAGCCGATGCTTTCATTTATAAACGAAACAACTGAACTTTGTCAACTTTAAAAACAATCACCCTAAAAGCAAACACAGTTGTTTTCATCAAGCCCCGTATTTCTCCGATGGAAATGTGGACGCGATATTGCCAAGTTTCCTGCGTGGGAAAAACTTGAAGACACCGTGAGAAAACCACTATTAAAAGCAAAATGGCCCTTCATTTTTGTAAAACAGTGACTTGTTGGGCATCCAGAATAATTAAAAAACAACTTTTTTTAGTTGTGTTAGGAGATCCTATCGAAGTATCGAAATTGTCTATAAACAACATATTGATGGTCTGTGGATAGAAATAGAAGTAGCGGAAAATTTCATGTTTACAGTTGATCTGTACCTGCGGGTTACCCGTCAAAAGCCCGCAAAGAACAATGGAAATCACTTGCAGGACAATACCCTTATTGTACAAAAAACAATAGAAACGCGGGTAGATCGTCAAACCTTAGCCGGGCAGAAAGCAAGAATGGTCTTGGAAAATTCTCCACTATGCCTTACAACCAAGGAATTTCAAAAAAGAAGTACAAGAGATATATCACTTACCGTCCATTTGATAACGAGCAAAAGCAGGATGATCAATACTTTCCCCCATCTTCTCAGATAGGCCTAATCTCTGACGCTTTGAGACAGGGATATAAGCTGAACCATCGCCTAACATCCCTCTTCCACTTAAAACGTCAATATGGGGGCTTGATCTCATATGCAGTCTGCTAAGCTCACCAGCATTATGTCCTACAGCAGAAGAAAATGCAGACTGGTTTGCCATCGCACTCCGAAGGATGGGAAATTGAGGTTCTAACTGCAGCTTCGTTTAGTTCCGACCTCCTAATTCAAGACGTAAAGCCCTTCATTCGTACCTTTGAGAATTCGAGCGATTGCCATGAGAAATTATTTGAATTCAATTTCTTTACTATGGTAAACCAAGAAATAAATCGGCCAGTTCATATCCATGACTTCACCCGAACGCGAACCATTTCGGTCATTTGTCTCAGCTCATCTCTGCTCCACTAATGTCTCTCAATGAAATACGATATGCCCCGATGACGAGCAAAAAGCTCTTGACGTTTGTGCTCAAAATATACACGAGAGCGGTACAATATCGGCTGCCTTCGACAGGGTTGATAAGAAAATGCGCTGGGAGTAAGTGAAAATGCCTTCAATGTTTGCTGAATGTGAGCACTTCAAGTTGTGGAAATTAATGGGCTCAGCTATTGTGCGTAACTTTAGCTGACAACAGCGTTTAGAGGCGAAATTTGAACGGGCTCTTTCCACTGCTGCACGTAACACGCTCTGTTGCCACACATATCAATTCACATGTAAATGTTACAAAACAATGCGACTATTCCAAATGCACACCGTTGGCCGTTTTTCTTGCACTGCCACACGTGTTCGCATAACACTCCCTCCTGAATCGAATCCACAAAGTAGGCTGACAAATGTTCTGCCAGGGGGGGTTGTAACCAAATTGGACGAAAACAACAGTTTTCCGCAATTTTTACGGTCAAATAATACGCTTCTTAATGGTTCACATAAATCATGGACCCTTTATGTGTTTATGAATAATCTCTTGATTCATAAAACATGTAATAAAAACAGTTTAGTCGGTTATTTTCTAGTTATTGAGTGGATGTGTTTTGGATTTTCCGAGTTTCAAACGCAAGTGATTAAAAGCCTTGATCATTCTTTTGTCCAATTAAGGCCCGACAACCCAACCACAGAAAAGAGCAATCGCCCCCCATGCATCTGTTCCCCTCCTTTCCTTGTACAAACACAAACCATTTAGCGCCTTATGTTCAGGCAGTACTTCTTCAAAACAAAAAGTTCAATATGCTGGTCAATGATAAGCGTGGGAAAACCTTGTCATGTGCCATAATCGTGGGAAAATGCTGACCACCATATGTGGGTCTTTTATCAATTATTAATTGTTTTCTATTGTGTTGTTCCTTGTGGTACAGGGCGATAACATCCTGGCATCACAGAAAACTGTGGATCAAATCGCCATATAGAAATGCCTGTGGGGGTATCCTCAACGAAAGGGGATTAGTTTGATGACAGGCCAAAATCAGAAACGTCAGGGGGAGGTTCAAGAAAACATTATTCACCTGGTTTTAGGTGAAAACTTGACTGTTCTTGCTACAAAACCCCCTAGCAAAATGAATGATTGCGGAAACCTAATTTGAACAGTAAACAAAGTCCTTGTATTGGTTTTTTGTTTATATAATTAGCTATCCTTAAAATAATTGAAGGCTTGGATAAAATCATCCATGTACATTGTTTACAAAAATCCTAAGGGCGCACACTTTTCTCGCGTGATGTATTGTGTTGTGAGGGAGAACCTCGTATAGGGAGCGGCCGGAAACATTAATGGTTCAATTTTTCTGGCAGTAAATTTTCAAGATTTTTCTCGTGTTGGTTATCTAATTAACACGTCACCCATCTCATTCTTCAAAATTGAAACAGAGTTATATACTGTTCACCAACAAAGAACGTAGACAGTTCATAACCTAAAAGGTAATTGCCTCTGTTCTGTATATTAGCTGCTCGACCTCTTAAATTTTCAAAATGTTTATAAAGACAATTTCTTCATTTGCAACCTTGCAATGTTCCAGAATGATGCTGACAAATAACTTCGAATTCAAGAAATGCAAATTCGTGATCGAAGAAAGGGATGTGGTTTGTTGATGTTTTTTTCTATTTCGGTTTTGGTAATAACAAAATCAACCTTTTTTGTGCACAGTTGTTTTAGCAAATAACAAGCTTAGAATGAAGAGTCTTCAATCGATTAAAGAGAGAAGACGATCTCTTTTTTATTTGTTATGACCTTGCCTTCGCAGGTCCATGCAATAAATTCCGTATGATTAAATATGTACTGCCCCAACCTAGCCCCCTTTTCAAATTAAATATAAGCAGCTAAGTCGGCTTTTACCTCTTCAATAAATCTGTGTCTATTATGCGTTTGTCTTATCTTAAAATAATTGATTTCTCGTCGCCCACCAAAACTAGGGCGAAAAGACTTCTCTTGAAAAGACACCATAAGGAGATCGAATGATAAGGCCTAACGATTTCCTGGACCCTCTACATAGCTACACTACCAGACCAGGCTAGTTCTTTTGGACCCTTATTCTGACATTTTATTCTCTGGCGAATGTCAGGCGAAAAGCTTTAAGCACGTTGTAAAAAATTTGCTTTTTTCAAAGCAATTCTCAAACCTTTATTTCAACAGACACTACTCTGATGCGCTTTTTTTTACTTTAATTGAAATCCTTGCTATTTTGAGTTTCAACACAGTACTCCTGCAGTGATTTTCAATTGTCATTGCTGTTAGAAAATGTCAAAGGGAGTTATATTTTTAGCATTGTGTGTTTCCCTGAAATAAAAGACAACGTTTTGATCAAAAAGACCAACCAAGACATTGCGTTCCAAACATTCTTTGCATCTGGTTTAAAAGTGAGGAAACAATCGCAAGAAATCTGTCGTGGTATTTGAAAACTTTCAATAATTTCGCCTGCTATTAAAGAAACATTTCAAAAGATTCAAGGCAAAAAATTTTTTTGGTAAGCTTAGAGGGTAATCACCAGAAAAGTGACCTTAGGGGTAGCCATAAATATTTCACATTTCATGGGGTTCTACTGGGATAAAGAGCCAGTATAAATTGTCTAAGAAATGTTTTTAAAGATGCGATCTCTTGAGAGGAAGAAATTGTCTAATTTGCAAGTATTTTTTATAAACGGCTATGATGACTTTTCCAGGCCTAGACACGGCCATTCTCCAAATTAATAGAAATTGTGAGTTATGGTCGAGGGAAGTTTCCTCTACAATTCATGGGACCATTGAGCCTTCTCTAGTCTCTTAATAGTTTAATATTCAACAAAGTTTTATAAAATGGCAATTAATCAGCAGAAAATTGACAAATAGCAAATTAAATGTCCTGGTAATTTACATAAACATGAAAAACCCTCCTGGCTGTTTTGTCTGGCATATTTACCCTCCCTGGGTGTCTCCCCTAGTATTATTTTTGGACAAGACTTTGAATCAATTGTGAATTATCACAGGTTGTTAAGATATTTCATGCCGCTTGTTGTATCGTTATTGTACTATAGCTTTGTTGTAATGTCATGTATATTTCCATGAGCAAAGAGAAAGAATGACCAGATAAAATGGTCAATAGGCTTGAATATCTGTCAAGTTTTCTACTGGAGAAGGCATAGTAGTCAAAATAAAATAAACACGACGTAAACAATAGACATCGTTCCTTTTGATACTTAAAGCCTTTCTTTGGTTAAGTTCTGATTCAAAATGTATTCTAACATGTACCTTTGCCTTTCGAGTTCACATCACGTGCTAGTACATTCTTTCACCGATTGATTTTTTCCAGAGTCAAAAATTCTCAGCAAAAGTGTAACCAGGGTGTTGTAGAAGCCCTTGATTAGTTCTGATAATCTAACCAAAATGGCAGGAGGTGCAACATAAAGTGCCATAATCAGAAAAGCTTTCTGCTTTTTCTGCATCTCCCATTAATATTTAATTATTTGAGGCAGACTTTGCAAATCCTGATCATATTTTTCTTGAGTATTTTCTCCATTTTTGCTTTAAGTAATATTACGACAACAGATGCTTTATTACTCATGCATGCACACGTTGGATTTTCTTTACATATGAAGAAAAGATTGGCAGACATTTCAAAATTCAGTACCCTTTCCAGCCATTCAATTTGTAAAAAGACTAGAGGATACAGAAATTGCCAAAACTGTGACAGCGGCATCCCGAAGGAAACAGGAGTATTGAAACATGATTAGGTAATTTTGCTCTTTTAGATAACTGTAACTGGAACATAAGTAAAGCGCCCGTGCAGTTATGTTAGATTTCAATGAACGTTATTTTTAATGTAATGAGCCTGAATCTGTGTTATCTTGCCAGTCTCTTTTATATTTGACTAGATTTCTGCATTGCGAAATCATTTCCTTGTCGTCCTCAGGTATTTAAATGTACAAGAGAGGAGCTACCAGCCACGCAGTACAAGAGATGAGCTACCATGACTCAAGCCAGGAAAACTTAACCAAGGAAACCTAATCGTTATGGTCAGAAAGATGTTATAATCATATACAAAACAATCTTTATGTATATATTTACGTCAAAAAAGATCCCTTCATACTTTCCTACAGAAACTGCGCATTGCAAATTGTGCATTAAAAATTTTTCCTGCATATCAAAACCTTTTAAATTATCTTCTTTAAAATTTATCTTGCTGCATCTCAGTTGTTTTTGTAGATTGTAAACAAATTTTGTGGCTGTTATTGGTCCATTTCTTTATTTATTGGCTGCTTTTTATTTCTCCTTCCCTAGATAATTTCGTGATCAAACATTTGCGAAAACACAAATCGTTCGGCACGAAACACTTCTTCGAAGCGTATCTTTTCTTTTAAAACTTGGCGCAGGCTAAATTCAAATGAATCAAAATACAGGCTAAACTTGAAACGTATTAAGAAACAATAAACACATTTGCCACACGATCAATGAATCAAGATGCTCGAAAAAGGAAATCGCTGTATTTACCAAAAACCGAGAACGCTCTCCTAGGTAGGTGAGAAGGTAGGAAGGGCTCTCCTAGTACTGATCCCCCACCTCCCTGTATGTTTTTGGTCTCAGCATTGAAGGTGATTTTAAATCATGAGAAAAACTAACGTTGTCTTGGTATCATCATTGGCAAAGACCCAGTAGCACTTAGGTAAATTGAACTTTTCAAGTTTGGAGCAGCGCAGCTAGAAAGGATGTGTGATGCTCGCGGGTGATGTTTGTTGATCACGTGCAGGAACATTATAGTTAAAAATTTAGTGGAGCATGGAGATACGGACACAGAAGAAAGGAAGAGGTAAGAAATGCTATCTAGAAGGAAGACATGGAGAGTTAGAGATGTCCCAAAAGAGATCAGAGATGGTGCCGAAAGAGCATCTGTCAACTGAGAGGGTTCCTAATGGTTCAATTGGAAACCAGGGGCTTAACCAAAATGGGTGAAGGTGTACCATACCCCATACAAGCTTTAGGTTTGTCAGAAAACAGAAACTAAGTTTACTATCTATTCGCCCAGAATTTCAAACTTTGTAGAAATAGAAATAGTGATAATCAAATTCATTGGTTTTGACATATCCTATCAACTTTCCCATAATTCCATTTTCAACCTATTCAGCAGCACACAATGTACAAAAAAGAGCCCAAAAGTTTTAAAAGTGCAATTGTGTACAAGTTTATACTTGAACAGTTAATGTTTTACATTCTACAGTGTCAGCTGACCCTTCAAAATCCCTGATTCTATAGAAATCAATTAATTTCTATCAAAATGCAATATCTTTCACTTTGAGTCTATTTTCTATGAATAGAGACATTATGTAAGAGTTTTTTTATGCATGTCTCCTTTGGCCTCAAATGATTTTGTTTCATGCTACAAGAATTGAAAACGAAGTTTTAAATGGAGAGACAAAAAGTAGCTCAATGCTTTAATTGAAGGTTTCAGAGTCAAAAGCTTCAAATTGATATTGTAAGAGCAAAATTGAAAAGCTTTGCCAAGTAATGACTGTTAATATCAAGACACACGTAATATTTCTTCAAAATCACCAGCAATTTCCACATGTTTGGCATAAATATAATTTCAATAGAATACTGCATGCTGCTTTCTTTTCATTTTAAGGTAGAAGTGGTTGGCAGACAGGGTAGAAATTGCATTTCATAAACCTGATATTATTTAACATTTTATATATCAGAAACTTAAACAAATAGTTCAATTAAAGGACAATCAAATGCTCATCAGATTAGATTTGACACTGAGCTAGAATTGAAAAATTAAAATATCATAATGTTTCAAAACTGTAGAAATGTTTGATGATGTCATAGCTCATCATGTTCAGTTGCTTGTGTCATGAATTCATCATAGCTTAAGACGCCATCTTTATTCTTGTCATCCTCTTGAAATATTTCGCCAACCATTGTGTATAACTCAGTTTTATCATCATCTTTCGTCTTCCCTTCATGCTTCATAATATGGTTTGCCATTTCCTCTATGTTTATCTGCCTATCACCATCTGCATCAATTTGTGAAAATATGTCATCTGATTCTTCAGAAGAACCTAATGGTGGAATTTCTTCAGTAGGTTCTTCACTGCTAGCCTCTGTTTCTGGGGAGTCTGATATCTCAAGGAGCTCAATATCAAATATCAATGTTGAGCCTCCAGGGATAATGTCACCAAAGCCATGTTCTCCATAAGCTGTAAAAGATACAATTTTAATTTTTATTCAATAAGGGAAAACGAGTATCTGGCTAAGTGGGGCATGCATAAAACATAATCATTGTCAATCATATATGACATCCTGTGTTATTATATATAAAGATATCAATATTAATTCTACTCTTATGGACAAAGCTTAAACAGTAAAAATGCATTCTTTAGTCAGTTATATTTTGCTCTGTCATTCTCTTCACCTCCATCCCACGTGCTTACATACAAAGATCTCCAGTGTGGGCGAATTTTGGTTAATCATAAAGCAATATTTGAAAGAAAAAAAGATTGACTCAAAAATATCAACAAATAATTGTGAAATATATTCTAACAACACAGGTACACAATAACTTAACAACTTTTGGGTAAAGTTTTTTCAAAAATAGTAAGCTGGGCTATAAAGCAAAGAATCATACCTAACTCTGGAGCTATAACGAGTTTCCTTTCTTCACCCACACACATGCCAAGAAGTCCCTCTTCCCATCCTGGAATGACCATTCCTTGACCTAATGTAATTACAAATGGTTGATTCCGTTTTCTACTTGAATCAAACTCCTTTCCATTCATCAGAAAGCCTGTATAATGGACAGACACTTGATCTCCTTTCGCCGCCTTCCTAGGACAATGTGGGTTTTTTTTGATAATATTAATCTTTAGGCCTTCTTTTTCTAACGTGTCATCTTCCACAGCGTAAACAAAAGTTAGCACGGTGAATAAGGTAAGAGCAACGATTTTCGCCTCCATGTTTCTTGTAAAAGAAGTTAAAATGGCATTTCTTTCCTCAGCACCTGTATTGTTGGTTGAATTCAATGTGACACTTGCTACCGATATTTCGATCTAATGGTGCCACATCAACAGAACAAAAGTCAAGTCTGATCCCACCCGCCATGCAATAGCCTCGTTAATAATAATAATAATAATAATAATCAATTTATTTAAAGTTGGCGCTACATAGCTATTTACAAAGAAATGAGCTAATCCAAGCCAACTGTTAAAACTACTACATCAACTAAATACATACGAGATTAAATGCATAAAATTTTAAATACAAAATGATCCATTAAAAAACTATAAAAACCTGAGCTATTTAAAAGATAGAATTACAAAAAACCAAGCTGTGGCACGAACGTCCTACATAGTTTGCATGTACAGTCTGTGCCATTCCAGCTTTTAATTTCTTTCTTAAACTCATTAATAGATTGAGCATTCCTTATGTGCTGAGGTAAAGAGAGCCAAAGACGCTGCCCTCTATATTTGATAGTTTCGGTTCCATAAATGGTTGTTCTTACTCTTGGTGCCATAAATTCATTATTATTTCTCAAATTATAAACAGCATGACGCTCGCAGAAAATCTCCCTCATAAAAGGAGGGTTGATATTTCCCTTTGTTTTAAACATTTCAATCATAAGATTTCGCAGGTGTTTTACATGAATATTTACCGAGCCATCATTTTCTAGCAGAGTGTTGAAGCTAGAATCATAGTCTTTGTATGCAATTCTCAGAGCTCTTTCGTGTATTCTATTAATCTTACTATTCAAGTGCCTACTGTGGAACATCCAGACTAGTGGACAATATTCGAATTGGCTAATTACAAATGCTCTCATTAAGATTTTAAGTTTATTAGCGTCCATGTATCCAGATATGCGAGCGAGGGCGGTGAGTTTGCTACCAGCCTTCTTACATAACTTACTGATATGTGTCTCAAAACTGAGTTTTTTGTCTATCACAACACCTAGTAGCTTTTCCTCTTCCGAGTTTTCTATGATAGAATCTCCTACATTAACTTTAACCTGTTGATTAGAACTTTTGCCAAGAATAAGTAAATGACATTTGTTTGTATTCAACTTCATAAAGTTATCAGCGAACCATTGGATAGTTATACTTGAGTCATTCTCTAGCCTTGCAATTACATTATTGAGATTTTTATCGCACGCATATAGAGTTGTATCATCCGCGTAATTGCAGATATCCGTATCCATTAAGGAGAGAAGTAAGTCATTTATGTAGATGTTAAAGAAGAGGGGACCAAGAACTGATCCTTGCGGAACACCAAGGAGCAATTGTTTGTAGGTACTGAATGATCCATTAATCTTAACTCTCTGATGCCTATTTTCCAAGTAGCTGTTAACAAGACACAGTGCTTCATGGCTGAATCCGTAAGCATCTAGTTTTGCTATAAGGAGGTCATGTTTAATACAATCAAAGGCTTTCGAGAGATCCATAAGGATTGCGCCAACATTTTCTCCCCTGTTTAAGCTTGCATTCGTTCATACACTTGAAGCGCCGCGTTTTCAGTTGTGCTTAAATGAAAATGAAAAAGGCGCCAAAATCAAACTATTGAGCTGAGCTATTCCTCGAGCTGAGCTAAAAAGATAAAGAACTTTAAAACTATTGAGAACTTTTAAACAAAATGTAAACCCTACAATTTTTTAGTTAAGATATAAATGAAAATTCTTTTCGCGGTACAGTCTAAAAACACAGCAAAAACTAATGACTCTGCAATCGGACAGCATCTATTATAGGTTTGCGGCTTCGCGGCCTGGACCCAATTTTTACGCGCGGCCTTCGGATTTGGGTATGATTTTTCTACGGATTGCGGCTTCAGCAAAAGATGCGTCTTGCGTCTTTCGGTCTATATTCGCGGCGGTTTACGGCTTTTATGATGCGGTTGCGGCTTCTGGCTGCAATAACGGCTTGCGGCCATGCCCTCCACTCTATACTGAAGGGTGTTGAAAAGAGCTCTAGGGGTAACGTAAAAATGGACAAGCCACTGTCAGTTAGGACAAAAGAGAATGAGGAAATCTAAACAATAGCTTTGATTTGTGTTCATACCATGGAGATAGCATGAGAAACAGCGATTTCTAGCAATATATCCTTTTTCTTATTAGCAAGTAATTGGCTTTTTGCGTTTCTAGACGTTTTGCGACGCGGCCGCGTCTTTGCGCTTTATTTCATTGCGGATTGCGGATTTTGGCTGATTTTTTGCACGGTTTGGCGGCTTCAGGATCCCCTATAATAGACCCCCCTTTTAGATAACCCAGATTTTGCAAAACTCTATAATGACGATATGTTTCACATGATTGGCAGAGCCCGGTCGTCCTTCCATCTAGCTGTTTTGGAGTCGGTCTACACAGGACCGTCGAGAGGGGGGGGGTAACCAGGGTAGTTACCAGGGGGCCCGGGCCTTGAGGGGCCCGTAGAAAATAAGGTATATATTTTTGGCTATGAGCAGCATTGGCAGGGCGGGCCCATGACCCGATTGATATTCGAAATTTAATCTTTCAACATTTGATCAACAAGCTGGTCTATGATGAACGCCTTTTCTTGTTATGGTTTATAATTAAAACATTGACGATACGATCATAATATACTTCTCCAGAAGCCGAAAAATTCGATTGCACTTACATATATCTACATTTAGGTCAAATGTTTTAGTTATTCCTTGTGTGGACTTCCTATAAACGTAGAACTAAATCTTCCATTCACGGCGTACACCAGAGAAAAAGCACATGCGAAAACCAAGACAAATCTAAACGCTATGAAAGTCTTTATCAAAATCACTGAGCGGGATCACGATCCAACCAACCCCTGCGATGCCATCTTACAGGCACAAGTCTGGTGCTCAGAAAAGGCAGGAAAAAAAGATACGAGAAAAAGAAGCAAAGAAGGCCTCTCGCACATTGTTTGAGGTAGGTGCTTACAAAAGAGACAAGGAAGGTGATTTCAACTTTAAAAAAACCTGGCGAATGCTCTGTTCAAAGCACTGCTGAAGAAGAAGAAGACACAAACGGCTTGGCTCCTTCGGTAGACCATGACACCACAGAAAGTAGAGAAAGCACTACTGATTCGTCATTAAATCAAGATACTGTTCAAAGTGGATCATTTAGTTTTGATGTCGGCACATTGACCGGATTTCCAACGATAAAGGAGTTAGAAAAAGTTGTTAAAACTGGTCATTTGCCTCATCCTCCAGAGTTTCCCAAAGATTGCGACGGCCACAAATTTCCAACAACGGTCCTAGATGTGAAGCAGCAAAATGGGGAGGTAGTAAGAAGCTGGCTTGTTTTCAGTCCTACAAAGGCTGCACTCTATTGTTTGCCATGCAGGTTGTTTGGGCACACTATTTATAATAGTTGATTATATATATACTTATATATATAATATATAATACTTATAAAATCAAAATTGGCTTCTCCTGATGGTTGGGGAGCGAACGACAGCTGGAAAAGATTGTGGGAAAAGATTAAGGATTTCGCCATGAGGATAGCAAGAAAAGCAGTTTTTTAAACATTAAATTAAGTCTTATTTGTTTTAATGATTTGTTTTATATAGTCACTAAATACATGTTCTGTTAAAGACCTTAAAATACAAATTCAAGTGTTTCAGAGGCGTTGATTACAAAATTCATGCCTTTTACAGTCCATCTAACTGCATTGCTAAGGGCGTAACCCAAAAAAGGTTTTTGCAGCCTTCAACGGTGGGGCCCCATGACAGTCCCAGCCCTGGGGCCCGGCCCGTCTCTCGACGGCCCTGGGTCTACATACCAGCAAAAAAGTCGCCATTGTTTAGACAGAAGGAGTTCGTTTTCTCTCTTGGACTCTAGTGGTAATTTTTTTATAGGCACGCAGCACTGATTGAACAACTATGTCGGTCATGGGCTTGCGTTTTTCTGATTGGCCTATTTTGAACTACAACTGGGTATATATCTTCCATCGTGTTCTCTCAGATCCTTATTCAAAATTCATTAATTCTTACCACCGCAGCTGTCTACAATACTTATCCCTGGATTCATAAGGCTCTGGTACCCAGGGTATCAAATAAGGCATTCGAGCTCCCTTGGCTCTTAAAAAAGTTATTGGCGAAATGTTTACAAAAGTTGAATTTAAATTGAAGAAGTAATTTGAAATTTCGGCCAAATTTAGGTAACCAGTTGAAATTTTTGGTGGAGTAAGCGTAAAAACAGCGATCAATGTTTTTCTACTATTCACTGCAAGCTTTAGACGCTGAAATCATTATTTCTTGGAGTTGATTTGTAGTTCGAAAAGAAAGTTATTAAAGAAGGAGTGCAATTGCTGCAATTTCGAATGAATAATTCATTTCTACTTTTTTAGACCAATGGATCATTTAATTTTGTGCATGAAATTTTTCAACAGTTTTGGTTCACAGCATATATGACATCATCTCATCGTCATTTTATATGCATTCAAACCCTGTGCTATAAAATGCGCCTTATATTTTTTCTAATAAGAAACAATAAAGCTTTGATCGTTAACCATTATACTAGCTCATAAAAAGATATATAAACTCTACATGTTAGGATATGCATAATGATCACTTTTATTTAATTTTTGCTACGAAGGACAGAGCGGAAGCCCCATGTTACTCTTAAGAAAAACTCAAAGTTTATGGAAACCATCATTTAAATAACGCAAATAACGTGACAAGAACATAAAGTGCATTTTATCAAACTAGTATAAATTGCACATCTCAATTAACATTTTGAGCTTTTGATTACTCCTTCTAATCTCCCAAAAATGTATTTTTAGTCGTGTTCAGTGTCGTAGATAAAAGAGGGTCATTGGGGGCAAAAAACTCACTGTAAAGCCATAATATTGTTTTGTCTGAAAACTTCTGATCTTGTCAGAATTAAAACCTGGTTTGACTTTTTCATCTAAGTGTTTCATTTTGAGAAGAAGGATTTTAAAACTGAATACACTGATTTATTTGGCTGCTCAGAATTAGATTGGCAATCTCTATCACTAAGGTTATGACACTCAAAAGACGCCTCTTTGAGGGAAATAAAAACGCTAATACTATATTGGTTGGGAAATCTTTACATCTCGATAGAATTTTTGTCAGAATTAATCATGTCCAGATAAAAGTACTTGTTTAAGAAAATGCCCACAAATTTACTTACGCTAGAGTAAGTTTCAAGCATTTCAGTCAAATGATCGTTTCCTAAGACAATATTCCAACATTTCCACCAAAAAGTTCACAAAATAATGGTTAATGCCAAATCTCAATTTTGCGAGAAATATGACGTTATTGCACAAAAAGAGCTAACTAATCAATTATTATTGTTAACAAAATTGATACAAGTAAGGAAAGAAGAACCCAAACATTGAATTGCAACATTACCAGAAGAGCGATCTTCAGTCCTAAATAAAATTTTGAAAACTTTCCTCAGAAACCAAGAAAAATGAGACGGGATACTGTTCACACTGTGATTGACAGTATTGCTGGCTACCATGTTTTCCTGGCTCTGCAATGCGTTCTCAACAGTTCATTAGTAAAAACGAGAAGCATCTTTATATTACATATACAGTTAACTCATTATAATGTTCCTTCTCATAAAGAAACTTGACAACAAAATTACTTTTTGTTGACTTCTCAAAACTACCTTCATTTAAATGAAATAAATCTGTAGTCTAATTTTACTTTTAAAACAGCAAAAAGAGTGTATGAAATTGAAAACACTGGAAATGAAAGAAAATTTTGCATTGAAAAAAAATTGCTACATGTAAGACTACAGTGCTCACACATACCTTCCTCCATTCCTGTATGTGCACTTTAATTTAATGAATGCCAGTTGTCTTAAGACTCTTAAACAAGATTTGTATAACAAATTTTCTGATAACAGACTGCCCATCAAGGTGCATTAAGAGGTATGTGACCTGGTAGTTTAGGTAAAACGCTAGGTGCCCCTGCAAATTGATTAGCTGTATGGGTTCTAGTACCCTGTGTATCAGACTCACTTTATACATAGTGAGTCTGGTACCCAGGGTAGGGTTCTAGTAACTACCTCAAGTTCTAGCCTATGGCTCGACCGAATGTCTTTTTTTATTCGAATGTCTTTTTTCATTTATTTTCTAACAGTTTAAGGTGAATTGCTCTTCAGAAAAAAGCTGGTTTATTAGGAACCCTCCATTAATTTATAATACAATGTTTAGACATTTTTTGAAAAAAAACAAAGGTGAATATTGAAAAGGGTAATAGATAAATTTAAGTTGTGTTTAGTTGTAGTCCTAGTTGTATTCAAACGTACTAGTTGTGTTCTATTGCAAATTAGGAATAATACAAGCAGAGTTGAGCAAGCGTGGCCAAGGTTTGTGTTATCTCAGTCTTTATGTGCAAGGATAGTCAGTTTTCGTTTTCCAAGTTAAACCTTGGGAAAATCTACCAAAATTCCCATAGATCTTACGCTTAATAATTAGGCTTGCGCACTTGGCGGAGGTGATTAGACGAAAACTTTGGGCAGCCCAGCTCTTCTCAGACTGGATTACAGCTTAGTAAACGGAAGCAAGCATCTAGTGGTGATGGCTGAAAGAGCCATAAACATTAGAATTACATGCGTTTCTAATGGTGATCCGAACAGAATTTAAGTATTAGTCGCTGTTCTTGAATGCATTTCGAAGAACCATGCAACATTTTATTTGAGCATTAGGTCATCGGTGCAGAGTAGACTAGCCATTGCTCCAGTTTTCCATATAAGAATTATAAGAATCGTAAAGGCTGGGCAAGGATATTGTGAATTGACCAAGAGCACAAAAACACGGCATAAAATGACTTTTAAAAGAGCATGAGATAAAAACCAATAAAAATAACTTATAGATCGCCGCATCAGAACGGCATCGGTGCAACTATGTACTCAATGCTCCAATACCTAAACTCCTAATTCATTTTGAGTAAAGCATTCCCTGACGACAGAGGTCATTTCCGGTGTGTTGTATTTGTTTTCTGTCCTTTCGCTATTATCTTGTCATCTGTTGCACATTTATTTCACTGCAAGTTCCTTAGAATTCTGAAAGGGTCTTACTGGCAGCATAATTTTATTTTGGTTAATAAAATAGAATCTTACTATTCTCCACTTTTATGAAAATCGTCATTTAAAACTTCTTGCACGTCTCGTCGTGTATATAATTTATCGCATCAATGTTAATATATTTATATATACCTTTATTGGTACATCTATGTATATACTATATAAATTTGTTCTTAGAATATTAATTTCCTACCAATGTAAATTGTTGTTTGGTTTATGGTTCTTTTCCTACTTACTCATCTCTGCAACCAACTTCGCCAAGCTCCTAATCATCGCAAAGAGACAATCAGACACGCAAGTAAAGAAACAATTAGAATTACTGCAAAGTTTTTCATATGGAGCATACCAAATAATAAGATAAACTTCTGCAAATGGTGCATACTAGATAATAATCAGTCTACACAACACAGAATGGCGGTTTAATTCATCACTTAAGAGTTATATTTAAAATATCATTGAGGTTGTTTGGTGAACTGCTTCATTACAGGGCTCAACATGCTTGTTAATTAAGTGATAAATTGAACTTGCTGTGCAACCCTTATTTGCTTTTATCATTCCCACCCATCTTTGTGTTCATCGAGGATAAGATTTATGAAATAAAATTTCAAAAAGTGAACTTTAGCTGCATAGCATATCTTATATATGATACGCTTCTAAATTCCCTCGACATTGGTTGCCAGAGTTCTCACGATATCAGTAGCTTTTATCATAGAATGAATCAATATTCATCGAAAATGGATATTTACATTCTGGTTTGGCTCCAATCTCACTTTGAAGCGTTTAATAATTCTGTGAATCCACTGAATGGTTTATCAGATTCTGCTATAAGGCTTACATTTCACATTTCACAATCGATTCCAATATATTCAAGAAGAGAGTCTTAGCCTTTTTTGAAACCGCTGTTGTCTTTTAAGTTGCCATTTTTGAAGTCAATACAACTTTTTAAAAAAGATCACCCTCTTTTCTGTCACATCAACTTATAAATGTCAAAACTCTTTTGAGAAGCAAAATAGCAATCATTTGGTACAGTTTGAAATGTTCTCTTTGTACTTTAAGCAAAACGATTTAATTCATGCAAGAAAGTTTGCTAATATGCTAGAATAAATCAAAAGATAAAACAGAATTCTATTCTCCAAACATAATTATTGTTTCAATTTCTATTTGCCCCCCCACCCCTAGTTTAGAATTGGTGGTGCAGGCCCGGCTTGGGACGTGGAAGAACAGGTGACATGCCTTTCTAGTAAGTGAACTTAAACCAAATCTCGTCTCTTTCATATTCAAGAATTTCATTAAATTGCGGTTTGCTTTGGGATAATGATCCCTTCGGCAAATAAATTGGCAAAATAAGATAGCAGAAGACATATGCGGATAGAATTTGAAGTGAACTGCTAGAAAAGCATCCGTTCATGTGAAATTATTGATTTTATCCTCGTCCAAAGAACCCACAAGAACTTTCTCATTATTGCAATTGCTGGTTTTTTTTACGACAATTCATAGAAAAGCACAATTTGATTGAGTTTTGAAAAGCTCTCATAGATCATCTTTAAGAGAAGCGTTATGAACGGATAAAAGCTTTGTTCGAGTTAGCTATAATTCTAGCTTCCAGACAGTCGAGTTATGTTATCAGACAACTACTACGATCCCGGGAAGGAGGCTTTTAATTGCTATGCTAATGTCTGCCTAAACACTATATCCTTGCTTGGGAATTTCTCACCATCTCGGGCTTAGTGATGTGTTTCAAATAGTATATAACAAGATGCGCCTCTAGTTAGCGACGAATTCAATTGTGACTCACATTGGGCGGGAATTATAGAGAGAACGCAAACAGTCATCGGGCACCGGACTAGTGGCTAATCAAGGTGGATTGAATTCGCCTTTTGATCTAACTTATAGGGTTTGCTTCTCGATGAAGATTGACTTATAAGACAAATCTTTCTTTTTATTTTGATCTCTGATATTATCTACGTAATTATACATGGAAGATGGTTCAGGAGAGAAAATAGGTGGATACAAGTGAGCAGAGGGGAAATTGAAAAACTACAGATCTGATAATTTGACCCTAGTTTTCAACTGAAAAGTATATAGTGGCTATTTTGAATGTTACAATTGATTAGCTAAGATAGCAGGAGTTGATCAAGTAAATTTCGAAAGATACCCAATTGATAAAGGAAATCATGAGCATTGGCTCATGTATTGTTCAAGATGCGACAATTTGTTGGTTCAGCAAAACAAAATGCTTATCAACAACAATGTATTATGAAACAAGATTATGTATGTCCAAAATTTATTTTGGTAGGATTGGGTAATAGGTCTCTTTGCAGGATAGTGAGGACAAATTTTTTTCAGCGACGGATCACATAGTTATTGGTTCTCGATCATATTTGTGCTCCAGTGTCAATTTGTGTCAAGTGCTTCTCTTGCATCCACAGTTCTTGGGCAACATCAGGCTTCACAAGAGGAAAATCTATGGGGGTTCCATTGAGAACACCATCGTGCGATAAAAAGTTTCATTATTAAAGAGGCTTCACCCCTCACTCTGGTTGTGATTTTTCCTTTCCTTGTTGTTATGTGTTCTTGGAAGCGAGGATGCAATTCAACTCAATCATCCCTTCCGCAAAAGGCCAGTCGTGGTTGTTGGTTGTTGTGGAATGCGTATAATGTTGTTTTGATGGTCTGAGGTGGTTGCGAAACTTTGCTGGAAACTGCTTCCAAAGGTACGTAACTACCTTTCATCAAACTATATGAAAATAAATCATGAATTTGTTTTTGAGATTTGCAATGTTTGGGGAGTCTTTAAAGGGAAAGTAAAGAAATAACACTGCTTGAATTGGAAATCGTATACCTCAGCCACTCGTACAAATCATGTGCATAATAGTAGCTCATTGTTCCCTAGGTGACCTCTGTACGGGAATAACACGTTTAATTGCGTCTTTATCGTCTGTTTTGATTTCTACATGGATAATCCTTCGTTGAATTTAACGATCGCACGGGAAACATTTACTTTTAGTGTTTGGATATTTGCCAAAAGAAAATTTTTAACCACTTTGGCAACGTAACAAAACTTAGATTATTTTTAGTTCAATGGCTTCCGTTTTAATAGGTTTCTACTTAGTTCAATATAACTCTTTCATTCGCGTTATTGCTTGTCTTTTATGATTTCAGGAAACTTGATAGCCTCCTGGGGTTGCTTAGTTTTTCAAAGGAAAGCCATTCGATTCATTTAAAAAATTTCATTTACAGTGTGCATTTAAAAAATTATTTTAACGAAAACTGGCCTTTGCCTAGAAATTTCCAATACCGCTTTTCAAGATAATCATGAATGTTTATAATGAATAAACCATTTAAAAATTACCACATATAATAAATAAACTGCTACTTCCAAAAATATTAATCATTTAATTTTACTAGACAATAATGAAAGCAACACATCACCCAAAAATAAGGAAATTGCTAAATTTGAACATTAGCATTAAGTTGCACCACTTTTTAAGCAAGTTTCTGCCTGCAAGGTTTTAGTACAATAGGATTTTAGTGCACTTGTTACAAGGTGCAGTGCCTGAAAAATTCAGGATGTTATAGTGTAGTAGGATTATATGTCATTAATTAACAAACATGCTCATTATGCTAACCTTGCTTTCATTTGTATATAACACTTAGTCTTTTGTTTAGTAATTCAGTCAGTGATTCATAACTTCAACACAAGTTGCTCACTATCTGCATTTGCTCTTAAACCAATTCATAGCCTACTCAAAGTGACAAAGGATTTTGTGGAAATCTAATCCTTGTTACAATAAAGGGGGCGGGGCAGTGGGGTTGGTGGTCTACTGGCTACACTATAAGGAAATTTTTTCAAGGCCATTCCCAGTGGATTGGCAGAGATTGTTCTTTTTAATATAATGCTTGGCAACACCCAAAAGTTGCTTCATATACTTAATCAATTACTGTAAAAAAGCTGGTGCATTTTAATGCTTTTACAAAGTTCTGACTCTATGACTGGATGCTCTAGAAGACTGGTTTTATAAAAGTAAACCCTTTAGGGAAATCACTCTTTGCCTTCAAATATCTGCATTTCAAAACTAATTATAATCAAAAGTTGAATAGGTGTATTTTTAGTACCAAGTGTGTATGTCACGACAACCTAATTTAAGCAAGAAAACCTTCCCAGCTGCAAAACCTATTAATCATTATCATGGTTATTTTGTGTCCTTCTTTTCTTTATCTTCATCTGAAAATATGTCATTCCTGGTTTTGTAGTAATCTCAACTTTATCAATATCCATGATGATATTTGTGAATACCAAGACAATGTCCATGAAGCTTTTTTTGAAATTGAAAGTGTCCTTCTTGCAAGATTCGCAGAATCCGATTGGCAGCCTATCCTGAGGTTTTTCCTTCTTAAGCTGCTCTTACATGGTCAGATTTTCTCTAATTTGATTATGTTGAATCTAGTTTTGCTACAGATTTGTCAAATCAAATGCCCCTTTTACACAATAAGATTTTGCAAATAAATAGCAATCAAACACTTCAATTTTGTATACAAAATGAAGAAGCAGGGTGCTTCAGCTGCCATAGTTATAGTATATACTGGCCTTTTAAAGAAGACAAAATAAAAGGTGAAACTGCACAAAATGATGAAATAATGGCTGAAAGACGGTCCTATTTTGGAACATACTTTGCACTTTTGAACGAGTTGCACTTCACCAAAAGAAAGACTACATGAACTACATGAGAATTCAGCAATGAATAATGCTGTATCTTCATTTTTTGCTGAACTTTAGCTCAGCTAATTCCATGCTTTCTTTACAATGATTGTAAACAGACTGAAACAATACAGAACATGGAAATGTTTGTAATGCAGCAGTGTGGATAAGCTAAAATGTCAATCATTCACTTGTAATTTGTCAAATGGAATTGAACATTCGATTCTTGAAAAATTTAATTCAACTCAACATTCGATTTCTCCTTTTACACGATCAGATTCTGTCGAATTTTATAATCGCATTTGACAAAATCTGACCGTGTAAGAGTGGCTTTACACATTATTTCTCTTGCATGCTTTCTCAAAATGTTGAACATCAACAGCTTTGTTCAAATCTTTTCCACTCATTGTTGACTAGCCTACAAGATACATAGCGTCATTCCCTTAAAAATGTTCTTGCAACTCCTTTGAATTAAAATTCCCTTATTTCTACTCCATGTAATGATTTTCTAGTATTTTCTGCTTAGGCAAAAGGAATGCTAATACAGTATATTACTCAGATCAAAGTTACTTGATGACATATTTATCTCAATATTATCTTTTTAACTGGCTTTTATACATGAAATTTTTCATTGCATTTATACAATAAATGAAATTTTGAATTTTCCTTGTAGTTTGAGCAAATGGAGGGATGTATTGTCCAAGCTACATATGACTTTCAGAAAGAAGACCCCTCAGACCTTGGGTTTGTTACTGGTGATATTATCAAGGTTACTAAGCAAGTCAATGATGAGTGGTGCTTTGGACTGACTTGTGATGATGCAGGTCAGTTTCCATCTGCTTTTGTGAAGGTTGCTCTTAAAGATGCACCAGACCAAATATTCATTGCTGTTGCTGACTTTAAAGGGCAAGAAGAAGGTGACATTGAATGTAAAAATGGTGATATTATTGGATTGAATGAAGATGTAGATGAGAATTGGATTGTTGGTTCATCAAAAACATCTCATGGGCTATGTCCAAAGTCTTTTTTAAAAGAATTGTTTTTTAGTAATAAAGGAAATAATGAAGTGATAAATGTAAATACTCTTGGAGATGTTGATAAAAGGGATGAAAAAATTTGTCCATATGGAGAATCTATTGATGAGTTCTGTGCTCAAACCAGTGACGAACTATCATTCCCAAAGGGTGCAAAAGTAGAACTGATTAAAGAAATTGATTCCTTTTGGACAGAGGGTATCTACAATGGCACCAAAGGGAAGTTTCCTTCAATGTTTGTGAAGCCTGTTGTTCCATTACCACAAGAGCTTCTATTCACTGAAAACAAGACTGCAGCACCAGACAAAATTGCTGAGAGGGAGCCAAAAGCCAAAGCTTTATTTTTCTATGTAGGTTCAAATGCAGATGAGCTTAGTTTTGACAAAGGTGAAACTATCACTTTGCTTAGAAGAATTGATGACCAATGGTACAAGGGTCAAATTGGTAAATCAGTTGGTCTGTTTCCAGCAAATCACGTTGAGATCCTTGTTGATTTGCCATATGAAAGTACAAAGAAGAACCCCGAGAATAATACCATATCGAATGGAAATAGATTAGATACACAGAACAAGGAACATCCAATAATTGGTGGAAAGTTAAAAGAAAACTGCGAAAACAAAGATGCTTTCAAGCCGAAGCCATTCTCCATAAAACCAAAGCCTTCTATAAAGCCAAAAATTAATTTACAAAAACCAGTGGAATCAAATTCTAGCAACAAGCCAAAACCAACGGTTTTAACATCATTGAAGCAACAGAAGCAGCAACAACAACTATCTTCTGAGGAAGATAAATCTGTCAGTGAACAGAGTAATAAAACAAAGATATCAGTTCCAGCCAGTACCAAACAAAATGACAGCGCAAAACAATTAGAAGCTCCTATTATAATAAAAGCCAAAAGGGGTAAACAGCCCGCACCCCCTGGAAGGCCCCCAACTGTAAATTTATTAAATGGACAAGGTCAAGTGGGCAAAAAACAAAACAGTGATTTAAAACCTAGACCAAAGGTTGCTGCAAAGCCAAAGTCGGGTAGACCGCCGCTTAAGGCTCCTGCGCTGGAAACTGACATGCCGTTGTTTCAAACGAGCAAGCAAATCAAACGACCTGATATAAGCCAACAATCGTCCGCCCCCACAGTGTCGCCTAATGTAATGCTGCTTGAGCAAGAACTGAGTTCACTTACAATTGATGAAAATGCTAATAAGAAACCTGCTTTGAGCAGTCTTGATTGTGATGCCAGTAAGCAAGAAGATAGATGCGTGAACAAGGTGGAAACAAAGCAAGAACTGAAAAGGGCGAAACGACCCGCGCCAGGTCGACCGAGCAAAGAGCCATCAAAGACTGCAAAATCTGCTAATAAACTCGCAGACAGTTGTAGCCCTATTCAGTCTCCAAAGCTTGATATGAAGATCTCTCGAAATAGCAGCCCTTCTGCACTAACCAAGACTGTTCAAGAAAACGTGACACAAACAACTCGCTATTCAAAGAGAGGAAAGGCTTTACCTCCTCAACTTCCAAAGCCGTTAGCCCCCCAGCCCCCTAAGAAGCCGCCTGTTTCCCCACGTTTTCCAAAATATGATGCTTTAGAAGTGAAAACCGAAAATCAACCTTCATTCCAAACATACATAAACCCAGGAGGAAATCTGACGTTTAACGGTGCAGAGTCAAGCAATGGAATTCAGGTAAACTTTAGAAAATTTGCTTGTACTTTAAATGTTTGCCACGATTAGTGCATACATACCTCGCTATTTTAAGCATGAAATGTAAAAGGATGTTTAATCTTTTTGAACAACGAAAGTACGAAAATAAAAATGGGATTCGTGTAGAATAGAAGGGTTTATGTTTAGACTGACTGTACGAGTAAGTGTTGTCGGCTTCGTGCCAGATTACCCTTATAATATACCTATTGCTGCCCCGTGGCCCCCCGTGGCTACGTAAAGCAGAGATCCACAATATATTATCCATGGGAATGGAAGGGTCCCGAACAAAGTCACATTTTTATACTGTGAAATTTACTGTGAAGGTGAATTTGTGCAACTTTGCATGCAGTTATTACAGTCATGTGAAAGTGTTATTACCTTTAGCGCAATATCAAGGAATATAATTTTAAGCAGCATGTGTACATGATATCAGTGTCATATTTGTGCGGTATTTTAAACTAGCAGATGCTTCATCAATGAATGGTTAGAAGTCAATGGTAGAAGTATATGCTCTGCAATCTGTTGCTTACATTTTTTAGGCTGTTCATACTTGACATTTGTTTTGAAACAAGCATTCGTTTTCTTCCAGGAAAGGAAAGGAAATGAACCCAAAGCATCAACATTCTATGTCGACTTTCTCGATTTGGACTCAGGTAAAGTTATGTGACATATTTTTATGTGACGCAAAGTTGTTTTATTGCAAATTTTTTACTCACGATCGGTTATTTTGTTTTGTAGTTGATGGGCAAGATCAAAATGCAAACACAGAAATTGAGATTGTTGAAGAGAGAATTGTTCAGATCCAAGGTCGGATTAGAGTAAGGGCATGACTTTTAGCGAATATTCCACATTTCAGAATTTTCCTATAACTTTGAATCCATCTTCAATGCATCTCTTTGAAAATACATGCTGTTTCAACAACCTTTTGATAACCTGTGCAAAATTGGTCACGTTTTATCGAGTGTTGGAGATATGTCCTATATTTGTATCAATTGTCTACATAACCTGTCATTGTTCGAAACTAGAATCAACCAAATTCGATCTTGCCTCCCTTCCTTTTAATCTCTTCCTTTCTTCCCTTGCTGTGGCTTTTTCAAAGACTCGCAGGCCTTTCCCGAACATGACCGGCTAAAAGTCAACTTTTCAAGAATTCATTGCCTGAAAATATGCTCTTTGACAATAAATGAATTGAGTTAATGGAGTTTTGTTTCAATTCAAGTCGGAATCAAGTATGTTATCTGGCATCGAGACACTGTTGGCGGTAAGTGAAATTGCTAGACACATTTCCAAGTTTTTTCAAATTTGTTCAAAATGTTTTCTTTCCATTTTTCAAAAATGTGAAAATATATTGAGAAAAGCTTTCAAAAGCCGTTATCATTTCTTTGCTGTTTTTTTTTCTAATGTGAGACAGAAGCTCCTGTCGTGGAACCCAATTATGAAAAATAGACAATGTAGGCCAGTTGGTTTCCATTAAGTGTAAAAAACATGATCAAACAACGTATTAATTTTTTCTTAATTTGTTCCAGAATGCTTTACGAAATGTTACTACTTATAATTCCTTTATAATTTACTGAAGTATCGTATTTTCGAAGAGTCATATTTTGATACTTCTATCGTTATAAAAAGCGATAATTTAGTTTCTTTACTGTACACATTCACCACCCTTTCTATCAACTGATTCACCCAAAACTAATGTTGTACCTCGGTACATTTCATCTTTGATTTATTTTTCATATAAAAGTCTCTTGTAATGCAGACAATGACGTAACAGAGGTATCTGCGGCCCTAGAGAAAGACCTGAGCCCGGGCCCCTATTTAAAGACTGCAAGAAAGTCCCATACAAGGGTGTAAAGTTGTCAATTTTCATTTGTAAAGTAGAGTTATTTGTTTAGTAAAATATCTTTTTAAAATAAGATGAAGTTTAAGTCATGGATATAAAAGTAATTTGGGGGCCCCCTTTTTGATTGTGGGCACATAGTCATCAAACTGAGGTGCACTAAACTGCCTCACCCCACTGATTGCAGAGTTTCATTACAACACCAAAAACAGGATAATGACTTTAACAGCACCCTACCCTATTTTGGGTATCAATCTACCTTTTGCTCTTTACCCTGCAACATATACTCTAAGTTATTATGAAATATTTTCCGCTATGTTTTTACATTTTTATATTATTTGAGAATTTTATATTATATTTTTCCGATTCACTTTTTCAGTCCTCGGAAGATGAAGACAAGAGAAACGAGTTGCGTTTTCGACACCGAAGTTTGTCGACAAGCTTAATTGACCTGAACGAGGAGCTGTTTGCTTATCAAGGTACATATTTTTCAAAATTTATCTGTTGTTAAGAGATATCCCTTGTAAATGCAAGGCTCTTTCTGGGTTGGAGCTTAAAAAGATTCCAAAGAATATGCGCGATGATTTGGACATGTTCCTCTTTAGGATGGCTCAGTGGTTTTGTTCGCGGACTACAGATCCATAGCTCTGGGGTTCAAGTCTCTGTCATGATTAAACTTTCACTCAGATAAGGAAAGTTCCTGTTTTCTCTGTAAATCCAGGCTTAGGGATCACGGGATATGGTCACATCGAATGCCCGATAAGCATAGCTTCTCAGTGTCCTAAAACTACCTTCGAAAGCTGGGTAGCAACAGATACAAGAACAGCATCTTTCACGGCCATTCTTTGACGTTCTTTGACGGTTCTCACCATTCTTTGACGGTTCCCTAACTGTCTACATATATGTCAGGTCTCATCCAAAAATATTCTTTAAATATATACGTATTTTTACATTCCTCATAATCAACTGTCGATCTATAGTCCATTTGTCATAACCTATGTTTAGTAAGCTTTTTGCTATCAGTCCGGTTGACTTCGTTTAAATCCATTATCTTCGCCATTCTGTGAACAGTCATCCCCTACTGATATATTTGAATATATGAATCAAAGGCTCAAAAGATCCTGTTGTTTCAGCCCTCGTTAATTTGCCTTTAGGCTTTGCAGCAGTTAAAATATATTTTTAAAGGCATAGGGATTAGACTGGGCTAGCAAAAGCAATGCACAGAAACTCTGATAGACGCGACTAGTAAAACATTTTATAGAAATCTCTTACACTGTTGGTGGAAATCTTTTTGTTCTATTTTAAAATCCTGAGAAATCCTTTTGTTCTTACCAAAAATTTCCTGCGCTATTTGCCAAAGTGAATTGCCCCTCGGACGGATGGATACACCGATAGTTGAACATTCCTGCACCCTTCCTTATCTGATGATGCAAATTGTCTCTCTACACACGACCCATCTCATATTTCATCTTCAAAAACAATTGGAAATTCATTATTATAGGCTATTTAATTTCCTCTTTCCTTAATAATCTCTTTTAGCAGGGTCCAATCACCTTAACCATTTCTTACTTCCTTATAACACAGAGACTCTTATTACAAGCGTTATTGTTATTACATCTCCAGACACCTAGTCCTATCTTCAGACTAAATTGATATTGAAAGAGCACCTGCACGTGCTTCCTGACCGCAATTAGCTTCAATAAGTGTGCGTACGGCTGGGCACAGTTCGATTGAGATTGTTTTCTATAATGAAAGCGATTTCGATAGCGTATTTGCTGCAAAATCGATCTAATGACTTCCTACTCTCTCTCAGTAGGTGAATTGCTTTTCAGAAGGCTCATTTTTCGTGTCACAATTGTACTGCGGGGCCAACGCAGCTCGAATGATTTTGAGGGCATGGCCCCAAGCCCCAACATATTTGCTGTCTATTTTCTGTTCTTCTATAATGTGTAATAAAGACGTGCCCCAAAAAGGTCCAAAAGTTTTAGAAAAGAACCGTGCACCCTGCAGCAACATCTTAAGAGAACTCATTTCTAAAGTACGTTCAAGTTCTTTGATTATGTCAGCATAGTAACTACTGTTAGTTCATAAGTTCAAATTTTAACCGCAGATTCGAGAAAACTGTGAAAAATGATACAACTTTCACTGACATTGCTGCATTCATCGAAGATCCTACTATTAATTAGCCTCGACTGCTGTTATGTTTTTGAGGTTATAGTTTCTGTATCGATTTATTGTTATATTGGACACAGAAAACAGGGGTGGAGTAATCTTAACGCTAAGGAGACATTTGCTGTCCATTGCCTATTCCGATGAAGTTTCATTTCATTAGAACGTCTCCTTTGCATGTCTTGGATATCCGCTAATAAATATCATACCTCCAGCCCTTCTGTCTTTGGTCTGTGATTGTAATTGGTCGAAATAAACCCAAACGAGGTAATATTTCTAGAAGAGAATAACAGGGCAAGGTTAAACAAGCAGATACCAAGGGAACACTGATGCTTTAGATGAAAATAAATTTCGACTTGAAAGCAGATTGTTTAATAATCCCTGATATTGCAAGTATCGTACTGTTTCTGTACCAACGAAATTCATTTGCATTTTTGCTCTCAATGCAAGATTATTTAATGCTAGTTTTTACAATAGTTAACGAACACTGATTAAGATTAACATAAAGCAATTTCAAGGATTATTACTTACACTCTTTTTTTATAAGAACCAATAAATTTCAGTTCAGGCTGACTGTTCTTAATTTTTTCGAATATCTGAGGCTGGATTGTTCTTAATTTGTTCTTAAATTAAGAGGGTTTAAGCAGTGCTATTTCTAGCTTTTTCGCTCTAAGGAGGTGTTCAGGCCTCATTTGCCAACAAAGTGAGTGAGACAGCCTTAATTTGCTGACAAATTTGAATATTCACCGAAAAAGCACCCACATATCGCTAAAAATCCTCGATTTTGAGAAAAAACATTGTTCAAAGTTGCATTTTGCAGAAGCTCAGCCTCAGCTTGTTCTTAATTTGTTCTTAACTTTTGACCAGTCTTGAGGCTCGTGCTCTTATAAAATTGTTCCTTATAAAAAAAAGAGTGTACTGCAAAAGAGCATGTGCACTTGTTTTTGAGGAACCATGTTTTAATGAATTGCTTGAATTTTGTAGTTTTTTGGGCTGTCTTTATCAATTCTTAAATTGAATTCCAGATTTTAGGCCCTAGAAAACTTAATGGTCTGATACCATTGTTGGTAGTACTGACTTTTGGAGTGTCAAGAGAATTTTTGGATTTGAAGGTTGTGACCTGTTGTTTGCAAACGAGGGGATTGAACAAAAAGATGTTCCTTGAAAACGAAGACATTGTTTATTGAGTGTCTAAACTTGCTTTTAATAAAATCCAAAGTATATGCTAAAATTACCTGAGATTGAGTGGCCTTTAATGACCCTGATTCTCACGTGAATCGGCCAAAAGGAAACACAATGAAGTACGACAAAAACCTTAATCCTTTTTTCACTTCCGTGTGGTAGGGTCACTACCTGATTCTACGTACACCTTGTGAGCCTGGACATAAACAGTTTGGCTGAAAAGCACAGCATAGCCTGTAAAGTTACTGAATATTCAAAATCGTATTGAATAAAATAATTAAATGCAAGTTCTTCAAGTGTTGTTGGTACGTTGCTGACGTAAGCACCGTAGAAACAAATATGACAAAAGCAGGTGACTCACTTTATCTGTATTGCAAATTTGTCATTGTTTGTCATTCATGTCGTAGAATATTGACAACTGTTACGATGCTTGAATCAAGATTTTTCATGCTTTCAAATAAATGATATTGGAAACTGGTCATAGTTATGTTTTGTGGCCGTGAAAGATGAAATAAGATTCACTACTTTCCGCGATAACATGGATGGGCAAAGAATGAGTTCAGGGAGGAAAATATAATGGGGCGGGGGTGTAATGACTTTGTGATTTCGTATTGCGTAGTGTGTGAGCTACTCAACAAAAGGGCCATCATTACCGGAGGGAAGGAGGCTTGAAGTGGAGGCTGGAATTTCCTCGCTGTGCTAGATTGTTTTAGTAACAGAATGCTGATTGAGAAATATATGATTCGTATTTTTTAATGCCCCTCCCAACTCAAAATTACTAATGCCTCTCTACAACAGAAGTGCAGTTTTCTTTGTTTGACTCTTTCCTGTAACTTTTCCAAAAGCACGAAGTTGGCGTATTTAGGGTGTCGTGTTTATCAATTCTCTGTTTTGACAGTAGGTTGGAGAGTATTTAAGGATGGGGGTATGGGGTAAAGTAATCGCCTTCTTTGCTTAAGTCTACCAGCAACTATGGGCTTGGGACAAACAAACGAGGCACGACCCTTGATGACGTCAATGCAAAATTTAATTGAAGTAATATACGGATATGACAGGAAAATTTAGGTTCCTTTTGTATCATGGTATCTTCGTGTCCAACGCATAGCATTTTAAGCCTTTAACCCGTTTTCCTTCTCCGAGATAAGATTTCCCGACACCTAGCGTTCCAAGCCCTCTCTTGCATTTTAAATCCCGCGTTTCTGTCTCAGGATGATGACGTCATACGGGTCGCAAACCATGCAGTTGTGCTTCAGCCTGGATAAGAGAAATCTAGTCAGATACCTAAAATGAGTTTATGTACGCTTTGCTATAACCTACCCCTTATTATAACATGCTGTCTAGTGTGCGTCTTCCCTGATGGTGATTCAGACCCCGTTTACACTGTGCCGGATAAATTTTATCCGCACCAAAATTAATTCAGATAGGCGTCCCGTTTATACTAGACCCACGCTATCCGCACGAATTTGAGAGCGGCTATCCGAACAAAATTAGTTCACCTAGGAAAGTGGATTAAATTAGTTAGGATAGTTATGTGGTACAGTGTAAACGCTTTTATCCGGATAAATTTTATCCACATCGTATCTTGCTCGGAAGCTATTGGCTATTTCGTTCAATTTAGTTTTCACTGTCTCCCAATCAAGACCTTTCGCCAATCTGGCTGCCTTGTTGTCGATTAATTCTCGTGTTATAGTGCAGTATCTTGCCAGTCCACGTAAAATTGGCATCCTTATCAGCTTTACCTACTTTCATTGCTTGTTCAGTGTCATTTTGTTTCAAAAACAAACTATTAAAACAAACTAGGCCTAATGTTTATTGACAATATCTTTGGAATTGGTCTAAAAGAGAAGCAGATGATTCTGAAAAAAGGATAAAGTCTTTTTACGTTGTTGGGAATTTTGTTATTCTTTTGCTCCCCAGAGAAGACTTCATTTTGGACGTTCTGTGCATGATTTAGGTCGTGTGAGTGACTGCAGTTATCCGGCACAGTATAAACGGGAGGGCAAAATGGACAAAATTTGTGCGGCACAGTGTAAACGCAAATCAATTGGAACAACCTTTATGCGGATAAATTTTACCCGGCAAAGTGTAAACCGGGTCTCAAAACCGATGTTTATTACATGATGGCCCAGTTTCAAGCCTATTACGTCATTGTTTGTGAAGAAGAAAACCACGGAAGCTTGTTTGTGATTGTTTCAATTTCGGCTTGTTGCCAAACTTTTCAGCCCTTCTGGCCACATAATGCTTATGGCAGAAATGAACACTGCTATTTTCTAATTTATCTCGTCGTGTTTTTCTTCTTGAAACTAGGTAGAAGCATTGTATAGACTAGTTTCGCAAAAATTTGATAAAAGTACTAACTAGAAATTCTCGATCTGGTTTTATTCTCAACTGTAAGCTATTGAAAGTTTCAAAGGCATTTTGAAGTAATAAAGGCTGGTTTTCATAAAACGTATTTCGACACATTTCATCGCAATTCAGGGTTCACGATTTTTACGTTATATTAAAACCGGAAAACGTATTGCATCTCAGTTTATCATAATTCAACGTATTTTGTCGGGAGAAACAAAAAAAATTTATATCTTCCGATGAATTACATTGAATTACGTTCCATAAAATTTATTTACGATAAGAAGTTTTTATAAAATTTGGTGAAAACGAACTCCTTTTGTCTACACAGTAGCGGTTTTTTCGTGCTTATGTTTCACCTTAGGACTCCACTGGTAACATTCTAATGGGCAAGCGACACTGATTGGTCAACCTTTACAGTCATGTGCTCGTGTTTCTGATTGGCCTATTTCGATCCACAACTGGGTATATATATTTCTTAGCGTAGAGTTTTCGATCTATGTTCTGACGTTTTAAACTCTGAAGAGTGTCAGACGAAAAGCTTTAGTTTACTAAATGTTTGCTTTTTCAAAGCCATTTACAAGTTTTGTACCACCAAAAGATTGTTTGAAAATGATTTGCATTAGTGGACACTGTTAAAAAGAGATTATTGAGGAACGAGGAAATTAAATAACCTGACTATAACAATGAATTACCAATTGCTTTTTTAAGGATTGACTAAGAGATGCATCTTGTGTAGCGAGACAATTTCCATCATCAGATAAAAAGTCTGATCAACGATCTATATGTTTTACGCTTCTCTACTCTCACTCAAGTTGTTAATTTTAGTCATAAAATTTCCAACGCCATTTTTTCTCTCTTTTTGTGAAAATAAGAAACTTTTGTTTTCAAAGACATTGCAAGAAATGAATATATTTTTTGCTTGAGCTCAATTTATACATTTCGCTTGTATAATATTTTATGTTGGTAAAACATTTCTGCTACCTCTGAATATTTTCTGGGAACCAATTTACTAGGTCCAGGTTTTTCTTTTGACAGCTCTGTTGGCAATTTCTGTCTTTTGAAGAAATGCCTTCGATATTTCTTTAAGAAAGCCCTAAAAACGTTTCTATTAAATTCCTCTTTGGTTCATGAATGTCTTATTATATTTTCTTTGTTATTGGTATCGTATTTCTGTCATTATTTCTATCTAAATTGCTATTGTCAATTTTTTGTTGATTGATAGTCTCTTATATCGTTTTCAAATCACATATCACTTATTTTATTTCTATAAGCCAGTATTCTTCTTTTTCTGATCATGATTATTGTCATTTTCTTTTTATTTCACGAATACTGTATACTGATTTAAAAAAAGTTACCAGACAACCACTCGACATATTTTGGAAGTGGATATCGTCAAATATTTATTTATTCTTTCTTAGATGAAAAGTCTTATCTCCTTGCCTCTTCTGGCGACTCTACCGCCATTAAAAACAGGATTGACGAGCTTGCGCAGCAAATAGCGGTAGGTTGTTCTTCATAATACTGCTTATTGTGAATCTTATGGTTCAAAGACTGTTACTTGGAGATCATTAAGTTAAAAGAGAAAGGAATAGTAGACATGTGGCCTGCAACGTAGTGCACAAGTAGCGACTTGTTTGTAGCATAATATCCGTCCCCTTGGAGGATGAATTCCTTAAATACCCGGGAACAAGCAAAATTTAGGCCATTGCCAAGATGACAGAGAGAATGAATTTAAAATTATATTTCAGTTCAAGAGTTTAGGTGCGAAGATGGCCAAGTGGTTTGCGTTTGTAGATCCCATGGTCTTTGGTTCGATTCCTTGATATGACCAAACTTTCACTTATAGAGTAGGGGGGGGGGGGGGGGACTAGCTATCTGTAATACCAGGAATAGAAATAAAAAGGTGGTCCTATCTAGAGAAAGGACTAGGAAACCGTTTGATAAACATTGCTTATCAGTGTCCTTCGGAAGACTACCTTCGGAAGCAAGGTAGTAACCAATGCAAAGACAATGCAAGAGTGTTGTATACGAAAGGGTGTATGCAAAATGCTTTGCTCCTTCATACTTTTCAGTTATCATTTTAATGCCACTAGAGGCAACATTTTTTGATGCGGTGTGCTGCTGATGTCTACGTCCTTTCTTGCGAAATACTATTGCTGGATTTCAAAGATCCTCCTATACGTCTGCTATTTGCTGCAAGACCCACCCCTTGCCTTTTAGTTTACTGCAAATGACCTAAAGAAAAAGCCACTGGTCTAGCGTACTTATAGAAATAGTTAAGATTATATATGGACAGTGTTTTTGGTAATCCTATGCGTTCTTTTGGTTTTCAGTCATACAAAGATAACTGTGCCAAACTGCACAGAATGAAAAATATCGCTAAAAACGAGGAGCTTGCAGAGATCAAAGACGGCATCGAGTTCTGTGAAAACATGGTAGAAACATTATCCGAAGAAATGGCAGTACTCCAACGTAAGTGTTGATAGCTTCATCTCTTTCGGAAAATTTCCTTTGCAGGTATGCTTAAACTGATATAAATGAGTAACTCTATGGATAATGCATTTTTAAATGACCTCCAGTAGGATTTGTCATGTTGTGTCATTCATGGTGGGTCATTCACACTAAAACTGAGCTTTTACTTTTTGTATGGCCGTCTTTTTTTCTTGCAGTTGCCAGGCAATAAAAGTTTTTTAAGTTAAAACTTGACTGATGTTGATGTTGTTTTATGGCTGTTTTTGCTTACAGAAAATAGCTTCGAAACAAAACCTATTCTGTTAAATCCTGTTCTTCTCGTGTCCGGGCACATCTTGAGGCTGACAATATTACGTTGTTTTTTCGATTCATCGTTATTCTTATTATATCTATACTAATCAGTTGTCGAGACTTTTGCATGTTATTTTTAGATGAAGCCTAAGTGAAGGTGAATGCTACTTTTAATAGGTCACAAGATATTGCTATTATGCGTCTCGAAATTTGTCTATCCATGAAAAAACAAAAAACCAATTCGCTAAATAAACACTCGCTCTAAATTATGAGAGTTTAGGAAATGCAGTTTATGAAAATTTGAAAAAATTCCATGATGTTGACCCCTTTTCTTGCCTAGCTTCCACTTAATTGTGTGTACTTACTGGATACCTGGAAATGCTACCTTTTTGTGTATGATTCTTCAATATTCAATTAGTCTTTTATTGCTGAAAAGAAGAATAACAATTTGACCTTCATTAATCTCCAATTTGTTCATTAATTTGAGTTCTGAGATAATCTTCTAGCTGTTGTCTTGGGTGAAATACTGGTTTGCTGATTTTTTAGAAGAATTTCATCGGTTTTTCTTTCTTTTCGTCTGTTTTAGTATCTTGAAATGTGTTCTATTTAATACTTCAACAATATTGTCTATCGTTTATTGCCGGAGTTTTGCTGGTTTTTTATTATTTTAATTTTTAGCAAACCCTTTCAATCAAGCATTTTGGGTAGTGGAAAATTGCGAGTTTTCATATTTCAGTTTTAAAATCAAGGATGTTGCTTCGACGACTCATTTTCTCTGTCACAAACCTAAATGAATTTATTGCGTTGCACCAGCTGGAGATCAGACCACAAGTGTTGCTTTGTGTGTTTAATATCACCTTTGTATTTGTGAGACAGAATGAACGACACCAGCCATGGTTCATTTGAATTTAGAATTATTATCTTCACTCAGACTGGTTTACTATTAATCAGTTAATCACTAGAACGCAAAGCTTCGTCTAGAACATGGCTATTTGCAACCAAGTCATTCATTTTCAAGAAAATCCATTTGAATTTTATGAATCCGTAATTGGCATGGTACCGTCATTAAACTGTTCGACTTTTGACGTCAAAAGAGAAAAATTGAGGTGAAAGTGATTTGTATTTCACCAAATCATGGATTATCACATGCCTGACCATGAAAAGTGTCTGTTCGGTTACGTGCTGGTCCTATACATCGTGGAAACACCCAAGAAGGAACACTGGCTGATAATCAAATCACGCTGTCCCCTTCCTGTTTTCAGGCATGTGCGAAACATTTCAAGGTTGAAGGGGCACAAGTAGCAAGAGACACTATCTCTCGCAAATACTTTGCACTTTTCCATAAGTTCTAAGGTGGGAAGATACACGTCATAGAACAAGTTAGGGGCACGTGCCCTTGTTGCCCCTGGTTCTGATGTCCGTGCTCGAAACCCATGCTCTGATTCCCATTCTGTCTACGAAGTATCACAACAATGTTTCAGTTTGGAACAGAGCCGAAAGCAAGCGGTTCCAGTTGAACTGATGAGATGGAAGTCATTTTACCAATCCCCAATTAACCTATATAAGATTTGATCTTACCAGTCGGTTTTTCAAGAAACGCCTGGATTGAAAATTGTTAAAATAAATCGTTGTCCATCCTCCCTTGATTCGGTCATTTTCTACAGATTGATTTAACCCATTTTCACGTTCATATTCTCGCTGCACACAGTAGACTACATATTTCGTGTGTTTTTGTATGATGATTGAGTTAGGCCTAAAAGGTTGCAATTATTCGTTTTACAGAAAAGTTGGATAAAGATGAGCAAGAACGCTTGCGGGAAGATCCAGAAGAGGTCAGAAGAAAACTTCTTAGTCAGAGAGAAAAAGCCGTGGAAGAACTGATTAAGACTGAACAAGATTATTTGCGGGATATTGATGTGTGTACAACGAAAATTCTTCCAAGACTCGCAGGGTCAAAGGTGAGCTACAGCCTCTTTTTGATGCGCATTTGTTTTTTAAAGAATGTTTGTTATTTTCACATTTTTATATTAAAATGAAGTATATATGAACAAACGAGTAAAAAAGATAGGGGGAGAGTCTCTTTAACACATTTTAATCTTGGTAGCCTAATTTTCCTATGGTCTGAATGGGAAAGGTGTTCAAATTAGGTAAGGTTCTTATAAGCATTGTCCATCTGTTTAAGTAGGTGTACTGTTAGCCGCATTGGGCTAGGTGATAGAATGCAATGAGACCTACAGGCTATGGAATTAAACTCAAGTTTTTTGTCGGTCTGTTAGGGAGAGCTTTTTCTGTAACTCAAGGCATCCCTTCTATTTTGAAAACAAATTTTGAAGGTCTTTGATATTTTTTCTAGGCCATTGATAGCGGGAAGCTTTTTGGTAATCTAGAAGAGATATGTAAAATTTCAAAGAAGCTACTTGGTTCTTTGGAGAAGATGGAACATACGGACAACAATAGCCTTGGAAAACAACTAGGTAAACTATATCATTTTGCCACAATGAATCGTATATTTTTGCAGCTCAGGACTAGTCTTTCGACTACACTATTAACACAAAGCAAGATCAAACTTTTTCATCACATTTGCATTTCATCCATTTTCATTTTCTTTTTCGTTTTTCATTTCGATAAGTTTTAGGAACCTACATTATGTGTTGTAAATCTTTCTTTAAAACCCCAACATTCCCACGCCCCGCTGCCTAACACCTTATGGCTTTACCGGGGTGCTAATCCCAACAACTGGAGTTCTTTATTTTTATGTGTGTTCTTATTTATCTGCCAAGCATCTCATCTATTTCCTAGCATATCTTTGATCTACAAAAAGATCAGACGAGCGCTTTATTCTGCTTTTCCAATCCTATCCCATGTTGCTACTCCTATTCCATAATTTGCTACTTGAAACCTTTTTCATCAAAAGTTGTTTTCCTGTTTACCGGTCATCCTTTGGTATTTTAGGCAAATGCTTCGTTGATGTGACATTTGATCTTAAGAAAGAATACTCCAGTTACTGCCGAAGCTACGACGAGTCTCAAGTATTGCTTGAAAAGGTAGGAAAACCTTTCACGCTTCAGACTGATTTTTACCCGTTACTCAAATGTCTCATGATATTTTAGAATAGGTTTCATAGTTTTACCACCAAATCTAATGCTTAAATATTGCTTTTAAATCAGCTTTTTCGCTGTTTTGTTATTGCTGAAGAAGAATCTGCTTCTACACATTGCCGTATTAAAAACACGTCAATGCTAGGATAGTTTCGAATGTGGCGAATTTTGCCCTTGACCTTTGCCCGTTTGTTTTTCACCTTTAAGCTTAACCTACCACCTTACCCTTTTCACTAGTTGGAACAAGACAGCGAGATGAAAGATGAAATATTCAATGCCGTAACTGCATCAAGGTCAGTTTTAGTAGCACAGGGTCAACTTCCGTGACATCTTCTATGTAATCACCAGCAGCTACACATATTCTCGATTTTTAGGGTTTCGCGTATTCTGCAAAATTATACTTTCAAAGAACCATTTCATTTTTCGTAAAATTTAATCTAGTTTAACCACGACATCCATTCAGTTGATAAAGTTACAATAAATGAATTAGATTGCAAAGAAAGTAACTTACGGTGAAAATGAAAATATGTTGTCCATGTACTGATCTTCTATGGATTCATGCAAAAATATAACCTGTTAGCTCAACAGGTGTCACTCAAATTTTTAATCGTACAATAGACACGGTAGCTGGATTAAAAGAACTTTGATTTTGCTCGAGAAATAAGATTTATTTATTCATTCAAAATTTGGAATCATAGAACAAATTAAAACAAATCTGATATAAACTAATCTTAAGAAATTATTACGGCTCAGGCATTTGACACCTTGTGTCTGTTTCTCAAGTTTGGTTCCATTTCTAGATTCTCTTGGAGATAATTCTCAAGTTTATTTTCTTTTGCTAACCGATATTACTTCTATTACACATCACCAATTTCAAGTAGATGTTTTGATCTTTGTACATGAAGTATTAATTAGTTGTAATAACTGGAATTTGGGCTTTATTTTGTCTTCACCTACTTATGAATTAGATACATTTTCGCACATCCTCGTCCTTAATCGTTATGTCGTTTACATCTTTTGCTCTTAGGGACGAAACTGGGCTGTGGGATCTATCTTCGTACCTCATAAAACCTGTTCAGAGAATTCTCAAGTATCCACTTATTCTGAAAGAAATCCACAAGGTCAGTTGTTATGATTGCACAAACAGACTTTTAGCCATGCTTTAAGCAATTGAGAGGATTATGGGGTATTAATTTTCCAAACTTAGAATTTTCAATCATTATTCTGACATTTCTACTCAGAAGAGTGTCAGACAAAAAGCTTAAAGTGCCTGTGACATGATTTTCGTACTTTTGGGTTTATATATCTATTCTTATGTAAAAAGGCCTGTTATTTTCATTTCTGAGGTTAGTTTTTACGTTTCGTGAGAAATGAAGGAGTTATTGGCGATATTCTACGCCAAAATTCGCCATCTTGGTTTTCAGAATGGGTGGACAGTGACGTCACGGGAGGGACCCGATCGCCTCCTCCTTCGAGTTTTTGTATCGTAGTCAATAAGGGAAATCTAACAGGTCCAAGATGAGCGATATTTCCAGAGAAAGTAGTGGCAGCGAGGATGAGATTTTTTAAGGTAGCGCTAACATTGTTACAATAACGAGTTCCTCCCATGACGTCACAAGAGAACGTTGAATGATGATAAAGCGACTTGGCTAGGCCGCACTATTTTGCTTAATTTCGATATCAAAACATTTTATTTAAAGAAAAAGTTCAGATCTACTATAAGAGCAGTGCAACGCTTCAATTAAGAGAATAAAAAAAATCATTTGCTTTTTCAAAACCATTATTACATTGAAGAGTTTCAAATCATTATAAGAACAAGAATAAGCCTTTTAAGCCATGAACAACTTTTCTTTATCTCGCAGTTTTCTCCAGAAGATGAAACCGACAGGGAGAGTATCCAAGAGGCTATTACCGCGCTTCTTGGTGTTGCAACGGCAATCAACGAATTCAAAAGACGGAAAGACTTAGGCATGTTACATCCTTTTTTTAGTCTTTTTTAAAGTCATGATGTAATTTTTAAATAGCAACCGTTTTATATTTGTAACGCTTGCAACTTTAGCCTCCATTTTTTGTGTATATAGCAAGTTTCTGGTAAACGGAATAGGTGTCCAAATTTAGAGCATTAGAGTGAAAAGTATAAGCTTTTTTAATATTCAATTAGAAATTTAATATTCAAATTTTAAACATGGTTTTGATCATAGATTCTTTACTGAATATTTTTTATGATTTTTGCTTTAATAGCAACCTGATCACACCCAGAAAAAAATGTGTTCTTTATCGTGATTTAGATAAGCTTCCGTTAGGATTGAATGCCTTTCTTTCCCTCTTTAGTGCAAAAATATCAAAGAAATGAGGGAATTGGGAATAAAATACAGCGTCTGAATTGGCATTCAGTTCGAAAGAAATCATCGCGAATAAACCAGAAAATCACCCAGTTTACTGGGTTGGTTTCACAGGTGTGTACATGCAGGCGCATTGTGTATTTGTATATGTATCACGTATCTTTATGGTCAAAACTGGTCAAAGGTCCGGAAGCCCGTAACGAGCTGCCGCCCCACGTATATAGTTTATCATTATCAAGTTTGCAAGCACAATTTGAGCAGTAAAGAAAATTTTCTAAGCAGCACTGTGATTCATCGAATTTCAGTTTCCAATAGAAAGATCAGTCACGGGCTGCAAAACAAATGTAGCTTGTTGTAATATTTTCTTGAATTATCTTCGACAAAGAATTAACCAGATTAAACAAAGTTTTTACAGTTTTCAGTTGCAGTTTCATATTTTGAAAATTCCACTTTATAAAATTTATCAGTTACATTAATAGAATACTACATACAATACCTATTGAACACAAACTTAACACAGAGGAAATACAACAAAGCAAAGAAATAGCTAATAGCATATATATTAAATTGTATGAAGGAGAATTTCTTAAGGAGGTACTCTGTCAGTTGCTGGGCTAATCGAGGAAAGAGCACCCCCTTTGACAATGAGTTATCTTTAAACATATTTTATGTGAAGACCATGGGTGGCTACAATTTACAACGAAAAGATATTCGCCACCTTTTTAGAAGCACCTTAAGAAGCTTTTAGTTGGAGCAATTGAAAAAACACGTTTAGGCAACAATGTTTAGCCACGTTGCATTGATGCATGTTCCTCGTGATATCTTTGATTTCACAAATTCAAAAATGTAGTCACTGTATTGATGCAGGTATCAACAAAGTATTACTAGATATCTGTGCACTAAAATTATGAAACAAGGAACTGTAAGGATCCCTAGATTCTGAGGTTTTTTACAGAGCATGTCGAAAGGATTTATCTCCATTGCCTTTAAATGCTTGGAAAGATCACCCAGCTAATTGTGGAGAAATCCAAATATTCGGACGGTTCAAAAAGAAGTTGACAAGCTTAAAATGCCAGGAAGATCTGAAGCATGATCCTCTGGATTAAGATTCTTTTTTTCATTTAATATTATCCAATTTGAAAAGTAAAATTTTAGTGCTGGCTGCTGAGGTATATTTGGATATGAAATTTTGTAGAGCTGAAGGGTTATCGTGTCAAAAAATTTAAATGAATAAAATGGCACGTTTGCCTTGTTGAAGTATTGTCAAGTATGTGATTTTTTTGTATTTTTAGACCGTCGATGAACAATTTGTTGAAGAAGAGAAGCGATTCAGATCCATCGAAAAAATTATTAAGAATTTCATTAGAAGTTTGAATTCATACTTGGAATGTTTCCAGGTAAGACCAAAAACTGACAAGTCTTCCTTGTGATCAGTACCCATAAGCGGATGATGGTGATGGTGAGACTTAAGGGCGCGGCCAATGCAAAGCTTAAAGGGGGGCTTAGTATGTATCTCTCCTGAATATTGTTACTACATTGCGATAAAATTGCCCGAATGGGCCTGAAATTCAATAGAATTTGCCTGATCGGGGTGCTGCAGCCCCTATCAACCCCCTATGTCTCCTACACCTTGTAATTTTTTTTATCTTTGTCTTCTACTCCCAACTTTTTGCATTCTATTGTGTGGTAGCCAACATCTGAACAATAAAGTCTAAACGTCTGGCGTATTATCCAAAGGATATTTGTAGTGCGCTTTTCTTAGAATATTTCTGTATCGCTGGACCTTTATTACTTGTTTTTTTCTTATGGTCACAGCCCTAAATTAATTCATTGCATCTACGTTATAATGGGCATTTAAATTTAGGAATCAAGTAGTTTACAAAAGATTGTCGCTGAAAGTATCAGAAGTCTTTGCGAAGAGGCACCCATTGAAGATGAGGTTTTGTCCTTTTACAACGTCATTCTCAAGCTAAAAGATGTCATATGTCCCAAGTTTGTAAGTTTTTTGTCATATTTTTAGTTTTATTCAGGTAAAAAATTAAGGCGAAGTAACTTAATTATTTATAAGAACATGAAATTCAAGCAGATTGTCTCTATTCGTTCACGAAACTGTTTATTATCCAAGGCCCACGCCACAGGAGAAGTAGGGCCATAGTCCTCTTCTCACTTTATAGCTAAGTTTAAGATTTATATTAGCCTTTTGAAGTTTCCTTTCTATAAACCTGTGGGTTGGTACAGCTTTATTGAAGCAAAATCAAAAATTATAACAGCGTCAGTAAAACGTTTGCCATTAGGGGGAGGGGGGATGGTAGCAGGTAGGTGAGAGGACAATATCTTTAAATGTTTACAGGACCCGCTGCCCGTATATTTAGAAGAGGTGGCGCGGTGCCTGTTTTACTTTGATTATAATAGTGCTAGAATGCTAGTATCTGACAGTGAATGATCATCTTGTATCTGCCTCTTCAAGGTGTTTGTTGTGAAGACCCGTGTCCTAGATCCTCTCGAGCGCCTACTGCAGTTGTTTGTCAGCCCACTTAAATTGATCGAGAAGAGACAAGACAAATGCCTAGACTATGATAGAATGCTCAATCGAGTGCAGAAAACAAAGGAAGCAGACAGAAGCAAACAGGTTTGCAATGTGAATTGCTATTTTGGCATCCAATGCTTTCACAAATCCACAAATCAATGTCAACAAATAGCACCCGTTACCTCTTTTTTTAAATAAAACCAAGGGCCAAGATAGCGGGGTGTAGGCTAAGGTGCGCGAGGACATCTTTTTCCCCCACAAATTTATTAAGATACACTAATTTTCGAAAGGGAATTTTAAAGACATCTGTGTTCTATATAATGGTGGAAAGCAAAGCCATGCCCTTCAATTACAAAGCCTATCTCGGCCCTTAGACAGAACAGGTTATTCAAGTGACTCTTCCAATTAGCTTTGTTTAAAGAACAAGAAGCAACGGGACCTGAGGGCAACCTTTTACCTAGAGTTAACTGTATTTTTAACCTTTCGCAAATGCTCCTTTTGCAAAGCATGAAGTAAAGAAACATCACATTCTACATAAAAACTACCACATTCTACATAAACCTCTTTGTCTTAGCTTCTTTCAAGTTTCTGTGTATGGTGAATACATCATTTTTTTGAAGGTCCTTGACGAGCTGAAGATGGCAAAGAATAATTATATAGCGCTGAACTCGCAATTGCTCGAAGAACTTCCAAGACTTTCAAAGAAGTGTTTACAGTACTTCCATTTCTGTCTCTCGAACTTCGTGAAAGCAAGATTCAGATACTTTACTGAAATAAGTGACGAGCTAACAGTCAGTTTACAGGTACTACCTCCACCATTGTCTTGGTTTTCGTCCAAGAGAATATTTGCCAAAGCATTATTTCCTGGAAATTGGATGCTTCTTTGATTTGTGTTATTCCTGTTTAATTTTCACGTGACCTTATAACGTTTTAAGCTATTTGATCAACACTTACAAGTTTGCTTCAAACATTTTCAAAAACACTTCTTCATATCATTATACCAATATCTTAAATGCTGCATGATTACTCATGATTTGATACAGGTTTCGTAACTAGGCTCATAATTTAAAAGTTTTAGTTGTTGTTGATAATTGGGTTATGCAAAATCTCGATTCTCGTGTCCATAAAAAGCATACCTCATCATTTAATACTTTTCAACTTTTCCAACTTCTTGTGCTCTTTTGCGACTCCCTGGTTCCGCATTTTTCGGATTTGGTATTGGTAAGGATGCAATGAAAACCTGTGTACCACAAATGGGTGTCAGTGTTTTCTTATTCGCTTTCAATATTTAACAGATGATTTTTTCTTGTTAAGTTTAACTTCTACGGTTTATTTAAAAAATCATTTATATCATACTTTTAAATACGTATTCTTGTGTATAAATATAGCTTTGATAAAAGCAAAAATTTTATAACATATTGGTTAAAAGCTTTTTCGTCTGACACTCCTTGGAGCCAAAAACGCCAGAATAAGGTTCCGAAAGAACATAATGAAAAATTTATACCCAGTTGTGGATCGAATCAGACCGGTATAGTTGACCAATCATTGCCGCGTGCCATCTTATTTTTTAACTTATTGTGTTTTTATCCTGTACTGCTTCCCTTTTATTTGCTCCAATTACACACAACCTTCCCCCACCCTGTTTATAAGCGTTGGAAGAGACTTCCCAACCGAAAATACGAAAGTAATAATGTTTACATCTCTTTTAGCTAAGCCTGATTGAACGACACACTAACGCAGATATAGTACAGAAACATGCAGAATCGTTGGTTATTGCTGCGGAAAAGATCTCGCAATTTTTGTTCTACCCTGAAAGGACAACTGCAAATGAAGGCATGACAAGGCCGGAACCGCTCATGCTATCAAGGGAGACGTTTTCGGTCAGTCGTAGGCCTTGCTTTATTTCGTGATCAAAATAGACTTAGAAAAATATAATTAATGAGAGTGGATGCCTTGATTGATAAAAATTTATAAATAGAAAGAATTTAAACTTGTGAGCTAAAATTAAAGTACCTATAGATACATTTGAACCATCACGAGTTGAAGCAGTTGTTTATAATTGTTATTCTTATAGCCTGGGTTGCTTTTCTCTAATTATCACATTTATCGGTATCGTAGCCTGAATTCTAATCATTATGTTAAAATACATTTGATACTTTTCCTTAATACTTGAATCCATTTGGCTATTGCTTTTATTCATACATAACTTGAGTACCCTTTTTTCAGAATTTCTATGTCGATATGCTATTTGACTCAAGTGATGGGGATGCCACGTCACCTATCAAGCCATTTGCTAGCAAGGGAGGAGCAATCGATGCCAGTGAACCAAAGCCAGTAGCATTGCCGAGAAGAAAAAGCCTGCGAAGGAGCTCAAGCAGTCAAAGCTCCAGTAGTCCAACCAAATCGCCTGTTTTTGCTATGGACGTCGGCTTCAGCGTACGTTCAGCATATTCATTTAGTTTCAATAAAACTCTCCTTTTTTTTTCTTTCTGGCGAGGAAAAGTTGGTCACAAAATTTGTATGCTGTCCTTAAATGCTTTCCTCTGTACCCAGTATATAAAGCCAGAAATATCTCTTAGCAGCTACATATTTTGCTATGAAAAGGCTAGCTGCCCTAAACTTGCTTGTTGCTTTGATCCTGTGCTCCTTAGCAGACACCTCTCCAATGGCCTATCAGCTCTATTGCCAAAAGTGAAGAAGGCGATTAGGTGTAATCAGCAATTTTCGCATTCACAACGCTTCATGCATAATAAGTAACTTCATGCATACCGTCTTTAAATGCATTTGTTTTCTATAGTTTGTACATATGGTGATTTCAAATAGTGTTGTTTTCAAGTGTTTCCAAGTAATAATTGTCTGCTCGTATTTAAATCTCTTCATCTTAAGATCTTGAGCAATATTTTTTCAGTGCAAGAAACAATTCTTCCTATTTTAGCCGACAAGAAGGCACCGAACGTCATTGTCAGAAGATGGTAATACAGAGTTGTACATTGCTGAGTACAGTTTTGAAAAGGAAGATTCTGCCGAAATATCGATTGAGGAAGGGACAGTGGTTAGGGTGATAAGGAAACATGATAAGGAGGCTAATCCGGAATGGTGGCTGGTAGAGACATCTTTCGGTAGGGGGTATGTACCATCTGCTTACCTCAGCCCGTACAAAGGAGGCATCGGCAGTCCACAGCGTGAAGAAAGTATAAGAAAGAAACTAAGAAGCAGCCTTTCTCAGGAAAACGAGCCTGTTTCGCCTGGAGTTTGCCAGTTTGAGCATGTAAATAATAAAGTTGAGATTGGAAAGAACGAAGTTGTACATTCCCAAGAAAATGAAAAAGTTAACTCGAAAGCTACTGTAAATGGTAAAGAGCTGAATGGGCTTCATGATAGAAGTGTTAAAGTTGTTGGTAACCCAGCCAACTATTTTTCAGCTGAAAATCATGGATATGATGAGCAACTTGATGGTGTAGCAACGGAGACACAGGGCAACAAAGCTAAGTTATTATACAGGGCATTGTATGACTTTGTAGCTACAGAAAGAGAAGAACTGTCAATTGTCGAAGGTGACGTCACCAATGTTTTGAAAATTGGTGACGATAATGGAAACAGTGAATGGTGTTATGTGGAATGCCAAGGGAAGCTTGGATACGTGCCTTATAATTATCTAGAACCACTGAACGGATTCGCCCCTTAGGTTCTTGTACTCGTCAGAATAACTGTCTGTCTGTGTTCAAGTTTGTTGCATTTTTTAAAAGTTTGTAGCATATTTTACGCGATTTGCATGCAGCGGCCTAGGAAGGACATCACTGCAGAATTTTTCTGCTTCTCCAAAGCTGCAAAGCATATCTCAGCGGAATGCCCTGTTGTTGTTATGCGAGAAGCTCAGGTTTTGTAATGTGATTTGGTCGTGCCTATTTAAGTGATTAGTTGAAGAATTTTTTTCTTGTATTATAAGAGTTTTATTTCCAGATATGTTTGTCTCATATTCCGTAATTTTTCGTAAATATTATTAGTTGATGTTCATCTATTTCTTGTATATCTGTTTTTCGTTGTATCATAGATTCCAATCGACGTTATTTATATTTTGCTTAAAATAATAAAGTATTAATGTTTGTACTATAGCTAGATGTCACTCTTATGCAAAGATTTACTTGCTTTTAGAAATTAATATTGCAATTCTCTAAAGTAATAAAATTTCTGAAGTATTCTCGTCAGTGATTCAACTACTTTGGCAGGCATTTTCTCTGTTTCGCATTTTCGCTAGAATCTAAAAAAACTTCTGGAAAAGATGAAAGTGAATGCAAACTTTTTTAAAGGAAACCTTTGTTTTGCCTGTCTAAATTCTTGCTCGACGTTTCACTAGGTCTTTGATCTTTTTAAATATTTTCATTTTCCCTACTCCGTTTCACCCCTATACTCCATTTACAACCCTTCTTCGATTTGCAACCTCTTCCCTATTAGCTTTACTGGTGTTGTATAAAAAACCAGCATTATTCTCGATGCCATCGTTTAATGTAGGCAGAAATACCAATATATTCATGAACTGCTAATTTTTTCGTTTAATTTGACTTTTATTCACTAACGAGCAGGTGTACAAAAGTCAAAGAGATTTGACAATCCCCATTTTTCCAACTTCTATCGTTAAGGATAAGTGATATTCAATTAAATATGTATGTTGCGTGTGGTACTCCATCCAGAATAACGATTATACAGTTAGCAAATAAATTTAGTACCAGAATGAAAATGTAATAGTTTGATTGTTAAAAACACGACGTTTCGATGATAACGAGTTCATGCTCGAAACGTCGTGTTTTTAACAATCAAACTATTACATTTTCATTCTGGTACTAAATTTATTTGCTAACTGTATTATCGTTATAAGTGATATTCACCCACCTTAACAATATTATTTCACAGTAAGCAAATATTTGAGACACTATCATATATCTCCTACCTTTACTGATATTATTAAATCACATAGAAACGTTAATAAGACTTAGAATATATCGTTAATTAAGTACTTTGATATTCATGAAGTGAACTTTTTAATAGATGTTATAATATTTCGTGTATTTATTTCCAGATTGATTAGTTAATTGTAAAAATTTCGTTTTGGCTTGAATATTTCGTAGATGTTTGGACTCTTTTGATTGTTGTTGTTTTTCTTGATCGCTGTCTTTTGTTATTTCATCCTATAACTCCATGCGGGGTTTCTTTTCCACTCATTACTTGGTCTCAGGTATTCTTATCTATAAAAATGCCCTAAAACAGACTCATAATGATATGTATGCTTTTATCAACGAATAAATTAGGTTCATGTTTGATTCAAGATACCGATTGAGGCAAAAATGATGGATAAAATCAAGAATTTTTTGCCGTTGAAGAATGATGTGAAGATTAGCAGCATCAAGCATGAATTTTTTGTCCTTTGTGTTTTACGTGTAATTTCAACATCGTCAATTATTCCTTTTTCTCAGTAATTGTTAGTGGAAATTCTTAGGCATCCCTATTAATCAGTGGAAAAGGGGATCCGGGGCCTGGGAACAAAACAAAATTTGACGTCACATAAATGATTCAATCATTTGAGTCAGTTGGCAAAGTAGGCATCAATCGAAAGAAGGCATCAATCGACAAAGAAATCCGTTTACGAAAAGTTGTAAAAGATCTTGAATAATGGAAGAAGCGATGGAACCCTTGCGTACGATCATAGGAAGTAGACTAAATGAAAGAGCGCGGCTGAATATTGCCGGAGTAATATATGAAGCGCGCATGATAACATTACTTAAATACCCACAGACCAGACTTGGAAGCCTAGCAACGAAAATCAGAAGGACATCAGTTGATTCTAGTTCAGTACGTATTTCATCATTAGCGCTTGGCATTATCGATCTTAACTGATAACTCTTGCTCTTAGTTTCAATTTAGGAATTATTATGCATTGAAAGAACATCAAGTGTCTCAGTTTATTAAGCGAAGCTGCGAATTTCTCTAGCTAAAGTTTCAACAAATTACAGCAAAGTCTGCCATCAAGTTGCAGCGCAAGTTAGCGAGGGTCAAGCAAAGACGATTTAAGCCAGGCTTAAAGCAAAATGCAGCTTGTGAACGATAAATACCTAATCAACCGAGCTATCATTAACAATTTTGTGAGAATGAGAATAAGTTAGCTTGCGTTAAAGGAGTTTATTAATACTTTCTTCGTAGGTGCTCACTCTCTGTGATGATTACGATGAAGAAACTGGCGAAATGTTTTTTGAAAGGGATCCGACAGCGTTTCCTGCGATTCTTAATTATTACGTTTCTGGCCATCTGCACCTTCCGAGAAGTGACTGTGTGAAAGCTTTCGAGGAAGAGGTTATGTACTGGGGGATTCCATTTGATATGGGGCCGTGTTGCGACTCTTATTACTTTGAAGAATGGGCGTGTGCCGAGGCAATAAAAAAGGCGGACCAGCTTGAAATCAGTTTGAAGAAGAAGGAAAAGAATTCCGAGCCGGAGACGTCAGATTGGAAGACAATTCAAGCAAAAATTTGGAATCTGTTCGAGAACCCTGAGACATCCTTGGCTGCAAAGGTATTGATTATTTATCATACTGTGCCAGAATATTACGGACCAATGACACCATGGTTACCTGACTTTTGGAGTATTTGCTGCATTTATTGGGAATGATGTAGACTTGGACGAGGAGAAGCCAATCCTAATTATACAATGGGATCCCGATTTAACAGGCCCCGGATATATCGAACTTCCCGGTATGACGAACTAAATGTCTGGTCCCTTGGATTCTGCCAAAAAACTCCTTACAAATTTCCTCGGTAAATACATATGTACCTACTTTTTCCAAGAGCTGCCTGCCAAACCCGACGAAGAAACTATAATATTTTAAGGTAGAACAGTTATTAGGTTTTAATACTCGTTGATTATAGGTTATAAATAGAAAGAAAGACCATGCTATGGCAATGACAGCGACCTTTGCATTTCATGCTTCCCTGAAATTTAATAGATTTTGGTTATTCCCTAAATAATGGACAAACAAAAAGTCATTTTGGTTGTGTGTTATGTAAAGTCATGTTACCAAATATGTTTCAGGTGGTATCAGTCATATCAAATTTGGTTGTCATCCTCTCCACCGTAATCCTCTGCCTCAACACACACCCTGATCTTCAAACAACTGCTGCAGATGGGACAAAAGAAGACAATCCGCACTTGGCTACAATTGAGCTGGTTTGCATCATATGGTTTACAATCGAATACGTCGCACGACTGATATCCTGCCCTAACAAAAAGAAATTCCTGATTGGAGGCCTGAACATTATAGATCTTCTGACAGTTTTGCCTTATCATATTGGTAAAATCATAGCCGTGACAACTGGTGGAATCTCTTTAAACTTCAAGAATACACGACGATTCATTCAGATCCTCCGAACAATTCGAATCGTTAGGATTTTCAAGCTGGCTCGACACTCTATAGGCCTGCAAGTTCTAGGCTACACATTGAAAGAAAGCTGTGAAGAACTTGGCCTACTTGCCTTGCTATTGATGATGGGAGTAACTCTGTTTGCAACATTGGTTTACTACGCGGAGGAGCATGTTCCTGGTACACCGTTTAAGAGCATAATAGAAGGCTTCTGGTGGGCAACCATTTCAATCACAACAGTCGGGTATGGGGATATCAACCCAGTGACAACATTTGGCAAAATCATCGGCTGCATCTGCTGCGTGTCTGGAATTCTCTTCATTGCCCTCCCAATTCCAACGATTGTTGGAATTTCTCAAAGTTCTATAGCGAGCATCGCAACAAACAGAAAATTGAGCTTCACAAAATAGAGAACAAGGTGCAGGAAGGATTTGAAGAATATCCACCTGAGACAGTTGATAGGGCGAGAAGAGTTTCAATGTTTCGCCATAGACGATCAACAATTAGACCTGTCAACACTATGGCCGTCATAGCTGAGGTTTCCGTTTAGAGCTTGTAAGAGAATAAGTAAATTTTTGATTTCATTTAGGAAGTTCATTGTAACAGATTGCAAAAATTAAAATGATATCACTACTTTTTAAGACCTTCTGCCTTTTTTGTGGGTTTTTGTCGGTGCAGCTTCATGCAGATAGAATATATCGGTTTTTTAAACGACCTGTGTTCGGTTCGAAGTATAAGAAAGCATCGTTGGGAAGTGGCATTTTAGTTCGGGGCAACTGATGGCTACAAAAGCAAATCACAAACTAAATGAAATTGAATCACGTAAATGCCTGAGTAGGGAATGCATGCCATCTTTTATAAGACTGTAGCACCAAACATGCAAGTGTGCATTGGCCTTGAGTATGTGCCTGAGTAAATGCCTGAGTAGGGAATGCATGCCATCTTTTATAAGACTGTAGCACCAAACATGCAAGTGTGCATTGGCCTTGAGTATATCAACTACATGTTGGTTTTAGTTCAGCCTGGCATGTAACAAGATTACCTTGAAGCAGGGTTGCTTAAGAACAGCAATCATTTATCTTTACCCACCCAACCCAATTCTTGATAACTCCAGTTATTTATTGACTTACTGACTAAGCATACTAATCTTTCGTTTTTCATTAGCTAATTGCCAAAAAATTAAACACGCGAATATGTTGCGGAACAAGGCCATTATAAACAACTCTAGCAGCTTACAGTCGAGGTAAAAACGATTCATTTGTCTGTGTATAAACACAATATGAAAAAAAATTAAAACATAATTAGTCAAAGAATAAACTATCTGTCAAAAAATATATCATATTCATCATAAAACTTTCTATTCATCATAAAACTTTATTTTCATCATAAAACTTTATAGGGTTCTATATTTAAAAATATATGTTACAATATAAAATCTGAATCCGCTACTATGATTTGAAACAACGCAAAAATAACTCAAAGTTTAATCACATCAAACAAATAATTCAATCGGGCAACATTTCTCTATTTTATTTATTGTATGTATGTTTGAAAAGCCGATACTTTTTTAGAATAAATTCAACATTTCTAATTGTTTTCATGCGAATTAAATGTACATATGCCAAACAGAATCAATAAGATTGTGTTCAGGAAAGTTTTTCAGCGATAAATCGATTCCGTTTGCAAATTTGTCCATTCTAACATGAATCACGCCTAATCGAGCATATTGGGAGACGGGCGGAGGCAGAATAGGGGACAGCAACAAGAGTGAGGGATGTGAATTTTCCACTAAAACACTGAAATTTACGGGAGCGTAATAAAACACTGTGCTTGCCTTCACAAAATGCACTTTAAAAAAAAGACACGGTAGTCTCTTTGTGTAGAATAGATGTCCAAAATTTCATAGAGCTGTTTTGGTACACCGGTAGGCGTTTAACGTTCACATTTCTTAAACTGGTGCGCACATGAAATTTCCAATAGATCAAGCTACAATCTTTGCCAAAGTTATTTGAACATCTAAACAAATCTTCACAGTTTTCAAGTTGTTTAATATTTTCCCGTTACAAAGTTGTTTAATACCAATATTGCATGACTGTTAGTGAAATCTAACAAGGATTGGAAGCATAGATACCTCTAATTAAGGAACCAACATTGCACAGAAAGGAGGAAGGGAATTTAGCGACAGCGCAGAAAACTTTAGGAAACAGTTAAGTCTTGGGTTTTTTAACATTTTAATGTGAATATTGTGGCGTTCGAACTTCTTGGGCGAAAAATGTAACTCTCCCTTCAAGTAGTCCCAGACCTTCGGATCGTCCCGTGAAAAGAGAAAAAATATGGCAGCCCCCCCCTCCCGGCCTTTCCCTATTGTTTAGTTCGTAAATGCATCAATAGCTATCAGTATATTTTTCTAACAAATCAAAGAACTTTATTATAAACGGTTGTAAGATAATTAAATGGTAAAATTCGAGGGATTAACTCAATACACGTTTTAGGCTTAAAAGAAAATCATATCGCCACAATTGGGACGAGGGAATCCCAATATTAGGTCTGAAATCAATTTTGTCAAATATGAAAATAAAAAAATCTATAACACAAAGAAAATTCATAATTGATTATCTCATTATTGCAAAGAGGCCATGGTATCCGCTAAAAAATATGTATGTTTAAGCTTAAATGAGATATTTATCTAGCGTTGTCGAGCATAAATACCCAATGAGGTAGGTTTTCGAGCTCTGAAATTCCAGAACTCGCCAATTAGTTTTCCTTACCTGAACAGATTAATGCTTCTTCTTTTTACTCCTGCTACACAAGGAGGAATGACTTACTGTGATCCAGGTTAATATCGTGGGGACCTCAAGAGAATTCTTCAGTGCATATTTATATTAACATGAATATGTATGCATTAACCAAGGGATTTTTGTTGATACAATGCTTTTTCGAAGCAGTAAATTTGGCATACCTTTTACCATATGCACTAGTTCCTATTACCCTACCACATGAAAATAAAGCCTAAATTATTTTATTTTTACGCAATGCAATTCTTCAAAAAAAATAATCACAATACAGGTATCAAAATGCAGCAGCTAAAAAAAATAAAATACTTCACCAATTTTTCAAATCAGTCTTTGCCAGCTTCATTGTTCCTGCAAATCTTGAAATTTCCAAGCACCATTACCTTTTAAGGTAAGGAGATGTTCATGGTATGTAATCAGACTTTCTCTGTGTCCAACACTTATCAATGTTATATTCAGCTGCTTGCAGAACGTGTAAAAACACTCCTCCTCTTCTTCACCAAGTGCACTTGTTGGCTCATCAAGAACTGCAAGATAATTCAACCTCTGTTAATGCTTGCTAGTATTTATCGCTGTTTACAATAACTGATCTAATTAACAAAAAGATTGCCAGTTTAACCTATATTCTCTATGAAACTGAAAAAAATGTTTTTACAGTTGCCAAATAGTAATGGGTGCAAATAAAAATTTCACTTCATGTATCATTTTATGTTGGTATGAGTGTTTTGGTCATAGATAAAATTCAATAACTAATAACTCAGATTTTGGGATAGTTGGATGGTCATGGAAGCCAACCTTCTGATAGAAGATGGTACCTGATGATGATGATGATGAGTGTTTTAAAACCTGAACAAAAACAGGCTTTATTTCATGCATTTCCCTTTCCTTTTCCAAATAACAACTAACTTTTTCCCCTCCTTAAAAATATCATACAAAGCATTATTTACTTGCTAGCTTTGGTTTGTGGAAAAAGATTCTGGCAAAAGAAAGCCTCTGCATTTCTCCAGGTGACAACACATTGTACCATTCGTTTCCAAAATTAGTCTCCAAACCATTAATTCTCTCAAGCAGTGACATGAGTCCAACATCTTTGATGCACTGCAGTGCATTTGCTTTGTGCTTTTCACTGGACAAATCATCAGCAGATTTTCCAAGCTCCAATGGATACATGACCTGATTACATGGTAAAAAGTTGCTTTAAATTAATTCAGGCCTTTATGCAAAGATTCTTAAAAAAATAGTATAGGTAGAGTTTCAAACAAATCAAGTGTGCTAAAATAATCACAGACTTTAAACTCAAACCCCAAGTAGAAAATATTGGTTGTAAACAATGAATTTCTCAATATAATAATCAGAAATTAAAAAAAAAATCTAGTACAGCCAATGTACAACTATAGTGTCCAAAATTTTGCAAGATATAACAAATTAAATATTGACAAAAGCTAGTCAATGAAAAGGCCAAATAAAATCTCAAGCTGGGAGCATACCTGATCAATTAAAGAGCCAGATGTAAGGAAGCATTTCTGAGGCAGGAAGTAAATATTCTTTGGGTCCATTGGTAAAAATAAATTTACCTCCCCAGATTCTGGTTGCCAAAGATTTCTGAGAAGTCTCAGCAAAGAGCTTTTCCCTGTCCCTGAAGCAGAAATGTACCATTTCAACAATATGAAGCATTGCTGACAAAATACCCATATAACTCCAATACCATCTGCTAATGCATGGCAATAACTCAAATGCCACCTTGCACTGAACTGGTATGTAGCTCATTCATCTGCAATCTACCCAAGGATCACTGTCATATTATTAGAATGGAACATCAGAATCTGGCCCTCCTTTGACAGAGAACTTAAACATGGTTAAGGAGTTAATGAATCTACTTATAAAACTATTAATTAACTCCCACCTGCCTTAATTTTGTGTTCTTTTTTGTTTCTTGCAAAATGTCTCCATGGAATTTTGCACTGACCAAGAGAGAGTAAATTGTGAAAATGAAAGTCTTAATAAAAACTGGACAAGCATATGATCATAATATCTTCTCACACACAAATGAAGCTTTCCATACTCCTTTAGCAGCAATCAGAAACAATGCCAAAAAGTTTCCTCCTCTAAACTCCATCTGCCTGACATATTTAGATATGAGAATTTAGTCAGGCAACAACTGTAAGAAAACAAACTTAATAACAGCACAGTTACCTGTTGCACCCATTATTAGAATGCTTTTCCCCTTCATAACAGTCATGTGCATCTTGTCTACTAAACTTTTGGTGGAACCATTTGGAGAATATGTTACTGACTTCAAATCGTAAAAAATGTTCTGCCCATGAGATACCTCAGTTGATCCACAGTTTTTCATAAATTGGTCATAGATTCTTTTGCATTCTTCACTTTGACTGACAAGGCACTCATAAAGTTCTCCAATACGATGTGTGTAGCCTGCAATATCAGTGATTTTGCCGGCAAGGTCCATCAACGTACTGAAACAATTTATCAGATACATGGACACAAATGCATTTTTACTTATCAGTGAGCTGAGTTGCACAGAGTTCAAATTATCATAACTTCCAGCAAATATTGGAATTGCAATCACAAAATAGCTTAAAACAGAACCAAGATAGTCAAACAAATTAACACTGAGGTTCAACCAAAACTCGTAATTGACAATTGTCTGTTGAATCTTAAGCAGCTGCTGCAGTTTGGTGTCGACCTTATTCCCTTCAATATTTGATCCTTGTAAAAATACAATAGACTCTGAATTTGTCCTGATATTGACATGTTTGAATCGAAAATCTCCTTCATTTCGTTCTTGCTGAACAACCAAAGAAACGATTGGAGACATAATAATACGATTGATGATAGACCCAATAACAAAATAGGCATAGATGCTTACTGGACCGAGATAACCAGTGCTCACAAAACATTGGTATGAGTAATAAGCAATTGTAAATGGCGATATTAGAAGTTTAGAGCTGATCTCACTGAACTGTTGGCAAAATTTATCACATCCTGTGTTATTCTCTGATCGGCGTTGTCAACTCTCTGCTCTTTCGTGTTGATATGGAAGAAAGTTTCTTGGAAAAAGTACTTCTTGTGTAACTTTGACGTAATAGCATCCCTCCACTGCACGTATAATACCCCTGAAATATATTTCACGGCACTATTCGCCATGGCAATGGCAACGATAAAGTATATTGCTGTGAAAACGAGCGGCCTAAAACCCTCCGTGTCTTTGGCTCCAAGAACTTTGAAAAACTTGCTTGGGATAAGCCCAACATTGTAGATAATATACTGTTGACAAACAGATGCAACAAGCAATAGTATGAACAAAAGTGTGGGCTTGCACATCAACTTTGGGAAAATAATTTTGCTGCAAAGGTAAAATCTTTTGACAAATAAACGATCGAGGTTATATTTTCTGCTCGAGTTTGCCTGGCTCATTTCATTGTCCTCAGCAATTTTAGGGTCTGTAATACTATCACGAGATTTTTCATTAAACTTTTCATCTTGCACGAATGCTTCATTCTCTTGTCCCTTGCCAGCACCCATCTTCCCCTCCAGCAATTCTAGAACACAAGTTTTCAACTCTCGACCTTTGCTCTACATGGTTTTGGAAAATATTGAAATAGCCTCGTTTAGAGTAAGTGTTAAAGGCTTGCGGTGGGCGTGAACAACAGCTGTGGTCTACCAGAGTACAGTTCAACTATGACAACCAAACTCGCATTTTAAAACATTTATCTTGAAATATGCATGGTTTGTTTTAAGTTTACGTGTCAAGGATTTCTTACCGCAAAACTTAATAAATTTCGTACACAGCAGTTGTAGAAATTGGCAAGGAGACAGCTCAGTAAAAGACCTTTAGCACAAAGCTGCTCAAACATATTTCCTATCAAATTTAGCGGACTTCTTGGCTCAGTTCTCTTCCCTATTCTCATTATGCCGGACCTTTTCGGCTTTTCTTTTCGAAATTCAAAGCCATATGCCAAGTACCTAGCTAGCACAATTCGACAGGGGGCCTGGGCGCTCTCCCTCCTCCGAACTCCGCCAAATATGCTTTTTCCAATTTAGTGTCATTATCGTAAAAAAAGACAGTGCTATATCATATTAAAATCACTTTAAAATATTAGATAGAACAAGCACAAAAAAGAAAAGGAATTTATGTTCATTATAAGTTCAATGAAAACGGAAATCTTAGTCATATTACTCTAATATATCATTATATCATGTTACTTGATATTACGTAAAACATCAAGTTTAAGTCAACACTAAGATGTAGGAATTTACAAGATCTGATAGATCGTTCACTTCTAATTAAAAAGCCTTGATTAATGCTCTTTAAACAAATCGAGCCTGTGTTTTCAATTCAAGAACAAAGATAAAATAAATTCTGGATAAAAACGGTAATCAAGAGAACTTTTACAGTAAAATTTGGCTTATTTATTAGAGGGGGAAAAGAAAAGTCGCATGTTAAAATGCTTGATCTGCCTGCAAACAGTGTGTATTTTTCAGACACTGACTATTTTTACAAGGTTAAGATTCACAATCATTGGTGACATTTTTGCCTGGAAGCCCCCTTAAGTTATAGCACTTAAGATTTTCAATACGTTCTAAGAGCTACATTGAAGTACGTCAGCTCACCAAAATGGGTGGAAAGTTATACGTGTTATTTAAACAAACAACATGGATATTTCGTTCTAGAACATAACACCGTGTCTTTTTGTCATCAAATGACGGCATTTGCGGCTGCTTGCATTGCTTCCTTTCATGTCAATGTTCAACGAACTAAGGCAATGTGTACTTTCAATGGGCACAACATAAGTTTGACGGCTTCGTAAAACGAGATAGTGCAGTCTTCAAGGAAAGGTTTATTTCAAATGCTACCTCGTGTCGTCCTGCAAGAAGAATAGTGTTAGGTCTAGATAAGCTCAAAGATTTATTCGGGTTAGCTACAGGTACCTAAAAGCATTCCATCGTATAGCAAACAACTGTTTCAGCGTTTCTTGAATACACCAATTTCTGTAGCTGGGTCATAATCATTTTTTAAGTTTAATAAGTGATGGGCATAAATAGTATTATGATAAATTTAAAAAAAACAATAACAAGAACTATTATATAGAATGAAAGCTGTTCAATCAAAATATGATTATAAATCAAAAAGTAATTTCCATAAACTAGTATTTTATGAAAAAGATGTCTTTCCATATCTTTATTAATTGCACGTCCATTAAGACTTTTTGCCAGCAAAACATTCAGATTTTCTCAAAATTCTATCGTTATCTATTTAGGCTGATTGAAACTTTACTTACAACAATTTGTGAATCTTCTTCGTACACAGGGCTTGTGTACAGTTCTTCATTATCACGTGTGTCTACCAGATTTTCAACATAGGGAGTCGCTATCCGCAAACGTTTTTCCCTAGTTCCATCGTCATTTGACTCCATTTGATCTAAATACTGTGTCTCGTCCTCTAATAGGCTTGATCTACTGTTATGACCAATATTTTGGTTCTGTTTATTTTTCACCGATATACCCCAAGGCCAATTAGGCTGAGGTACCTGGGTTGGAGTTTGCTGTGGTTGAGTCTTAAAATTGTCTGTTTTATTGCCAGATGCTGGCTTCCTTCTCTCCTTTCTCCTATTTTTCTTCTCTTTGGCTTTTTGTTGAGCTGTCCAACTTTCCTTGTTTTTCTCTTCGCGTTCTTCCTTTTCCTTTTTCTGCTTCTCTTTCTTCTTTGCTAACTTTTTCTCCTTTTCTTTTCTCTTTTTCTCCTTCTCTTTTTCTTTTGCTAACTTTTCCTCTCTTTCTTTTTCCTTCTTCTCTTTTTCCTTTTCCTTCTTTTCCTTCAATTTATCAAGCTTCTTCTTCCTATCCTCTTTCGTTAAAATTCCAACTCCTAGCTTTCGTGAATTTCGCACCGTTTTAACTTCTAAAACAAAAATGGTGGTGCTTTTCATTGAAAATTATCAAGGGCAGTTTACAACATACTGACAAGAAAGAACAGCTCTTAGACGTTGCTGAGGTTTCTTGGACGTTGCCCGTAATACTTAAATGGTGCTGTTTTGGAATTCTTTAGCATAATTATATCCTGTTTTAAGCAAAAGCAGAACAAATAAAGGCAATTAGCTTCAATAGAATCAAATTACTTTGTATAAATTCCAAAGATTAAACAAAAGCAAACTAAGCCTGAAAAACAATATCAATTTTACAGCAGAAACTTGTGCATATGACTGTATGAAAACTGAAAACAAGTCCGCTTTGATGTACTAAAAGCAAAAGAAAGGGTTACCTCCTTGTAGCATTCGCTCCAGCATCGTAGGCATTTGACTCAAACTTGGGTAGGTGAGTGACAGAACATGGATAGCACTTGGGCTTGAAGCTAAAAGTTTCTGTTGAGTAGCATCAAACATTGGTTTTTTCGACACACCCAGGCAGAATACCTTGATTCCTTGAAGACAAAATATAACAATGAAATGATTTTTTCTTTTTAAGGGTATATGTCTGATTGTGACTGTGAACTTTAATGTATTTTTAGGGTGCTAGCAGATAAAATGAAAACAGAAACCGTGTTTAGGGTTATGGAATGCATTTGAAACTTTAGGGACATAGGAGGCCCTTGCTGTGTCTATGGCGTCCCCGGAACAATTAGGACAGTTCTCGTTCAAAAAGAAATTCAAAAACTTGAGCAATCTGTCAGGAAATTTAGAGGATAATAAATGTTCATCGGCAATAGTTAACATAAAAACATATATTGGTTTGTAGGGGAAAGCGATACATTTATAAAGAAATCTGATGCAAAAAGTATTGGTTCATTTTTGTTCTATCAAGTAACATGACTAGCCTAAGTAAACAGATTGAAAGATATAAAAAAGATGAACATGCAATGACACAGTTATGTCTAAAAAAATTTCCTCATATTCAAAAAAATATTTTCCTTGATAAAAACATCCCGAGAAAAAGACACCACTTCACGACGCTAGTCAGCCTTGGTTCTAAAGGTGAATTCTGTAGACATTGTCACACAATTGATGTATTATCTAACTCTTTGTAGCATTTTCTATGGATTTTTCGTTATCTTCTTGTATAAAAGTTGTCAATGGGTTATATACACAGCTTTCGATAACTGGATACTTTTTAATAAAGCCCTAGCAAAGTGATATGGTCAATTCGAAAATTCTATCGTTCGTTTGCTAGTGGGAAATAACAAAATCTTTAAAGTATTCAATTCACTCGAACTTCCTGACAAAAGGATAAGGATCTTTGTAAAGACACCAGATAACAACTAAGAATAAACCCCCCCCCCCTCCCGTCCGAGAAACAACCCTTTTTAACTTAGTTTGTGCTCTCCCAAATGAGCAAGACGTTAATCCCACTTTTATAATCTTTTATTTTCTGGTTTCACCGAATATAATAATATTTATCCCAGGCAACAATGATTTTTAATTTTTTCCAATTGGAGATAATAAAGACATGATAATATTCATGTTAGCTGAATTGAAAGTTTGCTAATATATTAGTTGAAAATATATGCAAACGATTGAGTGAAGCAAAATTCATGTTTGAATCAAAAGTATTGACCGCACCTCTCATCTTCATATACCCAATCATTAGCCGTACTCTTTCGGTTATTTCATGATCCCCTCCGATTATCAGCACTAAAACTTCTTTCAAGTGTTGCCTCTTTCCCAAACCAGTATCAAACAATTTTTCTCCAGCGAATTCAATTGCCTTTGTTAAATTGGCTTTTGTACCAGAATATCTACAGAGTTATGAGATCAAAAATAACGAATCGATTGTTAGAACAATACAATATATATTCTTGATAATGCTGCCTTTTAAATTCTTAAAAACAAATAAACCAGTTTCTTAAGCGGCCATGCAGAAACAGGGAGCGCTCTTTAATCGAAATGGAAGGGCTCTATATTAGAAAAGTTTGTAAAGCAGTTATTGCAATTCATTTTACTAATAATTGAATATACTAAACATTTTACTAAACATTTCTTCGGTAAAGAAATGAATGAGGCAATAAACAAAAATATAGTAAAACAAACTTAATAAGAAGACTATATTATTTTGACTAATAATGATATCAAATTGTGAAGACCTTGCAACATCTAAACAGTTAACTACAATCACCTCATATCTTTGATAGCCTCCTGTATGCTTTCTTCGTCTTGCTCGTCTTGAAAACTCAAATCGAGGTTGGGCTCTTTGCCGTAAGATATAAGGCCTAATTTGTGTTTCTTCGGCGACGTATGCAATGACGTGAACAACACTAGCGAGTTCTTTATTTGCTCGAAGACTGAAGAATTTTTTATGTTGGAAGACGAGTCGATGACGAAGGCGATTCTTTCGTCTAACGAAGGGAAATGAAGATTTGAGATAGTAAACTGCGGAAAGAATTAATGAAGCGATGATGAATCACTAGAACAAAATCGTCCCAAATACTAAGACAGGGACATGAACTGACGGTTATGTTACAGGCGAAGGGTAAGAAATTTCCAAATGATAGTAAGCCAAGTGTCTTATTTCACTTAAATTGTACTAAGCCTTTACATAACATTAACACTATTTTGTCAGAGCCTCAACATTAAACTGTCAATTCCTTTCTCAATTGAGAGAATTATCGGCATTAGAGTTCTGTAATATTTTTCTCTGACGTAAAATATTCATTGACTATACCCTGAATCTTCCGAATATTCTCAAGTTTTCTGACTTATTCAAAGAGATTCAAAAGTTTCGGGCTATGACACTCTTCCTCACATCTCCTGCAGTTACGTGCCTGTACTTAGAAAATATTTTTCCAGACTAAAGAGGTGAGTAGCAAATTTCAATAACTGTTACTTTTCAACTCGATCTACGCTCAAGAAAATAAATTAAAAAGTAACTGTCCTGAGTATCAAAGAGATAAAGAATGCATGGTTGTCAAGCGAAAAGCCAAAGTTGTATAGGATAATAAAACTAAGTGTGTGTATTAATGACATGAATCACGAAACAGTTGAAGTTGAGAATGTTCACTGTGTGGTTAGTTGGCAAGAAATGTCATTTTGGTATATGAAAGTGAGATATGAAAGATATATGTGAGTTACGAACTGAAATCAATGCTTTTTATTCAACTTTATAACTGTCGTTAAGAAATGTATGCATGATTCTTCAGGGGTTCGCTTCTCCAGAGCATTTCAGCCTGTAGAAAGTGTCCTAAAACCATGTTGTCTATACCTCCTGGCTATGAGCATATCAAAACATCGATGAATCGACGTATCCAAAGAATTCCTCCTTATTTACTTGATTGACCAGAAAGCAAGAGAGAACCACCATTTTTCAGTCAGCATACAGTGGAGAAGTAAGGTCAGGGCACCAGTAAAACAGATCAAGCTAAACAACGTAACGATGGTCCAAAATTACCTGCAAGTGTTAATGCTTCAGCTGTTTTTCTGCTTTTGGTTTTGCTCCAAACTAAACTTCCAGTGTAACCCTTGCTACCATTTCTTGACTCATTAGCATTGCTATTTGCAAGGGAACTTCTCAGTTCTGGAATTTTCCACCTTCGTTGCCCTTCTGTTTCAAATTTATTTAACCCCTCACTCAACTCAAACGGTTCGTTCGTCTCCATATTAAGCATGTTGCCTTCTAGCTGAGAATCAAGCTCATCTTTAGCATCAACCGCTGGTATTATAACTAAATGGCTGTTTTTCTCTTTAAAACCGTCTAAGACATTACGTTTAGTTGAATTTCCAACCGCGGTAGCAACTTTGGTCTGTTTCTCCCCACTCAGCTCGAGAACTTTGCTTTTTGACTTCAACAGAGAACTTCCAGGAACGACAACCAAATGCGAGTTATCATCAACAATGAAACTATTCTTTAACGAGCCTCGATTTTGTTCTTTAGTCTGAGAGGCTGTCAATCTTGAATAAAATTTTCCTTTTTCATTATTTATAGCTTTGATAAATCTTTCGTCTAACGAGTTCACTCCTTTCTTACTTTTGAAACTGCTTTCGTCTGTCTTTATACTTCTATAATTACCATTTTTAAAACTGTTTTGTCCAGTCGAAGTTTTCTTATTCGAAAGCAGAGACGCAATACGGAGTTTCCTGCTATTTTCCAAGGTTCTGCTTTTAACTGCTTCTCGTAGAAGGCTTCTCGCGTTATTGTTTTTCTTCCCTTTGCTCCCTTTTTCCTTATTAGAACCATTTCTCTTTATTTCCATTGTTTCTTTGAACTTTGAAAGCTGCTTTGGGGTAAATCCCCAGTCATATTTGAGTACATTTATTGGATACGTCAATCGCTGCCTGGACTGGATCTCATCAATGCCCTTGGAAGGGTCTTCTTTGGCCATCGAAAAATGTCCGTGGAACGAAGATACTGTGGGGACGTTGTAGCTCTCAAGAGTTGCTCTTAAAACGTCAGATGCATTTGTGCTTTTTATGGATATATTGTTCGAAGAGTTGCGGAGTTTATACATTTCAGGTTTCTCAGTATAAGCGCCTTTTTCATTTATCACCCAGTCGTTGTCTTCAGTAGCGGAGCTCTTGCTGATAACCAAAGAGCGTGATGCTGCATTCTCCTTTGGATTGCCACCCTTAAATGGTTTGCTGGTTTCGTGTTTCTTACTTGCTGTGACCTTTTTCACGTTGTACATATTGATAGTTGGTTTCGTCCTTGCTTGTTTTTTGAGCTGATTAAAAAGCTCAAGCTCAACCTCTTCACCACCTTCACCCTTATCTGACTTTTTCTTTCCAGGGTAGTTTCCCGGAAACAGTTGATCAGATATTAGAACTTCATACGGATTTGGACCTTTGGAAGGGGGAGCTGGCTTGAAGTAGTTCGGGGGTAAGGGCGCTGCAGCCTCTGGAATTGGCACTTTGTACTCTGGGAACCCAGTATTACTGGGCTGTCCTGGTTTACTTTGTGGCTGCGCAGGAGGCTGGCCGTCTTTCGATGGCATCGTTGGTGACGTAGAGGTTGATCCAGCAGGACCGCTGCCACCAGGTGTTGATGCTGATGGCCCGGCAGCTGAGCCTGGAACTGGTGCTTTCACTATATCTGGAGGTTTCAGTCCGTCACCAACGAGGTTGTACGTGGAATCTTTGTCTTTATTTGAGAGTGTTGAAGATAAAACATTTGTGGAAGAACCAACAGGGGATGCGCCTGTCGGGGTTACATACTGAGAACCTTGTGCAGCATGTGCTTCACTCTCGCTTTTAGGGGGAGGGACTGCTGGCTTAGCTGGACCCCCTAGAGGGGGCTTAGTGGGTGGTGGACTACCTATGGACGCTGGTGTTAATGAGATTCCGGCCGAACCACTTTTCTCATCATCCGGTTTGTTGTTTAAAAGTGCAGCCTTAAGTCTTTCCATCAGTTGTGGATCATGTCCTTCTTTAGCTTCTGCCAGCAGACTGGAAACCATTTCCGGGGTCATGCCAGCTCCTGATTTTTCCCCAGATGCTATAGCATCAATCATTGCCTGCAAATACGTTCCACTTTCAGGTTTGTCTTGGACATCCATCGTCTCCTTCCAAACGGGCACAACTCCCTCTCTTGAATCACCCTCAGTTGTGTTTTTCGCTTGCTTTTCTAAGTTACCAGAAGGCTGCAAAGCATCGGATGATCTATTTCCAGCATTTCCCTCAACTACTGGCTTCGAGTTCAAGCTACTCGGGGCTTTGTTATTAAATGTCGTTTTTCCCGTGTTCATCATCTGTGCCATTGTCTGCAACATATCAAGCATCTGTGGATTGACTTTTTCATTTGGTTTGCTTTCTTGGGGTTCTGTCCCTACCGGAGATGAAACCTTTGACTGTAAAAACTGAAGAAGTTTCGCTGGAAAAAGCGAATCAGACAGCTCTTGTATAGTTGCATAGTCTGGAGATTCTTGCTTGATGAAATTATGTTCTCCAGATCCCTCAGGTCTTTTTGGTACGTAGGCAGATTCAGGTGCCCCTTGGAATCTTTCAGGTACGTAAACAACATATGGTCTGCAATTATGATGATAATCCGTATTATCGTAACCATTGTCTATGTATTGGTGTTTATTTAAGTATACATTACGTCTATACGGAACGCCAGCAAATCTGTGGAGCGGTCTCCTATTGTGGTACACCGGGTTTTTAATCTTCAATTTATTATTCCTAGAACCAATTACGTCTCGTTCAATAAGAATCCGAGCCCGGAAGTCTTCAGGCTGTGCAAATTGTCCTCCTGGAACATTGTGCGGAGCCATGAAATGTTCTGTTATGTCTTGCTTGTGTACGAAATCATCGACCATTTTCTTTTCGGAGTCATCAAGGTTGCTATGACTATCTGATACAACGTCTATTTCACTATTTTTCTCATGAGGGTCTGGGAAGATCTCATGACGCTCACCATGGGACTCTTCGTTGTCTCCTGTATCATCATGGGGCCCACTCTCCTCGTGATTCTTGTCAAGTCCTTGAGGGTTTGCTAGTTTGTCAATCAAATGATGAGTTTCAGCATCTTGATGCTCACCTTCGTGTGCATCTGCACCAAAGTGTAACTCGTCACCGCCCTCTTCGAATCCCTGGTGAACATGGCCATCCGGCCCCCCTTCGTGATCAAAAACATTATCTTCAATGCCTCCAGACGGCTCTTCAGCAGAATGATCAGTGTACCGAATGCTGTGCCTTCCATTTCCTCGTTCGTGATTCCAGGTCTGCTCACCAAGATTATTTATATTTTGTTCAAACATGTGGCCGAATCCGTTTCCAACATGACCGTCCTTCCCGCTTTCAAATCCATGTTCAAATGATGCAACGCCGTGACCGTCCATTCCATGTCCACCCCCTTCACCCTCGTTATCGCCACCTCCATGCCCTCCACCATGACCGTGAGAGCCAAACATGTTACCAAAGCCATTATTGAGTCCATCAACCTCATCTCCATGCTCACCTCCACCGCCATGACTAGTTCCACCGCCATGCCCTCCCCAATTACCATGACCTGCAAACCCCATTCCACCTCCAAATCCAAGTCCCCCCTCATGACCTCCCTGACCCCCGTGACCATGACCCTCTCCTCCTCCATGATGAAAACCAAAACCTTGAGCTCCACCAAAGATCCCACCTCCTCCGAAACCATGAGCACCAGCATTGCCCTCGTCACCATGATCTTCCACAAGGCCATGACCACCAAACCCATGGCCTAGCCCATGACCTCCAAATCCTTCCCCGTGGCTTCTACTGTGCCCTTCGCCGTAACCCCCGTCACCGTGTCCTAGCAAATTTTGTGCACCCAATCCAAATTGACCAGACATGCTTCCAAAAGCGTCAGTGCCTGTTCCACCATGGTCACCGCCATTTCCGTGCCCATTCTCAAATTCAGAACTGCCGTGGCCAAATCCTCCTCCTATAACACCATTCCCACCGAATCCACCGCCATTCCCACCGAATCCACCGCCATGGCCGCCACCATGTCCATCACCATGGCCACCACCAAAGCCATCACCATGGCCACCACTATGGCCACCACCAAAGCCATCACCATGGCCACCACTATGGCCACCACCAAAGCCACCACCATGCCCATCACCATGTCCACCACCAAATCCACTGTCATGACCACCATTAAAACTACCACCGAGACCGCCACCAAACCCAATACCATGTCTACCTCCAAAACCACCGCCGTGCCCACCACCAAAGCGACTGCCGTGCCCGCCACCAAACCCACCCTCATGACCCCCACCAAATCCACCACCATGACCACCACTGAATCCTCCACCATCGCCATGACCATTTTCCGCATGACCAGAGTCATGAAGTCCATTTTCAAAATCATGATATTGGTTGCCCCAGACATTTCCATAGTCTTCGTGACCAAAAAAATTTTTATTTCCGCGCGATGACTGGTGATCAGTTCCTCCATCATGTGATTTTGAATACCATGGCTGCACATGATGTGAAAGTACTGCGTGAGGCCCATAGTGATGATCTCCTTCTTCCGCATGGTTGAAGTGACCACCTCCTCCCTCGCCATGACCTTCCCGTCTTTCATCCTCCATTTCTCCACCATGACCTCCTCCATCTCCACCATGCCCATGACCAAAGAACATACCTTTATGTACCCCTGACATTTGATAAGATCCAGTTTCTCTAAAAGTTGGGTCAGAATGTAAGGCATCCAAGAAATCATGCGTGAATACTCCTCCGTTGTTCCCAGAAAAGCCCATTGCAACAACATTGTCTTGTATTGGATTGTATGTGGACATTTTGATGTGACCGTTTTCTCCAAGATTATAAACAGCAGGATTGCCCATAGCATCTGTTCCAAAAATTTCAGGGGGATGCGCATGATCATGTGAGAGTGTGTCATGAATGTCATGAGAAGCATGTGGATGTGCATGATTGTGAATTGGAATATGGTCTTCCATAGCATCATTATCGTCGTGGTGATCATCCGAATCATGATCGTTATGATCATCTGAATCATGATCGTTGTGATCATCAAAATCATGATCAAACATATGATGTGAATCGTGATGATCGAACATATGGTGTGAGTCATGGTGATCAAACATATGCATCTCTGGTTTGTGGTGATCATAATGGTGATCATCGTGGTGATCGTCGTGGTGGATGGCGACGGTCGGAATGGCATGTATCGTCCCACTATGCTCGTGATGGTTGCCATGAATCCCGTTTTTTGTGGCAAACAACGAAGCGGCATGGAATGCTGCCTCTGCAGCCTGTCGTGCTGCTGCTTGAGGCGATAGACCAGCTTTAGCTGCGTTTCCAGCAGCTTCAGAAGCAGATGTTGCAATCAAGGCTCCAAGCTCCTCTTTGCCATTTTTACCACCCCCTCCAGCGGAACCACCAGCCCCACCAGTGGCCCCAGAACCACCTGTACCTCCAGGGGCTCCACCCCCAGCACCGTTATTACCACCAGAACCTCCGGCATTATTTCCGTTACTCCCACCACCATTGTTACCCCCACCATTCCCATTATTGCCACCTGCGCCATTGCCTCCTCCCTTTCCATTAGGGTCATTCGCAGCACCGTTTGGCCCACCCAAGCTGCGCAGACCAGCTACAACAGCATCTAAAACACCAGTTGACTCCATCTGGCCAACCAAAGCTTTTCCACCAGACATAATACCAGCAGCAATACCTGCAGCAAGACTGGATGCCATGTCGTTGGCATTCACGTTCTGATTAGCACCACCACCACCTCCATTTTTGCCATCACCTCCGCCACCGCTACCTCCATTTGCACCACCTCCTCCCCCTGCACCATTGCCACCTCCAGCACCACCAGCAGCTCCACCAGCAGCTCCGCCAGCAGCTCCGCCAGCAGCTCCGCCAGCAGCTCCGCCAGCAGCTCCACCAGCAGCACCACCAGCAGCACCACCAGCAGCACCACCAGCAGCACCACCAGCAGCTCCACCAGCAGCTCCGCCAGCAGCTCCACCAAGACCCAAACCTGCCCCACCAAAGGCATCTCCAGCGAGCCCTCCTGCCCCTCCTGCTCCTGCAGCACCACCAACTCCGCCTGCCCCACCAGCTCCCCCAACTCCTCCTGCACCGCCAAGGCCTCCAGCTCCACCTACGCCACCAGGCCCGAGCTGCCCGCCATATCCAGGTACAGCTAATCCTCCAGCTGCAAATGAATGTTAGTAAATTGTTAGTAAATTAGTAGGAAATGAACTAACGCCTTGTTTTGGAAACAGGCAAAAAATCTAGAAACTGCTACAAGGAGAATGGATTTTACACACTTGCGAGATTCACAGTTACTGTAATATACTTTAACTTAATTACAGTATTCCTATACATTGGACTACGTGTTAAACTACAGCTCTTTACAGATTTGAAGGCAAATTGATTCAATCGGAACCCAAAAACGTAGATGACATCTCTTTATGTAAACATTTAAAGTTTGATACATGGAGAAATGAAGCTTGTTGAATGACACTTTTGGTAGTTGGTAAGAGTAAAGACATACAACGTAGCATTATCAGTGGGGCAACATGATGAGTTAGGTAGGATGAATACTAAGGAAAACCATTGGCAGAAGGAGGAAAGGAAGAAAGAGGGAGGAAAGAAAGAAGAAAGATGAAAAGAGGAAAGGAAGAAAGGAAAAGACTTCCAAAAAGCGAACACGGGTTCATTTCATTTATCAACTGTTTTGACTGCTCAATATTTCGTATATATATATTGATAGCGATTTAAAGAAATTATAGAAACTCAATAAGAATCAAATTCAGGATAGGAATCAAATAAAACGATAATTAAGACAGCAGGCAAAGCTCTATAATTTGATAAGATGCTCACTATGCTAAACTTTGATAAAATCTTACAGTCGGTACTAAACATTCCCCCCCCCCCAATACCCTCAGAGCCCCATATTCCATCCAGGGCCTTTTCTGCAAAAAGAAATAACCTTAAGTGCAATTTTTCTGCATGACTAATTGCAACATAAAATTCATAGTAACATAAAACAATCAACCAAACTATCTTGCAATTGATAACTTTCAATTTACTTCTTCATTCAAAATTATCTTTGAATAGGAAAGCAAAAGAACAACATTAGCTAAAAGTAGTTCTTCAGTAACAGATGTTTCCGTTCATCATTTCTCTCCACTAACAAATAAATTACGCAGTGAAAGGTGGCCTAATGATCTGTAGACCAATTTTCTTGGAAAATTTATTCACTTTCCTTGATATTTCCTTTTTTCACAAGCGAGAATGAAGATTGACCAATGAGTATCAAGAAAAACGTAAACAAAGTGAAGCGCCTGTTAATACAACCACCACAATACATTGCGCGTTATCGTGAAACGACGTTATTATGCATACGGTCTATTGGCATTTCCAAAGGTGAAGAAACATATTATAAGCAGCACAAACCTGCGACAGGCAGAGATGCCGATCCACCTCCCTCTTGCGCCTGTTTAATCGCTTTGCTTCCAGTCAGTGGCCTACTTTTTCCAGTGTCCTCTTTTGGCATGAATTTATTCCCAGAGGTGTAGTTAAATGTAGCCCGATTCCTTCCTCTTGGCACAAGCACTGAAACTTTGTGTCTCTTTACAAGTGGTATCAATAGACCAGTTATTTCTCCCCCTGACGGCCGATTAAACAGAACATCTCTTTGCACTGCATTCTCTTTCTCCTCGTCTTGCTTCTTTCTATATGTAGCCTTGCTGCCTGATTTACCTTGAGCCCCTGGCCCGCCCTTAGTCTCTCCACGTTTCGAAGCAATACCCAGAATGTTATTCAAAGCTTTTTGCTGTGACGTAACTTCCGTATCACTGGAACTTCCACTATCTGCTGCTAGGTTGCTCCCTCCCAATCCTAGCAAAGAATTAAGGCCACCACCTCCGCCACCAGCACCGCCACCACCGCCACCACCACCACCTAGACTTCCTAATGCCCCTGCTCCTCCTAAGCCCCCGCCAAGTCCACCGCCTAAACCTCCACCAAGTCCTAATCCAGCCCCCGCATTTGCTAATGCCCCTCCTGTGAGGATACCACCAATTCCGCCTCCAGCCATGCCTCCTCCACCACCTGCAAAGTTTGCTGCCATGTTGGCGTTGTTGAGCATCTGAGTTGCCTGACTGACACCTTCAGCCGCCTTCAATGCACTTCCAAGAGCATTCCCAGCCATTTGTCCAATAAGAGCATTAGAAGGTCCACCGCCGCCTCCAGCACCACCTCCAGCCGCTCCGCCACCTCCCCCAGACGGTCCTCCGATTCCAGCGGCAGCCAACATCTTGGAATTATCCTTCATTGCTTGTACTTCACCAGCGAGTTTCCCAACGGTCTCTCCAAGACTGCCAATCTGATCAGCTATTTTCTGTTGAGACGCAGCCATCGCAGGTGCCATTGCTCCACCACCACCACCACCACCGCCTGCACCTCCCCCTGCACCACCCCCAGCAGCTCCACCGCCACCAGCAGCAGCGCCACCACCTGCAGCACCTCCCTTTTCCACCTTTGCAGCAACATTAGCAAGTTGGTCCTGCAAGTTCTTTATTCCTTCTTCTAGTCGATTTTGCCCTTTTATTTTCTCTGCTTCTAGCATAGCATCTTCAGGCGATGCTCCTCCGGCGCCTCCAAGACCTCCTCCAAGACCCTTACCAGTCTTATCCTTCGCAATGTCTGTTATTGCCGAGTTTAGGCGGTCAAGAGTAGCGCCAAGCAATGCTCCTTGTTTGATCTAGAAAATAAAAATCAAATTATACCATAATATCAATTAAAAATATTATCCTCAGAATGACTTTGATTTTAAAAGACCATGTCAATAGTTTGTCACCCTGTTTTAAGTTATTTTGTGCATTGCATGTCAAAGTTATGGTAGTAAAATGACATTCTGAAAGAAACACAATATTAATCCCACTTCATCTTTTGTTCATTCCCTGTGGACTTGGGCTGCGTTTACACGATACCGTATTGCTTTTCATACCGGATTGCTTTTCATATCGGATTGGTCTCAGCTATCCGATATGAAAAGCATACCGTTTAGACTGCGTTTACACGATACCGGATTGATATTCATACTGTTTTCATCCTGTTCACACGACAACGCTCCGCTATTCACTGTGCAGCATACTTCTTTTGTTTCGATTTTTAGCAATGTAAAATTCTGGTGATTTCGTTAGTCTACTGAGGAGAGGAAGGTCTCGGGAAAAAATTTATACTTTAGTATAGAATATGAGTTCTGGCCAGTGGCATAGAAGAAGAGAATGTAAGCAGAAGGGGGAGGCAGAAGTCGAATTGCACCCTGAATCGGTAAAGGCATATGCCAGTGAATGCCTCTTTGAGAAAGGGATTGAAAAGATGTAATATCGAATTATGAGAAGTATATATGATAAAATAATGAATAAAGATAAAATAGTTCTTGGCGTACGTTACCCGAAGGGTAAAGATGTAGAATCCGTTGATGAGAACTTTCCTTGAGATTCAGAACGAGGTTCCAGAGTGAAAGCGTATCGGATTCACCCGTTTTCACGAGATGGAATGTGGTACGGGACGTATCGGATCACTTTTCATACCACTTTCACAGCGGAGTGATTTCACTCCGCAAAAGTGGTGTACGGGACGTATCGGATTAATGCGGGGCCGTGTAAACGGGACCCCTATCCGATATGAAAAGTAATCCAGACATGAGCAATCCGATACGTGTAAACGCAGCCTTGTCGAATGCGATGATCCGCATATAAATAAAACTCAGACTATTGAAACCTCACAGTTAAGTTGCTTTAATATACACAATTTTCATCTCCATATCATCAATATACGTTTCTGTATTAATTACTATCGTCGTTGCATATCATCATCATAATCATCACCCTTTTGCCTTCAGCATAGCAAACGATCTAGATAGTATGCAAAACAACCCCAACATCTGCAATCTTAGAACTGGAGTTCCGTCTTTTGATGTTGTTTTTTTGCTATTTTCATTGTTTTTGTTGTTTGCTATTTTCACTTGTGATTTAAATCGATTAAAATATCTATCTAATATCTTTCTTATTCACAATCATTTCATATTTGGTTCGCATCTTATAAAATATCAAACGTTATTGACTCAGATCATCACCTTTGCCAATAAACTTCATTCCCCCTGGAGCCAATTATGTATATTTGTTTATTGACGATTACCACATTTTGCAAGTATACTTTTTTTAACAAAATTGCTATTACAAGCTTCTCCTATTAACAATCAATTTTGTAGAATATCAGAATTCATTCAGAGCCTCTTAGCAATTATTGCCTTCAGTCACAATTTTCTCTGTGAAAATCTTTATACTCCTTGAGGAAATCATGTGTAGGCCTTCAATACAAATCGCATCGATCAACGGCGTTTATAGTATTTTGTGATAGTGACTATGATTTTATGATAGCGGCCCATTCAATTTGAATATTACATGATACAAAACTAATTACCTGTTGAGCCTGTGCTGCCTGTTGCTGCGCTGCCAATTGTTGTGCCAATGCCACCTCTGCTGCTGATGGTCCCTGAGGCTTTGACGACTGATCAAGTCGTGAGTTGATAGTGTTAACGGCATTTTCAAGTTTCTGTAACGAATTGGCGACATCCTCATCTAAGAAGAAGATTTCAAGATATTATCATTTGTGTTTGATATTTTTAATAATTTTTTAAGTCTTATAAAACATATTAATGAAGAGCTACGCGTGTTAATGCTGTATACTTGACAAACGTTTGTCGGGTCTTGAACTCTTATAGAAACAAGAAAAGAACCACGATTGGTTGAATTGCAACCAGAAGATACACTTTAATACTATCAAGAATAATACTATTATAATATATAGTAATTATCATAGTAACAATAAAACAATAAGCAATAAAACTTGAAGAATTACGTGAACTTCCAATTTTCCAATGTCATAATCTTTATTATGTTCACCAAATTCAGAATTCGTAGCATCAATATCAACAGGGAATTTACAGAAATATTTGCTTTTTTATCTGGACAACAAGGGTGGATTTGTACCAGAACATGTTATTGAGCAATGATAGTTACATCAAGAAGCTCCGACATCAAGTCTAATGTCACTGTCTAAACTGTCACGTGTCCTTTACAGTAAGTGGAGGGTAAGAATCACAGAGTCAATAATCTTAAACCTACAATTAGGGATCAGAACAGCTGAAACCAAGATGCCAAACTATCAAACAATATTTTTACCGTAATGATGACGGTATTCCTCTGTTTCATTGTGTTCATGCTTTGGCGCTTTGTGTTTAAACTTATTGCGTTCCCATCGCTTTATTTGGGGCCCTAAAGTCTGTCTTGTGATCGGTGTGAGCAAGAGCAACCTTTGTGGGATAAAGCTGGAACTATATGGCAAAACATTATTCAGCGTTGTAAGATCAACAACAGGCTTTCGAGCGGTAAATGGAAACTTTAAGGTATTCACAGGAGCTGTTATGCCAAATTGCCTCGTTCCCAATCCATTGGCGAATGGCAGAGACAGCCTGCTTGCTTCCAAATTTCGTAGAATATCGAATGATTTTTGTAGCGAGTCCAGACTCCCCAATGACCCTGCTAGCCCTGCAGACTTTGAAATACTAGCTGTTTTTGCGCGACCTTTATGCTTTTTCCTTGAAATTCTTCGTCTGCCTTCCCCAGTCACTTGATCATGGGCATGTTTGCTCTTTGGAACAATGCTCACATTATCTGATGTAATTTTTAGAATATATCTCTTATCACCGCGCACATTGCTTCTACCGACTTGTGAGGTCGTATGCTTAATGGGATGAGTTACATATTGTTTTTCATGGGTTCGTCTCGTCTTTTGTTTACTTGTCTGGTGCTTTTGAATAGTACTTTTTGTAGGTCGGTCAAAAAAGTGTCTGGTACTAGTGAAGTCCTTTCCCGTTTCTAGTATTGTCTTTTTGAAGCTCGGCACTTCAGCTGGGACAATGGCAGCGACAGATGGTATGCTGTGGGTAGGGTGAGCTTCTGTCTCGTCAAGATGTCGTGTCTTAGGAAGAGCAACGCTCTTGTCGTTCATTTTCACAGTTTTCAATTTGGAAAGAAGCTTTCCTATTGAGAAGAAACATCTCTGTCATCTTCGAAGGAGCTTCAGTGTTAGGGGTTAGGAGACTCGGAAAAGGGAGACTATAAAAGCTTGGGGCTGTATATCAAAATTCTTATAACTGGACAAATCGTTGTAAACAAACAGTTAAGCTGCTAATCAGGAAAGAATGAAAACTAGAAAGTACAAGGAAAAGAAGAAAAAGGAATAGAAGAAAAGAGGAAAAAAGGAACCAAATTAAGGAAAATAATAAGAAAATAAAGAAGAAACAGAAGGAAATAAAACAAAAAGAAACACGTAGTATATTATCGAAAAATTATATGACGGTACCTCCAAGAGCCGATAATTCGCCCTCCTTTCCACCTTCGATCAGCCCACCTTAAACAAGACAAGTATGCAAAGTTTTTTGGCCATTGAAAATTAACATCAAACCAAAGCAAACAATAGAGCTTATACCTCGTACGGATCAAAGGCTTTCTTGTGCTCATAAAAATTTACAATACATTACTACGAAACTAGAGAACAATAACGATACCTCAGGGGACATGAAATTTCATAACAACCCTGTGGCCATTCAAAATCAAGTGAAAATACTTTCCAAAAATGATACTAGGCGAGACACCCAGGGAGGGTAATTATAAGCTAAGCGAGGCAATCAAGGGGGTTTTAGAACAAAGATAAAAGTAATGACAATCGAAAATGATCTGGGCTTTACCTGCACCAGTTGTACCTCCACCTCCAGTTAATAGACCGGAGGCGCCACCAGCAAGTGCTGCGGCTGCACCCCCTGTGCCCCCACCGCCAAGAGAGCCAGTCCCTCCTCCAACATTTCCACCAAGTGTTCCACCTGTGCCAAGCCCCAAGGCTTCAGCTAACGCACCGCCAGCACCAAGACCCTGTCCTCCACCGACACCACCGGCGCCAGTGATGGAACCGCCAAGTCCCGCTCCACCACCTCCAATACCTAGTGCTCCTCCCAAAGCGCCTCCGACACCTAACATAATGAAAACCACTTTAAATAATAAAAATATCATTCTCGAGGACACTTCAAAATCGGTTACACTTCTGTGACCTAAGACTGTTGTTTATCCTGAGTTGAAAATTGAATAGCTTGTGACTTATATTTCAAAACCTGCCTTTTGAAAATTTTGACGTTTGCCCTGTTGTAAAATAATACAAATTTTACTAAACCGACTTTCCAGATGCTGTATTGCACAGGAAAAAGCAAGCTTATCTCACTAAAGATGTACTGATCGAGAGATTGGTAACTATTACGGTATAGCCCTATTAAGTTGGACTCCAACGAATGTCCCTGCTTAGCGAATGTCCCAGTACAGTAAGAACGTTCACATGACGGGGAAAATCTGTCCCACTTAACTAAAGTCTCCATTTCCAGTATGCTGTATGTTTAAATGTTTTTATAGGCATAGAAGGTTTCTAATGACTAAACAAAACAAAGAGCAGCGAAACAAACTTGTGGCTTTGATAGGCGGTAAATTTCCTGAATCAACAAACAGTAAAGCTGAATCGATTTTACTTTTTCAATGACAGGATCGTGATGTTGCATAGAACGATGAATTCGACATAAAGCTCGACATGAAATCTTTCATAAACAAAAATTTGGATGCAATAACACAAATTATTCCTGATGAAAGTTTCATTCACTGTAAAATACCTCCTACAGCTCCATCGACTTTATTAGTTCCAAGAATGCCAGCTAGCAAATCACCAGAGAGTCCCCCGGCACCAGCCGCCGCGTTTAAAGCCACGCCACCGTTGCCTATTCCAAGCGAAGAAGGGCCTAAAAGAAAGTTATGCATACAACATCAACTTTTGCTGAAACTGTGTTCGATACGAACAGTTCGAGGAACATAATAGCATTCCTCGCATTCGAGTTAGTTTTATCAATATATCATTAAAAAAATGTTGCAGATTTCAGATTGTGAATGTCCTAGATACTAACAAATATCGACTACCAAAATAAAAGATGCATACAAAGACTTTGAATCGGTTTCTTTCGTTACCATCCATACGATGTTGTTAAGAATGGAACATTCTCTCTAGCTAGCGATTGAATAACACCTTCAAGAATAGGTTATCCTGAGTTAAAAGTAAGCCAAATAAAGAGCTTTAATCTATTGAGAAGCCTGTCTTTTTTAAGATGCAAAAGAAGCTCAAACTCACCAAGCCCCATTGCTCCGGTTCCTCCGCCGCCTCCTAATCCGCCAATTGTGCCAGTTTGGCCACCAAGCCCAGAAGCCCCAGCCAACCCTCCAATACCAGTATTGCCGCCAGTACCGGCCAAGGCACCAGTTACAGCCCCGCCACCAGCGCCAGCCACGCCGAAATTTCCTCCACCTAGCCCAGCCATACCGCCGCCCATCGCTGTCCCTCCAAGGCCAAGGGCGTTAGCTGTGCCAGTACCAGAGGCACCAAGATCACCCAAATCTCCACTCAAACCACCAACATCTAGGGAAAACATAAATCATTAAGAATGATCTATGATGGCAACAGCTTACTGGCAAAGCAGGCAAGAATTTTTGTTCAATTGGGCAAGGTCAATTTGCCAGTAGTGGCTGCAGCATTATAATCTCCTCTGGCTAGAGAGAAGACAATTTGAATCCAAAAGCGGAGATTCAGCTTTGTTTAACAAACAGAAATGAAAGAAATGCTGTCGAGGGAAAATATGTCATCCGGTTTATCTTAACAGGAGGAATTAGGAGCAAACTTGAACTTTCTATAGGAACAAGTTTTCTACAGGAAGATATACCAGAAAAAACTTTACATGATTTTAACAAAAGGTGCTTCAAAAGAACTTTCTTGAACAAAAGATTCAAGCCCAATACGTTCGTCCAACAAGTAATTAGATGAAAACAAAAAGCAATGTCTCAGCACTGACTCTCAAAAACAAAATAGCTTCAAAAGGGACTTACTTCCAGGAACTGGACCACCTGCTCCACCTGGTCCCCCGAGGCCAGGTCTTCCACCTGTGTTCCCGAGAATAGGCCCAAGATCTCCTGTTTGCGCTGCAGCTAAAGCAGGAACGATTCCTCCTCCTCCACCACTATTCGGGGCTAAAAATGATCACGTGAAGAGTGAAAACCAAACAAACATGCGAAGAGTGAAAGCCAAATTTCACAAATTTTTTACGGTGTTTTTTACCAATAGCAAGGCAAAAAACCGACTTTTCTATTTTTATGAAAGGCCCCTTTTCACTGTAACGTTCTAAGTAAAGTTCTGAATAGAAAAATTATTTTAATTGATAAACACTGGCTAAATTTCTAAATTTCTATGAAAATTTCACATTTAGCAAAAGGTGCAAGATTAATGTGCGCGATGGAATAGCAAGATTTTTTTTGAATACCTAATTTGGCAAAACTAATGAAATCTCCTGAAATTGGTCGAGAGAATTTCCCATCTGGGAACTGCACCCCAACAGACATGCAATCCGCATTCCCACTTTGGGCGCCAGTTACTTGAATGTAATAAGACTTTGCACCACCAAGACGAATTGAGATTGACGTCTGCTCCTCGGGATACCTGGAATAGCCATTCATGATGTCTCTTTAAAAGTTCATAAAAGTAAATATAATTGTAGCAAAGATCAGTTAAAGAAATAGCTAGTATCATTTTTTAAATAGAAACTTCTTCAAATGCAGGGCAATGGGAAAGAAATAGTCAGTTTATATCATAAGTGCAGGGCAATACCGTTCACTGTTATGTTTATTGGGGTTTTATCACTTCTCTATAGTATGATGATAATAGCGATATTCTACAGCAGTGGTAGGGTGAGTAAGTATTATTGGAAAATTTCTATTTAAAATGGTAAAAAATTGGTCGCTTCAAATTTCAAAATTCTCCAATAAACTTAAAGAATCAAATTAAAAGTGTAATGAGATGTTTTTTCAGTATTCCGTTCATTATTGTTTGAGCTTGTTATGCATAATCACTTTCAGCGTCATGGCAATCATATAAAATCACCTTCATGTGATTGCCATGACGAACAGTTATACAGTCATGAGGAAAGTAATGTATTGAGAAGAATCAGTAATGCTCACTTGTCCCACTGATTGTGGCCAGACCACCTCCTTTGCGAAATGATCCTCCTTATATGATCCTTTCCCTCATCCGGACTCATGTATACGTCACATGCATCATCGCAAGCACTGAAGAAATTATACTCCCCATCAGAAGGCGCAATAAACCAACCATACATCATGTGACCGTAATGGAATCCTTGGCCACGTGGGGAATCCATTCTATCCAAACGATCGCTGAACGAAGGCTTGTCCGGGTATCTGTGATTCCGGTACAACGCTTCAATTGTCGTCTCGCCGTCCCGACGGTAAATATGACGATAAAAGAGCCAGTTAACTCCAAGCGTGGCTGTTTGAAAATCAAAAAAAAGATTATTCGATACACATGTTCTAATACATTGAATTTAAGAAATTATTTACTAATCAATCTTTCTTTTCCTGCTTCATGGATACATTTGCTAATGGATGTTTTCTACAAAAGATTTTTCAATATATTTCATGTTGTTTTATTCTGATTGACGTTTTGTTGTAGTCATCGTTATCAAAGAGCACAAACTTGCTTTAAAGATCCTCTTTAACAATAAAAAACCAGGCAGTTGTATCATTGATTGTCACGATTCGCTACGTAAGAGGTCTATAGCTCCCTTTATAGGTCGTAAGAGGTATAAAAAATGTTCCCTTTGCTACAAGGAACGCATCTTGTCTTACAGATATCCCTATTGATACGATAAAACAACACCAATCCCATGATTGACAATATTATCTCTTATTCTAAAAAACAAAACAAAGGAAAACCAGCTTACAGATAACTCCTCTTTTTGTTGTATTTACAGGCCTAGTCAAACCAGGCACAGGTTCTCTAACAGTCTCCACCGAAGAACGCCTTCTTTCCATCCTTGATCCCCTGTTACCATCCACACCTTCGAGTACTCTATTGGCAGAATGGTACTTGTATACAACGATTTTGGCATTGTCTTTTCCCTTAGAGAAATCAAGAACCACCCTTCCTTTCCCTCTAAACTTCTTTGCATAATCTAGCACCTCAGAATCTTCATACTCCTCTGGTGTTTCTTCACTATGTCTTTCATCATTCTGTGATGGTGTAGGCGACTCTTCGTGCTTCATCCCGCGCTCAATTCCTTCATCTCTTCGTTTTCCATCTTCCTCTCCTACCTTCTTTTCAATTTCACCCCCATCTTCCTTCCCCTCTGCATCCTCTCTCTCTTCTGCTGCAGGCCCATTTTCCGGTATTTCGTATAGCCCTTGCCGTAGCGCACTTGTAGATGATCCTTTGTTGTTCGTACCATCATTATTGTCAAAGCTTTCAGGAACCTCGTAAAGACCTTGCTTTTTTATATCTTCTACATCTGGTTTATTTCCAGCATCGTTGCTTCCATGATAATCGTAAGACCCTTCTTCGCTTTCTGTTTTTCCCATAATAAAGGTCTTCCCGTTGCTGGCATAAACGCTGCCACCATGATAATTGTCTTTGTGGTGCTCTTTGATACGGTGAGGCAGATTGTCTCTATTCTTTGGGGAAATAGGCAGTTGCTTGCTGCCTATTCCTGGAGCTAAGGAAAGGATAAATAACATGATTAAGGTGTCACTATCACTCTGAAGATTGTACAACATGCAGTAGCTAGCGTATTCTAGAGGTACATGTTACTCCAAAGCTCCTTGAAAATAGCTTCTCTTGATACAATTTATTTACATGCATCTTTATTATAGCATTACATTATACCGCACGCGGTCTAGTATATTTATGGGATCCTTAAAAATAACATAGTAAAGTCATTTCAACTCACAGAAAGCTTTATACGTAATAACTGTGTCAAACACTTAGATCATAACAAGTGTGTGTGACATCTCTTTATACAGTAGAAAGTTCTTTATCAAAAAACAAAAGCTTTATTACAGTATCATCGGTAGTATGCCTAAAAAGTTTTAAAACACGCGTTTGTCTCTATATCATCCGCGCAAATTCCTCTGAAAAATCTGCATTACCTTTTTCTTTTAGCTTCATTCTATTCAACAAATACAATAATTAATAAAATTTGATTCTGAAATTGTATGTTTCTTGATTTAGAGGACTTGAGAGCATTTTATGTTCCAAAATTCGTTTTCTTTTCAAAACCAAAACGATCACACCCTGTTCCCGGGAATATGAAAGTGGGAGAATTTTAGTTGTTGAAGGACCAATTCTTATGAAATAAAAGCAACAAAAATATGCATCTAAACTAAAAGTAGACAAAATGCAAAACGTTTAGAGAAAACTTCACAGATTATTCTTTCAACTAACTTCGTGATCTTTTTTGCATCACATGACGTCATTTGATGATTATAAATAGAATAAGTATTAAACGAACTTACGGAGTCGAAGCATTTCGCTCGGAATTGGAAAGAGTGATTTTCCATTTGGCAACCTAACCCCTACTGATAGGTGGTCGTCCCCTGAACCTTCTAACATGTCAGCTTCGATGTAGTAAAAATGATTCTTTGCCAGCCATGTCTTTTCTGATGTCTGTGTATTTTGATACCTGATGGGGAAGAGAAGGGAAGTCTTCAATTAAAATTGGGACAATAATACGATTGTCTTCAAGAGGAAAGCCTGTTGAATCCTCAATGTATCAATTCCATTCCCAATAAAGACAAAACTACATCTTGAAGCATATCGAATTTTCAAAATTTGTTTTATTAATGCCATAAGATTTGCTCTTTAAAAATTAAATAATGATGTAGCCAGTTAAAACTGTTTCAAAATTCATTTCAGGATAATTAAAGTTTAGAATGAAATGCTAATAAAATATTCCGAGCATAAGGATCTTTGAAAGTAAAACTAACAATCAATCGTCATATTTCAGGGCCAGAAATTAAAAAATGTTTGCTAACAATGTTACATCAAACTGTGAATGTTGATAGTTTCGGTTCGGCGAGCATCGCTTCTGTGAAAACATATGGCGAAACTCACAGTCAGGGGCTGGCATAGCCTAAGTATTAAGATTTTGATATTGCTTTGAATTAGGCTAGGGCAAGTATCTTGATAAACTGCCATAAGATCATTCTTATTTGCTAAAACAACCGGACAGCTCGCTATCACCCTTTCAGAATTTGGCCTTGGTCTGGCAATGTAAAGTTTTAGTGCCAAAATGCAACTTCTGACTGATGCATAATGTACACTCCCCTCGCAAAAGTATTGCACCATCTCGAAGGAGGGTTAATGTTTGGAATGGTTGAAAACTTGACAAAAGTGCCGTCATTTTGAACTTAAGAGTGCAACAATTTTGTGAAGTGAGTGTAAGGTAAGCAAGCTAAATGCTTCAGTTCCAACTGAAGTAACTTACTCGTCAAAGCTGCCTCGCTTAGATGCTTGCACCTGTGAGATCAGCCTTCCCTTGTGCCTAGGCTCCTCATCGACGCTTAAAAACAAGTCACACATTTCGTCACAGGAACTGAAGAACTGATATAATCCTGTCTCAGGGGCTTTGAAGTAGCCTCGTATTCGTTGGCCATAGTCATCAGCAAAGTTTATGGGTGTGTCAAAATCTTGAATGATGTCAATCAAATCGGGGTTGTTTGGATATTTTGATGTTTCGTATAACGCTCGTATTTCACCTCGGGCTGTTGGTGTGACATCGTAGTATACTTCTCGAAGCAAGCCAGGAAGTGCATGGTCTACAATAGAAAAATAACCAAAGTTGCTGATAGGAAATAAATAGAATAACAACCCCAGGCAGAACCATTGAGACAAACACTCCAATACGTGTGGGATAACATAAAAGTGAATCCGACACTTACATTCGCCTTATCATTTAGAGTTTTAGAATAGGTTTTTTAATAATAGGAATATCAAGATTTAACCAAGGGAAGGTGTGCAGAAGCTCAATGTTGTCTATTAGAAATTGTAAATATTTTTGTGAAAGGTATGATGCATTTTTGGGCATATTCATTGGGCTGAAAAGACCAGCAAGAAGAGTTGAGCATTAAAAGGCAATTCGTTCACATACGTCAATATGAGTACCGTAAAAAACATCGTTAAAGTCAACTCATATCAAACGTCTAGCTAGCAGCACTAACCAAGGGACGATGAAGACATCGAATTCGATGAAAACTTCGAGTGTTTTCCCTGGCTTCTCGATTTAGGGACCTCGACTCTAGCGCCACTTGTCAGAAATGGATTGTTCTTCATCTCCATATTGAGAACTAAGCATGGAGAAAAACATAAAAATTAACTTAGAATAATCGATGAAGAGCAAGAATTGAATTCGAAATCAATGTAACTGGAGTTGAAAAAAGAAGCTCAAAAGGCCAAAATTTGTAATTAGCAAAACTGATGCAGAGAAAGACCAGATTCTGCAACTATACGTACATTGGAGGAGAGAATCGTATTTCAGTGACTTTGAAGGAGTCAAATGGGGTTTACCAGGCTTGGCTGAAACGAAAGAGCGACATCCACGGTGACAAATGTTCAATAGCACGTTCGTTGGGCAGAATTTTATAAAATCATGAGGTAATGAAGATTAACAGAAAGCGACCTATTGTACAGTGTTGGTTGATGTATACGATTTCAGATTGCAAGCTACTCGATGTTCCACGCTTAATTCGATCATAATTAACGAAATAATTACAAAATTAAGTTAAACAGCATAATTAAAGAAAATTAACATTTAAAAAATGTAAGGAAACATACCCGTGGGCACCTCGCTTATTATCTTTTTCAAAACAGAGTGAAGAACCATTGCTTGCTTGATTTTTTTCAAATTTTCGTCATCAACATCTCTTCTTTCCCTCGAGTTAGCTGGATGAAGAAAAATGCACACATTGATACGACACAGCTATGTTTCTCAAGCAAACCATTAAATCAAAGCGAGTTTCCATTTGAGCAATCGAGGTTTAAATTCGAAATTAGGGAAGATTTGGGATCTGATTTGTAACATTGGCCTGTACTGGACCAAGGTGCTACGTAACTTGGCTAAAATTCAAGAGAATGTTTACCTAAGCAGCTGATGAGAATGAATTAGAGACAGGCCTATTTTTACAAAAAAATTATTCACAAATCGTTGTGAAAGTATCGTTAACTAATTAAAATTAGTTTGCCAAGGGTGTTATGTTGTGCTTCTACATACAGCGTAGCAAAGCCGTATTGCGGAGGAATACAGTTTCCTTCAGGGCTCTTGTCATAAGCATGTTCAATACAGATCTATTAAGCTTGAGTTCGCATAGCTTTTGGCAGGGAGGTAGAAGCATCGAGACACAAGGACACATTGTTCTTTTTACAGAACTGACCTCCTGGATTAGGCAATCCTTTCTTCTTTACAGGACACTTTGCAAAAATTAAATCGATCGCCACTAGCAATACGTATTTGGATCAGGCAATACTTAATACCTTGATAATACGCATTTGGCAAAATACTTCAAGGGATCATCGGGGCGGGGCCTACAATCAGCTATGTGGCTATGTGTATATGTGTGTTATAAGTGATTTTGTGTCAAGCAAAATTATCCGTGTATAATCTGTTATTAATTGACCGAGATTCATTATTTCAAATGGCCAGTACAGACTTTACACGAACGCTCGCCATAAACTAAACATGTTCCCATCACTTTGTCAAGCAAATGAGATGATTCATTGATAAACAAGTTAACATTTTACCATTTTACCATTAACACGCCCGCTGACTAAAGGCAAATCAAAAAGGCGCTTTTTCACTTTTGTTGGCTCAATGTGATAAATACGCGGGTAAAAACGCGCCATATTTTGATTATTTTGATCGGTTGGCACTCTGATGAATCATGGACCAAATAGCCTCACGAATGCCAATATGACTATCATTAAAACATAGAATATGGAAAGATTTTGTTATAGTATAAAAGAAGCTTCTTTTACTCCAAACATCCGTATGTCGTCATTCGTGTCCTTTTCTATTGCAGTGCAGCTTTACTTAAGAGCAATGAGAAGGAGAAGTAGCTTCGTAGGGAAGACTCTCTGAATTGTAACTTTGAAAAGCACTAGCAAGATACTAGAATTTGCTCGAATTACACAAATTTATGTGTTGAATGAGAAATATAGAATAATGAAATGATAAGTTTGGAAAAATTATATTTTGGAATAAGCAGCTCTTAAGTTGCTGTTTGATAACTGCATTTCAACAGTAAAGATGATGGATATCCTGGGATAATTTCGAGGCAAACAAAGTGATCAAGTTTTTAGAAGTCAGCTCCTTGTGTAATTTGGTCATTGGGGTTAACAGTCAAATTTTCTTGCTCCTGGCACTCGTGTATGTTTAACGGAAGAAGTATCTTATCAGTTCAAATCATGTTCTGAAGATTGCTAGCCAGTGTTACAGACCAAAAACTATTAAAAATTGCAAGACCATTTACGCTTTAAATGTTTTAATGAAATGACTGGCCACGTATGTTGTATAGAAAATTGAACGGTGAATGCCGTGAAGTGTAGGAAGGGACTTTTGATGTCTCCAGGTAAAGTTTACTCACGCAGTTAAGTCAATTTCTATTGATTATGATTCACATAATGGCGTGAGCTGGAAATTTCACTATTCTTTTTTCAGACAGAAAGAATCGGAAAATTTCGAAATTTGTTTTTGGCTAAGCCTTTGAAAAGAAAGTCATCCATAATTTTTGAAACTATCATTGAATAGCTTTTCTGTGTTTAGCTGAATTTTCCTTTTTTTCATACTCCAAACAAATTTACTGTTTATTCCCATGTTTAACACACGACTCTAAAATGGACGTCAAATACACGTTGACTCTAAAATGAGGGGTGTTAGTAATTTGCTTAGATCACGAAAGATTCAATTTCTTTGTTTATCAGAAAAGAATTTTCAAAAATACTCTTCGTATCATGTTAACATAAGAAACATTTCTTCATATAGCTTGATTTTCTTGATTGGACTTTACTTAAGATTAGTTGATCTTCTCTCTGGTAGGTTGATAAATTTAAATATTTAATCAGCAACAAAGATCGTCTTATAAAGGTGATTCTGAAGTAAAAAGGAGATTAACGGAAGATTCATATTAGCGATGGGCCTTGAATAGAGTATTCACCGCATAACAGATCAAGTTTCCTTTACTTTCGAGTTTCGTGTTCCGCCATCCAGTGGCATTACATTGTGCAGGGTACAAAATATATCATTTTAGGCCCTGCTCTTTTAATGTCAGAAAATGCCTTAATACCAACGGCTAGCGGTAAATATACCAATAGGGAGCGCTCATGTCTAACTTTCTGTGACATTGAGGCATTTCAAACATGACAGAATCATCTTCCAAAGAATACTTTGCCAATATACTAACCCACCTTTAACATTTCCTTGGCAAACTTACAAAATCGACCCTATCGAAACCTGGGGGGAAGTGTCACCCAGCCCCTCGAGGCAATATCATTAACATGATAGATAATAGTGCATCCAACATTGAAAAGACAACAAAACAATAAACAGTATACAAAAGTGTGTCAAAGACCTCCCAAAGCCATTCGATATAAAAGAATTTACTTCAAGTTCTTTTCTTTACGGTGTCTACATCATAGTATGGATAATTGCAAGAATAATGCACAAAAATGAATGAAGTATGCAAATTACAAGATTGGAGCTGATTAATCGGAATAAATTACGAGTTATAAAAACTATATAAATTTGACATGTATTTACAATGTCATGGTCGGTATCTAATCTAAATGACAACTTGACTGGACTAGAAACATTTGCTATATGAAGTTAACATAAAATGCAAAGCATAACAATAAACAGAAAATATACCAATTAAAGAGTTATGAATAAAATTTATCAGCTGTTGTACTTGTTAATTAGTTTGCGTTTAGGTGCTCTGACAATTTCCAAGGTACCTTTCTGAAATTGCTTTGATCTTTGATAATTAAAATTCAGTTTTTCGAAATTGCATTTTATCCTTTCGTTTTCTTAGATACTAAATAATTTTGTGGCTACATTGAATTTACAGAACCATCACATAATTTTCAACCAATCAATTCTTGAACATTATCAATAAAGAATTAAAGACATCATTTGTTCTTAATTGTGACAGGCTTTTCTCAGAGTCTAAAAAGTTTGATGTGAGACCTCAACGTCAATTATGACCAAATATCAGCGTAATGATTTGATTTGTGGTTGACAGAGTAAAAGCCTCACAAGTTTCTCAGTCCCGATCCAGCAATAATTCGTCGTCAAACAACAACACACGTTATAGATTTTACTGTATTCGCTTTGAGGTTATGTACAATGATACCCAGATACTAGGTCAACAATCTCAGTGCAACATCAAAGAGGCATACTACCAGATTCCGTCATTATCATTAGGTTTTGTCAATACGATGTGTGAATGCTTAAGTGTTTATGGAAGTTATCGCTAACTCTGCTTTTTCAAAATTGCAGGATTTTCCAGATCAACGCTCGGTAAAATTGACAGCCTCTCTAATTCTGGCCAAATCAACTCTTCCCTGCAATTTTGAAAAAAACAAAGTTAGCCACTTACAGACTAGAGGGGTACTTCCTAACTGCCTATAAACCCAATATTTTTATGAGGACGCTTTGGTGCCTAGATGTCGTTTATGAGGACGCTTTCCTGAGCCCATTCACTAATCATTATGCTTTTATTTTGATGAAACTGGACTCGTCATCCAAAGGTAAAAGAAGCTGCATTGCCACAAGCTTTTTCATTCATAAATCTGCTCTATGGCCTGAAACGACATGTCTATCAGTGATATTTATGAGGCTATATTTGAAATCTAAAATATTTGAAAGTAAACAGCCTTCTGATAACGATTTAGCATCAGTTGATGCGTATAAAGCAAGACTAGGGGACTTTTTAGTTACAGTACTAAGAGGATATATGCCTCAATTCAACGCGTGGTGTTTGAATGCCCAAGAACGATTTCCTCATATAGCCTATGTGCAAAAGTCAGAAACGTCACCATATACATACAGGTATGCAGATTATAGGTACGTTTGGTGGTTTACCATTGAGGCTTGAAGGCTTGTTACAAAATGATTGAAATTATCGGTCCGAAACAATATTATGATAAAAGAGAATGTGCCTCGATTTCTGTATAAGAGTAGCATTGCCGGTCTATAAAGAAACATCCGTCCATTTTTTACCACGAGTTAGTCTACCTAAGGTTTCAGCCCCCACCCCCTCCCCAATCAAATATTTCTATTTTGCGTCTAAATGATGTCATTTCTTGATAAAAAGATCTTACGCTAAATACTATTTCCGAAAATGAATTACTCTTTTCCTAAAACTTTATTATAGAAATCTCTGGGGATACAAGAACATAATAAAGCGGAAGGGATGCTCTAGAAATCCTACTTCGCATGATTCGCATGGAATTAAAAATACTGGTTTACCTGGTATAAAACTAAATGTAATAAATGTGCTTGGATATGCTGCGGTTATGATAGGCCCCCCCAGAAAGGTTATAAAGATATACGGAAATCAAGCAATTCCAAAGGTACACGGAGATCAAGCAATTCCAAAGGGAAACTAAGTGTTTACAAGGCATTGAGAAACAAAACAATAACAAAGTTTTACTTACGATTGATTTTGTGAGTGCGTTTTGAGTGATGCTTTCCTAACGTTCTTTTGCTTCCAATTGTTTCTGATCGTTTGGAGCCTTCAAAAAGAAGAAGAAGAGAAAAGGTAAGTTCTATATATTTTCAAAGATACCCATGGTATCTCTACTTTGTGGGCCCCCACAGCAAAATCTTTTCTCTGATGATTCTGGTATCCGTTGTGTGAAAAATGAAAACCGGGCCCTAAGCCTGCACAATATCTCAATCTAATAACTAGGGGGCCAAAATAAAAAAACCCCTAAGGGCCCAGGTTGCCTCCCCCATCACTGGCAAGAGTAAGCTAAAAAGGTTCCAGCTGGTGTGGAATCTAGCAAGATATAGGATGTATCAAGGGCTACCAATATTCTGAAAATGGATACATTGTCGGGATTCGGTCAAGAACTTATGAAAAATCAATCAGAATTAATCAGATATATGTGTTTTTTATATAATGAGGTTCTAAGATGTTGGAAGGTTTTCCAAGCTCTAGGAAAATTTGTCTAGAGGTGTTTGTAGTACTAGTTAAAGAATTATTAGACAAATAAATCTTTTTCAGGAACATCGAATAAACGGAGAAAGTTTCAATCTAAAAGAAGAGAAATTGGTGGAAATCATAAGATAGTAACAATCAGAAATCAGTTTTTTCTCAACTTGAGTTGAATAAAGTCAATTGTCAAACAGAGCATATCGCAAGACCCATTTTCCTTGTCTAGAAACAATGCTTTACTTTCAATATGATTCTTTAAAATTAAATATCTCCGTTGAACATTCTTGGAATTGTATTGCCGACTCGGTCCGCCTATGGACAGGTTGCAGGAAACGTATACACCAATTCGACTTACGACCTCCTTTTGGAAATTTCTCCAAACTTAATTATACGACTTTTTTAAGCTCAGATTTGGTTTTATGGTCATAATTTTAGGCGGGATGCCATTTTTCATATTGTTTCAGCTTGTATTTTAGATTTTACGGAGAAATGAAGTTTGAAAACTTGTAAGGGATTTGACCGCAAAAATCGTTCCGGGGGAAACTTTACCCCCCTAGTCGCCAATCACGGTCAAATTCTTTATAAAGTTATTATCTTTGTGTCGTCATAAAATCAATATCGAGAGCAATATGATAATGAAAACTTACAATTAGACTAAAATCATTGCTCTCAATCTGAATCTGAAGTCAAAAATTTTATACAAATAAATTTTGAAGAATTTTTCAAAACGAGGCCGTAAGTCAAATTGGTGTATTGATTGAATGAAAGTGCCTCTCTGTAATTTATGGATAAAATGTTTATTAGCCCACTGTAATTACTACACAAACCTAATTTTTTACTTCTACCTACGATAATATCTAAAGGCTAAGCAATACCCTCATTGGAAGTATCAAACACGTACCCTTTTCGCTTCTGAATTTTACACGTGGCAGTTCATGTTTCTTTGAAACCGTGTTCAGCCTCGTTTGCGTGATGAATGATGCAGGCAAAGGCCTAGCCATTCGTCCACTTGGAAAGCGAGCACCAACCGACAAATTGTCACTACCATCTCCTCGCTTCACCATGATTGCTTCAACGTAATATGACTTCATTGGTTCAAGCTCGATCTCTCCAGATGATTGCTCATCGGGATATCTGATTGAAAACAACAACAACAACAATTCTCAAGAATAGTCACACATAGAATGTCGTCAAGGTTTTGGACATATATGGCGAGATGCTTTGTCGAATCGTTTTTGCAAAAATAGGCCTTATGCAATTACTCCCCATGAACCGGATCAGAAACATTTTATCGTATTTTAACATATTCCTTAACAAATAAAAGCAAGGCTATTCAAAGGATAAAATGCGAATATTGTCAGTTATGTTACAGTATGATCATATTGCTGTGATCAAACAAATAATTGCATTAGAAAAATCTAGGAAGAAATAAAACTGTTGTGAAAAGGCATTTGAAAAACATTGGCCAAAACCCCAACTTTTCGAAAGGATGAAAATTCCGAGGACTTACTTTTCAAAATCATTATGTCTTGTCCCTTCCATCTGTGATATTATTCGCCTTTTGTTTGACGGATTGTCATCACTGCTCAGATAAAGCTCGCAGCTATCTGAACACGAGGTGTAAAATATGTAGTTGCCCTTCTCCGGTGCTCTAAACCAGCCGTACAGTCGCTGACCGTAGTCTTTCCCTGAATTTTCTGGTGCATCAAATGTAGTTAAGACACTTCTGATGTCCGGGCTCTCTGGGTACCGGTGGCTTGTTACCAGACCATACAGATTTTCAGCTCCATGGCCCAGGCCTTTGTATACCTCACGGACGATACCCGAGCGTGCAACTAGAAAACAAAATTTGATTAGCACGAAAACCAATAAGATACAATTTAGTGTGAATGAAGAAAAGGTCACTGTAGCAGGCTGCTCGACAGGCTCCAAGGAGTTCTTGCGGCAAAAAGTCGAGTAGCCTTCACTGATTTACGTGTATTTATTGTTGTTTATTCTCGGCGTATTGCAGTGTTTCTTATTTGCTACAGATACATTTTACACGACCTGATGTTATTTCAAAGAAGTATCAGAAAGTAAGAGCATCACGGGAAAAACATAGCAAAATATCGTTAATACCCGCCAACTCGACAAGCATTAGGACAAAGATGACAGGCGAAAAATCAGATTCTCTGAAATAAACTCTTGTTAAAATTTGCTAAGAATCGAAGAACTACCATCAAAAATTGCTGATAGAAGTAATTGAAAATAATTTGGAAGTGATCTCAAATATGAGTATCAAGTATAGAATCAATCTTTTTGTATTAAAGGTTTTTAGTAGACAAATGCTGTTTGGAATATACGGTTAACTTTGGACATCTAAAAAGCTCTTTGAGAAGAAAGAAAAGCTCCAGCGTTAATGACTTCAAAATGGTGCTTTCCCTATTAGAGAATATCTATTTATTGGTTATGACAACTGACATAATGACATTGCGACTGGCAGAAACTTCTTGCAAGGCATTCCGTCTAGGTGATGACGTCATCGCAGCAATGGCTACGCAAATCGTGTGTTGGTCAGTGTCCGTCGAATTGGTAGTAAAGTAAACTCGCCAAAGTGTATTTACCAAAAGTGAGAATCTTAGGATCGTGAAATCATCGAAAAAAATCATTTTTAACAATTCTATAAAAAGTTGGCATTAAATCTGTGCTTTTAATTTGAAAGTTGTGAACAAAGCATTGATCGTTCGTTCTAACCATTGTTTTCAATTTCGAAGCAGCATTAATAAGCCACAGGGCTTGGGTGGGTGGGGTTATGGAAGCGTAGGGTGCGACACTCCCTTCAATAGAAAAATTATGTTTAAAACTGTTATAGGCGTGCCATCTAGGGGTGATGTGTTGGTGAATTATCTATCTTTAACGCAAATTAACAATGGTTCGCCCAATTTGTTTGCAAATGGGACAACAACACCCCCTGGAGCACATTGTTTGCGATGGTCCTAGTCAGCCATTTTGGATACGATGTGCATGTTATCAGTTTAACGGGGCAAATGACACACAAGATGATGGTACATTAATGAGCCTGATACAAAATTCTTATCAGCTTTGGATTGAACTAAAAAAATTCCATAAAAACCTTTTGCAGTACCAAAAATATTCATAAGAAACGTCGAGCTTGTGAGAAAAATTTGACTTTTGAAAACTTTTGAGCTTTCGAATTTTCGTTCACTGAACCGCAAAAAAAATTTAAATAGTGCTTTTAGTGAAATATGCCTTAACGGCGATCTTTTTCACTGACCTTTTCAACAAAAGGGCTACCGTCACTGAATGGGGTAATGATGGCAGAACATCAAGTAAAAAGTAAAGTCTCAGCATAATCTGCTATGCAGTCAGTCTTGTCATCATGTCAGTCTCAAGGTCAATGTAAACAAAGTAAACTTTTTGTTATTGAAAAAAGTGTTAGAGTAAGATGTTAGTTCATGATGTCACAAAGAGGTTTGTTAGTCATGTCAGTAAAATTTGCAAAAATACCTTGCAAAAAATGAAGATTTTGAACGAATCCAAGCACTAACAGTCATTAGAAAATTCAGCAGATCGAAAACAACTCTCTCTTACTTTTGTCAATTATGAGTCAACAATTGAACATATCTTTGACGAAAGCATTATTTCATTGCTATTTTTCATTTACAGAGCAGAATTTTCATTCATCAATTCCTCAGTTAGCTGTATTGTTCTTTCATCATTACAATCTATATTAGATGCTTGGATTCTGCTCAAAACCATCATTACAAATCCATCAAAGATCGCCACATTTGACGTTGAAGAAGATCTCTCCTGTGGCATTCTTTGACGAATTTGTTGAAATTTCTGCTACTCACAAGCCTTATGTCTTTTAAAGTGTCTCTTCTTTCTGTTTTTTTCATGTCTTTCTACAACGGTCTTCTTTTTGCTGCCCGGGCGCCTATGGAAACTCCGTTTTTTACCAAACCCGAGTCCTCGTTTGACTCCGCCACCTAGTATATTAAAGGCATTTCCCAACGTGCCAGTGCCTAGCAACCCATTGAATGCCGTGTCAACAGCGGCTGCCATTTCCGATCGAGATGCTGCATTAGAAGCAGCTGCTGCTAATTTTCCGGCTGTAGTACCAGCCGCAGCGCCAGCAGATGCGCCAGCACTGGCACCTGCATTAGCACCGGCAGCTGCAGCCCCGGAAACGGGTCCGGTCATTGTAGAAACAGAACCGACAGGACCGGATCCTTTATAAGCTGGATGGAATACAAAATTTGGTACATCGATAACCAGAAAGACAGTAAAAGTACAAACAAAAATATGAACAATCTTATGATATTGTTGTTGTAGGGATGATAAAAAACTTATTCAAAATGCTAATTAAACCAAACATTGAACACTGTTTCATTGAAGATTCTTTCATAAGCACCTACACAAACACGTTTACTTGGCACTCCTTCTAACTGTTGATATATCTTCCAAGCTATCTTGACTAAACGTTTAACAAATATCACTTGAAAGGAATAAACGTTTAACCGTTTTTGGGTAAATGATAACCGTTTTGTGATACTCTACCGAGATAACATAATTTCAATAAAGCAGCTTTTACAAAACTTTTGAAGTTTTTTGTTACGGTATTGTCAATAAAGAGCACGTCAAAGACCATCTCAGCTTTGAACACTATCTTCTATGTTTCCTTCTGTAAAGTTTTAATCAGTCCGCAGCACTGTTTAAATAACATACAGGATGTCAAAACCATGAAAATAGATGTAACTGAGATGACCCACGATGACTGAATAATTAACATGACCACATGACTAAAGGTTTTCTTCATTTCATCGATCAACAAAGAAAATTGGTATAAATAACCATCTTTTAATTTAGTAAGCCAACATTGAGCCAAATTTAAAATAAAAACTAAAACCTTTAAAAATGGCAAAAAGTAACTTACATCCTAACGGAAGTCCAGAAAGTGCACCTCCGCCACCGCCGCCGCCACCACCGCCAGCACCACCACCACCTCCTGCCCCTCCAGCTAAGGCACTCAAGGCATTTGCAAGATCACCGCCACCACCACCACCGCCAGCAGCTCCACCACCACCGGCAGCTCCACCGCCAAGCCCACCACCACCGCCACCGGCCGCAGCAGCGCCACCTTAAAATAAAAAAGTTTGATAAAACATTTTGACATAAGATTGAAACAAGCTCCAGTGTTTGGAATTCATTTTGGAATAGTTGGGAAAGAACTGAAGCCGAATATAGAATGAAGGTTTCACAAAAAGGTGCGACTTCGAGACGCCGAAAATCGAAACCGTTCAGTGATATCCTTCCGAACCAGATTCAGTATTTCTTTAAAAAAACTATAATGGAAAGAAATTCCTAAGTTTTTTAACATGTCATGGATTGGTAGCTCTTGGTAACCTTTCAAAAACTAGTCTTAGGAAAAAATAACTATGTTCTTGGAAACCAAGAAAATTCTTCGAAGTATGAAAAATTGGTCTTACCGCCAGCTGGCAATGCACCCATGAGTCCAAGGGCTGCTGTAGCTGCGTTGGCCGCATCCATTGCAGCCTTATTTAGCGTCTGCTGTGCTGCAGCTTGCTGTGCAGCGGCCATTGCTGCTTGACTTGCTTGTTGTGCCTGTGCAGCGGCAGCAGTTTGCGCCATAGCTTGTTGTGCTAAAATTATTTATAATACATGTCAATGAACTACAGATACAAATTGGTTATAGATACATATACTATATGTTATAGATAACGATACATGATACGGTTAGTGTTATATAAATTAGATATCGAATATTAATATTTTACAAAATAACAACATAAGAATATAATAAAAACAGGCGTGTTTGTTTTTATCAAACAAAGTGTTGAAATAATCTACAAAGCTGGAGTCGGATTACGCTACAAACAAAGATTGGACCATGGTTTCTATCCTTTTCATTTGTGAGATGTAGTACTTTATTTGATGCAAAAAGTAAACAAGGACACACTGTTACTTTTCTACAGAAATGGTGATAAAAGGTGAATAATCTAATGGGGTTTTTAAGTTGGGTTTCGCTTGAAAATTAATGCTTAGTTTTTCAATTAACTTTCTCTAGAAAGCAAATCAAAATTTTTTGTTTTCAAAAAAAGCATGTTCTTGGTAAAAGAGAACGCTGATTTTTCTAAATTGATTTTCCTAATTGACTCTGTAAAAATGTCTATAGAAAGTTTTGCAGCTCAAGCTAGCCTATTATAGAAATATGATAAAGCATATTGTCGGGAAAATCCTTTAGCAATTTGGTTCAGCAGATGATAAAAGATATGGCCTAGGAAAGGAATAGCTATGGTCTTTTAGACTTAAGCAATACATGTATTAGCGATGTATGCAGATGCCAGGATAAAGATGGGTATTTGATAAGATATTTGAAAATTCAAGGGTACATACAGCAAAAACTAAATATGCATTCCAAGATTACTTCATATAAAGATACAAAATGTACAAAAATTACATCAACTATGCATATGTCAACTAAAAACTTAAGGTATAAAGAAGTTCAAGGATTAAAAAACTTAAAAAACTCTAGAAAAAAATGTTTATGGTTTTCATAGAGTCCCATAGGTACCCAAGCATTCGAGCAAGTTTCTTTGGAGCGGTTACTTGCAAATTGATCAGAGTAAATGGCATTTACCTGCCATTGGGGAATTGTGGTGCCAAAGGAGGCACAATTGGCATGGCATAGGGCATTCGAAGCTGTGGTGCCAAAGGTGGTACTATTGGGTTGAACAGGGGGGCGGGGAATAAAGGGGGCGGTATTGGAGGGGGAAATAAAGGATTAAAGGCTGCGTGCGCGATCGTTTTGATAACAGGAACAACGACAGGCTTGAAATATATCGGTCGCCTTCTCTGTTCTTCTTTTTCTTGCAGAAAAGCCATAGCCGCTGAAAGAAGAGAGTTAGTGAAGCTGTTATGGAGCGTTAGTAAAGAAGTTAGCATAGACGATCAATATCATTCTTAACTGCCAAAATGATGTTGTTATTAGAGATATAAAGCAAGTATCGTATTAAAGACATTGGAGGGATCGTGATACAAATTAAGGGGCTAATGTTAGCAATATCTATAGTGGATCTTCAAAAAAAGTTACTAGAGAGTGTTAACTTGTAAGGAAATGTTAAAGAAAAATTTCAGCAATAGATAATGAGAGCTTCTCGCCGCGCATGTGGTCACGTAACCCTTAAAGCACATTAATACTGGATCGCGCAAAGCGGTGTTTCTTGGGAAGTTCCTAAATCTGATGACTCCCTTCTGTACTTACCACCTTGTGTTGCTGATATACGAAGATTCACATTAATGTTTGGGCCTAAGGCAACAACTGTTGATCTTTTCCCGTTTATTTGTAGCCCAGCGCCATTTTGTGCATCCATGGCAACAAAAGTAACCGTATGCGTTCCTGCAACAAGAAATAAATGGAGCCTCGCAACGACAATCAAAAACAAACAGTCCGTTGAGTCGCACCTCTTTCGGAACCAACAGAAGGTCAATAAATTCATGTCACTTCTTTTGAAAATGTTCAACAAGCTAAAGACACTGTTTTCAGATAGAGTTTAAAAGTAGCAGCTTGCAAATCTTTTTCAGTATTTGTCGATGTTTTATACCCTTTTCCGCCGATTAGACGAAACTTAATTTTCATTTTATCAATACTTACACACGAACACCTTTCAGCTAGAAAATTTACAAATTAGCAATTCATTAACAATATGTGTTTAGGGAAAAAGCCATTGCATTCTTCTTTGAAACTTTAACGCTGAAAATCAAGAAGGTACAGCAATTCTGCTGGCGACGTTAAAACATTACTTGCTATTCAAAAGTTTCAAAATTTCCAACACTCTTTGGCTTTCATGTGGATACTAAATATCTAAATGTTTACAAATGGAACATGCGGTCGGAGCTTCGTTCGTCAGCATTGTTATACGTCAAGTCATGTTAAACTTGATACATCGTTACCAGCCCCCAGTTAACTTACCATGCGAGCAAAGAACAGTCTGCGACGTCGATCCAAATGGCGGCAACATTACATTATTTGGATAACAGGTACTTAGCATCAGTCTCGAGGCTCTGGCGTAATCACTGCTTACTCCGATGTGTACTTCATAGGCTGAAACAAAGTCGTGTCAAAAGGTGGTAATACTAACTGAGACATATAACATCTAGGGAAACACCATCAAGCGGAGCACCTAGGCCGTGATTTTGTGGAAAACCAAAATTCATGGCTGCTGACGAACTTAAAATAAAATACGCAATAATTACTTAACTTTAATAAGAATATTGATGAATATACAAATAATTTCAATATCTTTTAGTGCTTGATAGGAATTTTCCTAAGTCAGGCAAAGTACGACCATCACCTAGTCCTAATATAGAGTACCAAGAAAATGTTTAGGTGCTTTGTAAATAATAAATGAAATCTAAAATGCTTATTTTCAAAATTTAACAATTTTTTCTCAAGTTAACACTGGAGCAAAAAAACTTTAATAAACAAAGTTTCGTCGAGTTATGTAATCCATGTTTTGTCAGAGTAACTCGTTGAATTGATATTGTCGAGTCAGTTCATCAAGAAACGCTTCTATTTACCAGTTTCAAGTACAAAGAGAAAATTGCCTGAAAGTGTAAGAGATTATTCCAAAGAATGTTGATGCAAAAAATGCAGTTTGTTTTCACAGTGATAGTAATTTAAGTGAAAAAAATGTGTAAGTGGTGTCTTTTGCAGAGAAGATATTTTGTAGAGTGGTCAAAAGATAAAGAAGCTGGGAAGAAGTTTAGGTCTTTCAGTGCAGCTAATATGTAAAACATGATGTGTTTCTCGAAAGTCGTACAGTGTTGGGTTTGGTTTCGATTAGTGCTGGTGAATGATTGAAAGTTGACGTAAGTTGACATGTCAATCAGGATGTGACTGTCTTTGTCAGTTATTGGTTAGGCGTATGGTTGGTTAGATGAAAAGAAAACATTACAAGTATTAGTGGCAAATTAGCTACCTCCATGAAGGCTTTTGGTGGTAGCATTTCCAACACCAAATAAACCCTCGAATTGGTTCTTCTCCTCTTTCTTCTCCGTTGGTTTCTTCACCTCCAGTCTTGCCTTCGTTGTTGGTGCAGGCAAGGGAGGGGGTGTTGGTTTTGACATAGGTGCTGCAGGGGCTGCAGGGGCTGCTTGAGCTAGGGTTGTCACTGATGCTAAGTTGGCTATTAGACATTAGTGAGAAGAGAGACAGATTTGTTAGTTCATGTATTGGATCATATTAATGTAATAGTTAGCATAATTAGCATAATTAGTTTAAGTTAAACCGTTAGGTGCATAAATGGGAAAAAGATTGATGTGTTTAGATGTTCAAGAACTGGCTTTACCGGAAAGTGGATTAGCGTTGACATCTCACGGCATTTTAATTCATAATTTCTTAGAAATACAATTGTACTTACCGTTCAGTCAATCATATTTGAATTCATCGCCCTGAAAAAAGCTTTGGCTCCGAATGTCTGATTGTCTTCCGTTGCAAAGCGTTCGGAGCATTAAAAAGTGCGGATTCTCAGCGCGATGCGATACATGCTTGGGAGTTTGAATGCTTGGGTACCCTTGGGACTTTATTCGTTATTAATTTTTAAAAAGTGTGAGGCCAAAATTAAAAAGTCGAGGTGATTGAATGATTAGATATTAGCTCTGTGAGTTTGTAACAGTCATCGTAAAAATTTCAATTGTGTCTAAAAGTTTTGTCATAATTTGTTCGTTCTTTTGTGAAATAAAACACAATATATTGATATAAGCAAAAAACAATATATAAGGCAATGGAAGAAACGCAATCATTTTCTCACCAATCGCTGCGCCAATATTAGCTGCAGCAGCTGCACCGCCAACATCACCAGTTCCACCGCCTTTTCCACCATCACTACCGCCACCACCTCCTCCTCCTTTTCCACCGCCACCTCCGCCTTTGCCACCGCCGCCTGTTGGGAGAAGATTTATTAATTCGATGGATGCTTTAACCTCAAATAGTTTGAGCTAAGCATGCTGTTGAATAAAATATAAATAAAACCATCTGGTAAAAGTCTTACCTCCGCCACTATCATCACCACCGCCACCACCACTATTTCCTCCACCTCCACCACCATTTCCGCCGCCACCACCGCCACTACTACCGCCTCCACCGCCAGCTAGAAAATGAAAAACATTTTTCTTGGATAACTGGCATTGTTCTTCACAATTTATTCTTCAATGCCAATTGAAATTAACTTTGAATTCTAAGAAGACTGCAGCAAATACATTCTAGATGCATGGCACTTAAGAAACCAGATTATTTCTTTTCACAATATTGCCTACTTGAAAATGTGATGCAGATTATAGGTATTAAATCAGAAGTTACGTATTTGAGTCATAAAAAAAGATCAACGTAAAATTTTTATGGCAATAATAAATAAACACGTCAAATACCTAAAATGTCAAAAAATATCTTAACATTTTTATACAAAATTATATTGCAATGAGATCAGACGATTTACATTTTTAATTTCTGAAAAACCTTAACAAATTGTTATTGCGATGTAGTTTATTGCAAATCATCACCTTTTTTACTTAATGGATATCGTGTGTAAATAAGATTAAATAAAATGAATAGATATATTGTATAAATTGTATGTTTTTAATTGAGTGTCCCTTGAAAAATAGCTTATGCTGAAGGGAAACTCTTCTGTGAAGATTCATATTAAATAAATGAATTTTATAAGTAGAAAACAAAATTTAGGTATATTTTAATCAGAAAGCTGATTTTGTTTAAATATTATGTCTGGTTTTTTATTTGACAAATAAAGCGTTAATAGTTAAAGTTGTCAATGGGCAGACGAGAAGGTTAACTTACCGAAGCCGCCGAAAGCAGCCGGAATCACAACTGGTAAAGACAATTAGTTACAGGTTAGTATCGTTATTATTAGTCTTGAACAATAATGATTAGTGTATTAATATCAGTATTATTTATCATGTCATTTTATTAAGCAAAAGAAAATATTTCTGGCGAAATATTCGACATGACATATACAAGCGTTCAGAAGATAGAAACATGAATATATGTGATATCTTATTGACAAAATAGTTGTATTTAATTTATAAACGATTAAAGATCTTGATCATTTCGCTGAAAAGCTTTCTTTTTTGAATGTGTGAACTGAGCTCAGAAACACACAAGTTGAAAATGTGCAAATTTGGTCCCTCATTGACAGGTTGCCGAAAGCTTTAAAAAAATATTCCCTAAAGAACATTACCACTCGTAACCTAAGACTTTATTCAAAACATTGAAATGTGAAAAAGAGATTGGTAAGAAAATACCATTAAATGTCCCTTACCAGTTCCTCCACCACCGCTGTTTCCACCGCCGCCAGAGTTCTTTCCGCCTAGCAAGGCACCAAGGGCAATAGCTTCAAGCGTGTTTAAGCCACTGGCATCCTTTCCGCCGCCACCACCACTATCACTTGCAGCGGGTGCTGGTGCCGGGGCAGGAGCTGGAGCAGGAGCAGGGTAGGGTATTGGGACGACACTTGGGCCACTTGCGCCACCGCCGCCAGCATCACCACCAGCGCCAGCGCCAAGTAACTTCATTGTGTCTGAGTCGAGCTGAAGCTGGACTTTGATTGGTCCTCCATCTATGATAATGAAAAGGAGTTTAGAACAGTATACAAAATTAAAAAATCAAGCAGGATTAGCGAAGATACAGTAAAATTCCCTCAATTAAATACCAATTTTTCAATTTGCCTGAGCCCAATTTCATTTATTAGAGTCCATTATCAGTATAATTCAGGAACAACATTTTTAGAACAATGACACATTTAAAAATTGGTAGCCTTGATAACACAAAAAAACATCGGCTTCTGTTGCCAAAAACTTTGGCATGAATGTTTGAGAATAAACCTTTTATCGATTTGATCAATAGTCATTTCCTTTTGTAAATAATATTGTAATTAATGTTTCTTGAAAATCAACCTGTTGAAGGGCAACCATCCTTAAAAGAATTAAATATGAAATAAATAAATATGAAAAATGAAATATATTGATGAAAGTCCTTATTATAACATAGAAATACCTACCCCCACCTCCCCCTGCACCACCGCCGCCATCACCTCCACCACCCTTTCCACCGCCACCACCTCCTCCTCCTCCCTTATCATCTCCGCCTCCTTTTCCACCGCCTCCACCACCTTTGCCACCACCACCGCCGCCGCCTCCACCGTCATCATCGCCGCCACCTTTCCCGGCGGGTACGAGTTTCATCGGTCCATACGGCGTGCTAATAACTTCGCCTGGCACCATGGATTGTTTGTGCTCAATATCAACATGGTGGTATTCATGGTGAACTGGCCCTTGCACATGTACCTGTCAAAATAGCATTGCTGTTGGTGCACACAAATACAAAAATGGTCTACTGATTTATGATTAAAATATTTCTGTAGGGAAGGGTTCTTTTATCACTTTTCCTTTTAAAACTGCCGTCGGTTTCAATCTTTAATGAACTGTATTTGGATATCAACATTGAAGTCAAAAGGAATAAATTCAAAATATGAATAAATTCAAAACAACGAATAGCTTTTAACAAAAAACTCCCTATAAAGCATTCAAAATTCCACCCCCAGATTCATTTGTGGTGTTTACCTCACCAAGCCAATGACATTGTTTACTTCAATCTACTTCCTCGCAGTAAAAGGATGCATTGAGTAAGGGCTAGTTCACTTTGCCAAGATGGATAAGGCCACGTTTGTCAAAGCCACAACGGTTTTGAAACTTGACGATGTTAATGAATACCTTTTTGACACCCTTATGAAAACCCTCATATAACAGCTTCGACATAAAACCTTGCCGCACTACAAAATCACATAAAATATATTACCAGACTGTCCGGCGAATAGAACTTAAAAGCTTTAGGGGATGTGGTTATAAAGCCCTAAAAATGATTCTTTCCTTTATGCAACTTAACTAGGGCCAGAAGTTATTTAGTATATTTTCACAAAAACAAAGTTACTGGCATGCCTGCAAATTTAGAGACAAATAGAAAAAGCTCTTTTCTTGCCAAAAGGTAATGTGTAATGGTGAAGCTCACAAACGTATAGAGCGTCTGTGACGTCTAGGTTAGCGTCTGTCTGTTCTAACAATCTTCTTTTAATGATAATAACAAAGTAAAATAAGAATATCAATGCAAATTGAATAACACAAAAGCCTTTAAAGGGACCTAATCAACAAAGAGCCTTTGTGATCGTGCGTTTAGTCAAAACAAAACAGTAGAGTGAGAATTATAAACGTTGAGGGCTTTTTAAACTTGCAGCAGGCTAAAACCAAAGAAAATTTGCAGTCAGTGTTCTTGCAGAGGATAGAACGATGGGTCAAGGGAAATGTTTAAAAAGAATTAACAGGCTCTTTGCAAGTAACCCAAAAATCAATGTGTATGTGAATTAACATTTCTCGCAAATTTTCTGTTTTGCATTCACCTACAGCGGTTATGTTAACTACATTTCTCTTTGTTCTCCCAAGCCTACTGCCAGTACCAGACAATTTATACAGGAGTCAGATTACTTTCTGATCATCAGGCTCCGTGTTGCTCAGGCCCTATAAAGATCTGGATTGTTTTGTTAACATACCTCTGGTGTCTCGAGATGCATCACTCCATCGTGTGAAGGCACAAGTCGCAGAGGACCTAAAGGAGAATCAAGTACTTCAGGTCCATGAGGTCCAAGTGTCATGTCTCCAGACGGAGTGTGTAAGACAGGGCCATGTTCACCGTCACCTGTTGGGCTCCAGTGGCTTGCCGGTGTCAGGTCCATGAGTCCAGCCGGAGTCAAAACAGTTTGGTGACCGTCATGCCAGCCGCCATTGTGGAAGTCGTCACTATTAGCGTGGTGTCCTGTCACGGCAGAAGTCGGCATAAATAAATATTTGTGTCCGTCATGTCCTGTCATTACGAAACCTTGATGATTACCGTCCGCTAAGTTAGCTGCGTTACCCCAGTGATCAACCAAATAGGGGCCCTGTTTCCCGTTCACGACCATCGTCATTCCACCCCATCTATTACCGTCAGACATGAATTCAGAATAGGGGTGATTCATTTCTTGCCAACCACCGAGTTCGCCGTCATGGTGGCCGGCAAACCTAATTTTACCGTCCATGCTTATTTCGAATGGAGTGCCAGGGATCCTGTGGCCATCATTACCACCAGTACCATGCCCGTTGAACATAGAAACGGGAAAACCAGGAAAACCAACCCAATGATTGTCATGGCCTCCAAACGCATTACCTCCATTGAGAGCATGACTGATTAATGATTCAAGGCCCTCCCCGTGACTCATGGCATTTAGTAGATTCTTCAATGTCCACCAGGCAGGTCCGTCAGAATGATCATTGCCTCCATCGAAACCATGGTGACCGTTATCACCATCAAAACCTCCAATTGCACCATGGCCAAATCCATCATGACCCCCGTGGCCTCCAGCTCCCAAGTTATCTCCATGCCCCGTAGACTCAACCAGGTTTGCTAGAATCTTTACACCATCACGGAAGTCACCATGCCCCACAATAGTCGCCAAGCGCCCTAGAGCTGAAGCATCAAGACCGACATGGTGCGAGTTTAGCAAGCCGGCAAGGCGGCCTATCTCGGGGTCATGGCCAAATCCTTCATCTACATCGGCACCATGATCTCCAAATGACACCCCATAACCATTGGCTGGGGAATCAATCAAACTAGAGAGAACCTCTGCACCCTTGTGAGAATTGCCATGTCCCACTAGCTGTGATAGTCTGTCGACCATATCCTGTCTGTTTGAGCCAAAAATGTCTGACAGATGATCAACAGATCCATGTCCTTCATCGGCCCCATGTCCCAAATCAGACCCGTGCCCCAAATCAGACCCATGCCCCAAATCAGAGCCATGCCCCAAATAAGACCCATGACCGCTATCACTTCCTGCAAAATGGCCATCAATGTCATAACCTCCGTAACCGTTAACTGGACCGTAGCTGACAGAGGCTCCTATAGGACTGGATTCCCTGCCTTCTCCGTGGACATGTACTCCCGAAGGAGTAGAAACGACACCTGAACCCGTTCCCAATCCAGTATGATGTCTGCCCCCAGTTCCACCTATACTATTTATGACGTCACTCATTAAGCCGTGCCCGCCACCACCATGTAGACTACCCAATGTGGCATCATCTAGTGGTGCAATAGAATTATCCAATGGAGCATTTACAGTGTGACCTGCACCTGGGAATCCTGCCCCCTGGCCTTGATAAGCAGTAGCACCGGCATGCTCAACTATACCACCACCAGGGCCTAAATAAGTAGAATGTCCGCCACCAGCTACACTCCATGATCCCCCCGTCAAACCATGTGCGTCAAGTCCTGTTCCGTACAGTTCGTCATGTCCTGTCAGGGAGTCTAGAACAAAAAATTTGTACTGTTTTCACAGGGAGGACATGATACGGAATTTAAAGAACAAGACGTTGGTCTCTACGAAAGCTCCGTACGTCGTTAAAGGTATGTTCTACATAGTTAAAGACGAAGAGTTAAGGGCAAAACTGTTACTATGTGAAATTTGAAGCCTTGCCAAAAATGCTCAAACATTGAACGATAAGAGTTTTAGTACACTGGGGTTGCAAAAGTATGGAAGCGATGCTTATAATGGCGGCTCACAAAAGCCAAGGGCCCAAGCAGATAAATTTCGAAGACAAAGCTTCTCCCAAGGTAGGAAATATTTGCCAATAGATTTGGAATAAAAATTAATATGAAAGATTATTTTACTTCAATGCCTCAGAAATGTCTTGGAAAATATCATCGGAGGATTTGTAAAAAGACGCGATAAGATACAGGCGAATTTCAAGAAGGATGAATTTCGAACTTGATACGCACACTTTTTGTCTGAAAAGATACTCTCAGCTAGGGTGTCAGGCTGTAGGTTATTAATAAAGATGCCAGGTGAACAATCCCAAAAGCCTTCGTTTAGTGATAAAATTCAGATGACTATATTTACCAGCTACAATGGTACCTTGAAAGTAAAATGAGCCAATCAGCATTAAAAACAGTCTAAGAAAGTCAAAGGTAGTGCGACTCATCTGGTGTCGTAATTACTAGAATCATCTTCTCTGTATGCTTCAAATCTCAACAAATGTTTTGATCACCTTTCTTCGAAAAAGCAACACTTCACAGCCATCTTTTATGAATACCTAGACAATATTTTCATAATATTTTTTGAAACAGTGCTTCAAAGTTCTGCTAAATATTTGCCTGAAAATAGCAAACCAATCATAAAATACTTGGTTAACCGAAAGGGCGTAGAATGGCGAGCGCAGTTTTTTCGCCACAAGCTATCGTTTCTAGGCCCTTCATCTCGTAACCTCCATTTTGAAATCAGTCATCTAAGGCCCTTACCAACTGTGAATGGCCCTTTTGGCCTGCCGTTTCCATACTTTTACAACTCCAGTGTATATTTATATTGATTTAGCACTTACCATGTCCGTTGCCGCCATGTCCACCGAATCCACCTCCGTGGCCACCAAATCCCCCACCATGACCACCAAACCCTCCACTGTGCCCATCAAAACCACCACCATGACCCCCATAACCACCACCGTGCCCCTCAAAAAGCCCACCATGGCCACCAAAGCCACCTCCGTCGCCGCCGAAGCCTCCTCCATGACCACCAAAGCCTCCTCCATGGCCACCAAAGCCTCCCCCATCGCCGCCGAATCCTCCCCCGTGTCCACCTAGGCTTCCTACGACCCCAACATCATGACCTTCTATTCCTCCGTGTCCAAATGCGGCACTTAACCCATGACCAAAGCCGTGTCCTTCTACACTATGTGCACCATCAAGACCTCCGACTATGCCCACGTCATGTCCGTAGTCACCATGCCATGAAGGTCCGAATCCATGACTTGAAAACCCTGCATCTAGACTTCCTGTCATTCCAATGTCATGACCTCCCATACTATGTATCCCAAAGGCTGTACCAAAGCCTCCTCCGTCACCATGACCATCTCCACCTCCAAAGTCGTGAATGCCTCCACCGAAACCATGCGCATCACCATAACCACCACCAAAGCCATGTCCATCAAAACCACCTCCTGCAAAGCCATGACCTCCAGCGCCATGAAATCCCATTCCAATGCCACCGTGACTGTGGCCTTCGATGCCGTGCACGTCAGAGCCAATACGCTCAAACCCAGGACCAAAATCATCGTGGCCAGCCCAGCCATATCCATGGCCTCCAGCATAGTTTGAAATCAAAGAATCTCCTCCATAGTGGCCACCAACGCCACCATGCATTGAGCTCTGGTAGCTGATTGGGTCATCAGCAGTAACACCTGAAACAAAACGGGACAACTGAAAGCTCCTCCTCAGTGCGAACAACGATGTCAATGCAGCACTGCAGAGATCGACAGTAACATACAGACACACGTACTCACAACATAGCACAATGCATATTCAGAAAACTAAGGCTGAAAGTGCTCATCATGTGGTTATCCACAACTACCCAGTGACTGTATTTTGCTATTCTAAACCAAAGATGATCTGAATGTAACAAATCCTCTAGAACATTAACAACATTTAATATTTCAAATGGGGGAAATCAAGTTCTATTATTCTCTCTTGAGGAAATGTAAATGAGCTTGTTAAGTGGCTTTCGAACTACAGATCCACGAATCTGAGTTTCATGTTCCTGCAATGAACAAGCTCTCAGATTCGTCACTTCTCTGTAATTCCAGGCATTAGAATCACGAGGTGTGGTCAGCTCAAAAGGAAAGACCAGAACACTGCTCAATAACCATAGCTTCGCAGTGTCCTAAAAACTACATTCAGATACCAGGCAGTGGCGGCGCCAGCTATTACAGAGCAGGATGGTAATGGGCGCGGCCAGTGGGACCACGCCCATTCTGCTTCGTTTCAGTAATTTGTACCAAGTTAACTTTTCATAGGAAATTTGATCTACCCCTACCCAGAAATTACCCCCCTCCCCTCATACCACCCTTTGGCACCGCCACTGAAACCAGGTGCAAACAAATACACATAGAGCGATAGGATGAAGTACAGTCCTTAGACTGCGATTCTCTTTTTGACTCATGTATAAGTTATTTCGATTATTTTCCTATATTATCTTATATTCCGATTATTTCCTTGATATGTCTATATTTTCATATCGATATTGATATGTCTGTATGTCTATATAATCAACCGAATGCTTAAAAACTAGATTTCTCTACCTGCGCCAAAATCACCGACACCATGAGAACCTGAGGTTAAATGATATAATATAATGTTATAATACTTAACATTAGTATATTAGACAAATTTTGACTTTTGATGCGTTAATCTGAAAGCAAACTAAGGGCTGAAGGATCTTATCAATGATATTAGTCTTATAGTAATATTGTTAAAAGTACAGAAATTTACTAATTACTAATATAGACATATCAATATTGATAGAGCATTTAATGCATTTCAAAACGTATACTGTTTTGTTAAGATATATTTTGACGGGAAGGTTTATGATCCCAGGGCTGATGAAAAGTCGAGACGGGTAGATCGAGCCCAAAATTAACAGATTAGTTGTATGATTAGAGAGGTACAACAACACAACAACACAACAACAATTAAATTGAATATTAGGTAATGAACATTGCAGCCAGTAGAGCCTTGGCTATATATGCTTTACATGAAATAAGATGTACGCTTTGATGTGTAGTAGAATAAGACAGTTTCAGGATGCAACTCACGATCACCAGGAAACTGACAAGCTTCTCTCTATGTGGCTCATTCGTAGGTGTTAAAAATGGTTATTTAACTTTTAGCGGTTACTGTATCTATCTTATTCAGGTATATTGCTTAATTCGTCAATGCTTGATTGTATATGATATAGAATTTGCTGCCGACGGTAAAATTGATATATTTAAGAAAATAATTGCAAGGCCCCCAAAAGACTAGAGAAATAACAATATCCGAAAATAATGGCAACAGTTTCCTTTAAAAAGACAAAAAGCTTGTGGGGAACTATGAGTTCTTTAGAGATTTTAGGAAAGGAGTTGCGTTGGAAACACAAAATTTCAGGGATAGTCTAGAAAACGGAAAAAAAGTCTCTAGAGAAAACAATGCTCTTGGAAACATGCTTGTTTTGCTTACCATCTCCGCAAAAGCAGGATCTTTTAACTGTTCCTAAAGGAAATGAGATTACCACTTAGTTTAAGAGAAATAGTTGAAAAAATAAAGCGAAGAGCAAATGGCGATAAACCTTAAGAAAAATCGAAAATGCGTCGAGGCTTAGGTCTGATACCAGAAAGAAATGCCACTCCTCGATAAAGAACTTATTTCATAGCAAAACAGTATTCAAGATGGAATCTATTTACCTCCATTTTCGGACTTCACGTGAAAGTGATAATGCCTTTTCGTGTGGATTTCTGCAAGAAAATAAAAGTAATTTTTAGATTGATACTCGTTTGTATTCACTATTGACTCTTTTTTCGCATACAAATAATGAAATGTGAAGTCGGTTACTGTCTCATTCTTCGAATTTAATCCATCACAAAACTTTGATACATTTTATATGAAGGGCAGAGTTCGACTCACTTCCTTTGCTGTCTCTAAACCGAACTTTCTTTCCTTTCCTTACTTTGTACACATGACTTCGTTTGCCTGGATTTCCAGAATCTATCAAGACAAAGAATTTAATGACGAGCTTTGTAAATCATTTGACAAACCTTATTTTTACCGGCATTGCAATCAATAGATTTAGCAAAATTCCTTGCAAATAATCTTAATAAAGAGCGATTGGTTTAGCTGACTTACTTGTGTTGTGGAAAATTCACTTAATATCAATTATAAGATATTTTCAGGCTCAACAGAAGTTATAAAACCAAAGTCATTTAATATTGTGAGAAATATTGTTGATTCATGTGATCAAATCATGTGATCATGTGATTCGTAATCAACGTCTTTCTACCATGTGATCTTCATTGCGAACGACAGGTGTATTGCGGTAGCAACCTCAAGAACGAGCTTAACGACAAGAAGACTTATTTTCTAATAGAAAACCTAGAAGAAGTTACAGAAAAGTAAATTTTGAGATATTACACACCTTGATTTATTGAAAAATACAACAAATTAAAGGTTGAAGATAGTTTTATGACAACGACTACTGTTTTGTGGAATTATCTAAAACATACTTACGTGCATCGTTACTATTCCCTGTAGACAAAACAATAACAAACATGAAATGAAGCAAAAGGAAAGGTTTCAATGGATTGAATGTAGCACATTTTTTTCATTTTACTTCAATTTGATTAGCAATTTCAAGTGACGAATTTCGTAAAAAATACAAAACAGTTTCTCTTAAACTGTTACACAATTAAAATGCATAATAATAAATATCAATAATTAATATCTTATATTAACATTAATATTTTTTAAGGTATTCATAGGCATAAGTATATCTGCAATTAAATTTAAGAAGAAAATACAAGAGTTCCCAGAATTAAACGCAGAGAAAGATGTCAAGGAGGAAATATTCTTAATGCAAAGCTTCTTAATCAACAAGTTTAGGATTACATTCCCCTTGTTATAAGTTCAAATGATGCTAAAAAAGATCATTGAGAAACAATAAAAACTGAAGTTAGACCTGTTTGTTGCTGAAAATGTACTAAAACCAAAATTATCTTTCCAGTTATTTCTTCATTGGATTAAAGTATTAACATGGGAATCTTTTCAAGGAAAACATGTAATGTTTTGTTTTGCCAAAGACTCTTAACTGTTACAAAGCATTACTATTACCTTGACAGATGCAATCTTTTGGCATAACTGCTTCCTTTTTAGCATTCTTCTGGCCTTTCAATCTCCAATGTGCAGGCACTGCTGTTCGCTCTAAGATTTCAAAAGCAGTTTAAACAGGGATGCATACAAAGAGAGTGCAAAAAGATGGCAAACTTCTACATCATTTGGCGTTTCAAAATGTTCTTAAAACTAACAAAGAGTCTCTAAGTTTTCTCGGGAGGCAGATAAGAAGATAGAGATTTTGAAGTTTTTAGGCCAAGTTTTCGAAATAACTGAAAAAGTGCATTGCTGAATGCCGTGTGCCAATATACAATGTTAGAAAAGAATTTTGGTGGATTGGAAGCCAAAGAGAACCGTGTTGAGGCATTTTGCATTGAGCTATAAAAATTTCGTTATCTTTTATAAAAATCAATTAGCTAGGTAACTTACTTTGAGCCAAACGATTATTTTTGTCAACGACTGACTGATCAACAATGTCTAGCGGCACTAAAAACCCAGTTATCTGCAAATCTACAAGCAAAAAAGGCAATTCAACTCTGTGATTACAATGGCCTTGTACCACGATGCGAGTAAATCTGGGACACACTACAAACCTATTTTAAAGTTTCTCATGAACACTGTCACAATCGACTCCGTTTACTATTATACGTGCAGAGTTGTGGCTGCAAGTGGAGTGTTACTGTACATAGAGTTTAAAATAGTTTTGTAGCATGCTTGAGAAAAACTTTTTAATTTCTGTGTTATGGTACATTAGACTAAAATCTGTCAGAATTTAGCCAAGAACATCATTGTAAAAGATTTCTTTAGATAAGGGTCTACAATCTATTTTTTCCCATAACATTTAGTTCTTAGTTATAAATTATTCATAAGACAAAAATGCTGGTACAAGAATATGTGGAAGGTAAAACTGTATTCTTCGTTTCATAATTAACAATGTGGATATTCATATCATATCATAATTATAAAAAGAATCATTCCACTTTTCATTGAATTCGCTGAAAAATAAAACAACAGTTTTCTTTATAGAAAACTACCCTTGTCTAGCGACATTGCTAAACTTCAAATGGTGATTCTTCTGCAAAACGTCTTTAAAGATTTAGCCATTTTAATCGATTTCTAAATTCATTTTAAACGGGGAATGTTATGAATTGCCTACCTGACACATTGTCAGCAGGAATCGCCTTCATTTCAAATTCCTTTCTTATATCAACAGGCTTGTCTGCAAAAAGGAGAGTTGCAGAAATGGATTAATCTTCAGAATGATAGCAAAAATGTAAAAAGATACAGGACGCATTCATTTTAGGTATCAATATGTGATGGGAATATCCTAAATTAGCCCCAAGACTATCAAAGCAGGGTAAAGAGGGCAGCTAAAGAGATTTGATACCGGCTTTGCAAAATGAGTTGCAATCATATATCCCACAAAGCTATAACAGAGGAAAATCTGGGGCAGTTTTTTAGTGGACATATTACAGTTGAGAAGGCCATTGATTCTGCAAAATATGACACCAACTAAATTAGCTGCAAAGTATTTTTCCTAATGACAGTAAAAATTAATGTATTTACCATGAATTCGTAGCATCCGCCGTGTCCCTTCATCTACCGCCTTCGGTGAAAGGTGCATTGACTCTTCGTAGGCATGTGCCGATTGATCATGTCCAGGCTCTGTAAAAAATCGCCGTAAAACTAATACTTATTCTCTCAATATGCTGATCAATCACTCTCACTTGATCAATCAATCACCCTCACTTGATCAGTCAATCGCTCCAATCAATCGATCGTTTATTCGAGTAAATTTTAAGCGTTCTTATAACGGGTGCATCCAGCATTACTCTTTGGCATCAATGCTAGATGATTAGCAACAATGCAAGGTACAGTAAAATGATAAGTGCAGAACAATATTACGTCAGCAAACAAAATTTAAACAAAATCATACAACACATGCTTCGTGATTGTGCTCCCTTGCGCTCCAAATAATAGTTCTATAGCACAGAATCTTAAAAATTTAACCACTGGGTTACCACAAGTATCCTTGACAAGGCCACTGTTTCTTAGAAAACACCTCCTCCACTCTTCCTACTTACAGGAAATATCAGAGTGGCACGGTACAGCAAAGCATATTTCTTGCATCCTTAAAAACCGTGTTCGTCTAACACTCACTAAGGATGCAATATAGCCAAAAAACAAACTTCACACCCAGATGCTGACAAAGAAGGCAACAAAAGCAAATAATCAGAAGAATAATTCAAGAATTTAACATAAGCAGAACAAACCTGGAGTCTTAGATCTCTCTGTCGGCTTAAGGTGGCTTACTAATGACAGTGCTTCCTTGTCATCTTGTTCACTTTTGATTTCAACTGGCAAAGGGTTTTTCTTCGCCTTGTCTAAAAATTAAGTCCAGGACGATTTTAGAGCTTTTAGCAATTTCTTATAGCAATTTTTTTGGCTTGTTAAGGCAAGCGTTATTTGATCTTTTGATAATCAAAAGCATTATAAATGAAAGATATGAGGTCCAGATAAGGCGAATTCTTGGTTAAGAGCAAAGAATATTGTTAATTCTACAATCCCGGACAAAATTGTTGAGACAAAATGCAATTTCTGCAATTTTCTACTTTATGTCGCCCCTATAAATTCGAATCCCCCCTTTCCCCCTGAATCAATGTTGGAATTGTAGCTCTATCATTTCTCCTTCAAAATCGTGCATGAAAAGTCTCAACCATTTTGTCCAGGGTTGTAGATGCTTCAATATAGGTATTATGAGCAGGGCCACCAAGAGGGCGGCAAGGGGGCCAATTTCCCCAGGGCCTCGTGGTCCAAGGAGCCTCCTTAAGTAATGGATTCAGTTAAAGAATTAAATTTAACAAACGTAACAAAAGTAGGCCTGAAAATAGTAGAGCGTTTAGTCAATGGCAAAAATTGACTGGAAGAAATTTCTTAAAATTTATTTACTGCCAATCTTAATGGGGTGGTCGCGAACTTTTCTGCTCGCTTCGCTTTCAGGTTGCCTAGTCTTTCGCTTTTCTCCCAGGGCCTGTGAAACCTCTCGGTGGCACTGAGTATGAGATCAAACTAAACAGGTTTGTATATAGAAGTTAGCAAGAATAAAACTTTGTAGATTTTAGCAGTGCGACTCTTAGTTGCGTGTCTTAGGGTTGCAACACTTAGTTGCGTGATGATCGAAAATAAAGAAAATCTTAGAATAGCTATTTAGAACCGCTCTGTTATCACAGCGAATCAAATTCAGCTATGTCCATTTGGCCTCGAGTGCTTTCCAACAAAACAGATGAAAGCAATCTGCAATAACTTAAGTAGTATATAACAAGTCGTACCTTTTTTGTACTTAACCACAAACTTTATGTTGTCATTGACTTTGGAAAGTGCTATTTTCTCTTCTGTTACCTTTGGAGTAACCTCCTTTTCTTTGTCTAAAATTAAAAGTGTGATGCTTGATTTAACAACGAAGTTTCATATTTCCAAAACAGCATATTTACATAAAACAAAAATCAACATAAACAGCGAATTAAATTGTGAAGTTGAAAAAGGTCATAAAGGTGGTAAGGTCTACTAATGGAGAGTTCTATCAATAGAATTCGTAATATACTTGAGTCCAGTAAGTGGCTGAAGCTATTATTCTTGATTGTTCGCCTTGCTAAAGAATATTTAAATGCCTACCAGAAGGCTTGATAAGGGCAAACAAGTATTGCGCATTTTCGATAGTATTTCCTCCATTACCAACGCAATGAAGCAAGCAGTCAAAATCACCTCCTTTCTAACGCTCAATCCTTGCCAAGTTGTTGGAACACTTGAGCAAAGCTGAAGCTTTTTTTAACCCCCCCCCCCTTTCCCCTACCCCCCATTACAATCTTGCTCAATTGGGCTGTTTTGATCCTGAAGGTAAAAATTTCTTCACTGAAAGCTGTACGAAGGTATTGAGAAAATAAATCAACATTGTGTGGGGGGAGGGGGTCGAAATTTTTGAAGCGGCAGTGATATTTTGGTAAGGTAGTTTTAGACTTGCTTTGTTTATTTGCATGCTGCAATGGGAAGGCGTTCCAGTTATTTTTGGCAAGGATTGCTGTTTTTTCACCAAATTTTAATAGCTTTGATCTGGTCCAATCGGTTTTTTTCAGAAAGTTCAATCTATAACTTTCATTTTTAAGGACATGGATCGCGTTGTTGTTCAATCTTTAAAATAAAGCTTTTGCAACAAAGCAGGGTCATTTTGAAGGCATTGCTCTCAGCTCAACCATTTTACGTTGTCTAGAAATTGACCAGTTCTTTATAAATAAACAAAACACACCCCATTAAAACACTAAAATTTTCTTATGCTGGCAATATCAAGGTAATTTGCTGGCTTTGGTCATACCTTTCGATGCAAACTTCTTAGCAACATCATCATTTGAAAAACTAGTTAGTCCTATTTCTGAAAACAAGAATAAATTTCTAAGTTAAAAATCGAAAAATTTGACATAAATCTACTTATTTAATCTGCAGACAAAGTTTGCATGGTTAGAGACATCTTAGCAAATATGACCCCAAGTGTAACAAGACATTTTACATGAATTGTTTATTTGCTTTCAATGAATAGCAGACGAAAACAATTAATTGTTTTGATCCACGTCATTCAATAACAGGGTCTTTTCTAGATCATCTTTAGTCAATCAGTTGTGCATATATTATGTGAGTTGACAGAACTTGTTTACAACCGAACGCTATAAACGCACTTGATCATAGAAGATAAGATTGAGCTTAACCACCTAACTGAAAAGAGTAAAATATGTACATAGATAATTTATAGTAACCTTAATTCAAAAACAACCCTTTCAAAATTCATATTGATAAATATACTGTCAGAATAGATCTTGTTTGGCTCTTTTTTCTGATGCTAGATTCATATTTATATGACCAGACACTTATTTTTTGAAAGCAATTTTGATCTTTCAATGCAAAATACACTTCGCTTAAGCAGTTTTGTCTTTAGTTACAACAAGAAGTGGCATTTTAGTGAAAAATTCAACTGGGAAATTAAACTTTTATATTAAAGATATAATATTCTTTTGTCTGCAACAAAATTACGTCAATGTGCATGGAAAAGCCACACCCCCTCCCTTCTGCCAGTATGTTAAAAAGCCCTCGAAATTACAGTTGAATTTCGTTTAGTCGGACCTTCTCTAGCAATCTCCGCCGGTCTTAGCAATATGTAACTTGAATAAGGTAAGAAAATCCTTTTGAATCAAAAACTAGTCCTACTTGACAGTTCCGGCTATCCGGGGTACGATTTAACAGGATTCAACTGTAGAGAAACTTGGATTTTACAAATAGAAATGGCTGCACAAGACCCCTCTTTAAAATGAATAAAAAGAGTAAAGTTTCGATTAAAAAGATGAACTATCATAGTAAAAAATTAAAGTATTACCTTTATGATCTTCTGCATAATTTCTTGAAAGTTGTAAAACAAAATACAGTAGCAGATTAAAACTATACAACAGCTGCATCACTCAGTTGAGCTTGTCGAGGTATCTACGATGCAATGAATAATCAAAACATCACGGGTGTCTGATGATGCATGTTGTGATAGGAAGAATTACAACAAAACGTAATGAGCAGTAGGTATGACGTACTATGGCTAGGAGACAAGGTTGATTTTACAGAATTCGACATGGCTAGACACGAGGTTTGTTACTGGGAATATTTTCAATGGAATTTATGAGACTCTAGTGAGTAATTAAATTAATTTTCTTAACAAAAACAACAGTTAAATACTACGTTTATACATAAAAATGTTTCAGCAAAGTATTGATTTTACTATGGATCGAGTGAAAACAGTAAAAACGTATTAACAATAAAGTTGAATCTAAAAACAAAGTTTTCTCGATGCTGAGAAGAAGCTGAAGAGGTATGAATCGTCGATTCCAGTTGTAAATACGCCAAAGTTTGTCTGCAAGTATTTAACTTTAAGTAGATCTTGACAGAAAATTGATGTTATCTTAATAGCTTTGCTAGTTAGGGTAAAAACTAAATCGACAGTAGCTAGCAATTAGAACAAAGAGATTTTGTAACATTAATTCAAGTTTTCATTGACATTTCGTTCTGGCGTTTGGCAAGTAACAGTTCATGGCAGACATCAGAAGTTGCAAATCTTGGTTCCAGGATACGATTGAAGCTCTTAAACTCAACGTTTCAAATAACGCGATGAACAGCCATAGTCACAAAGCAATGACACAAATCTATCATACCTTTTTTAGAATATCCCATAAACTTGTAAAGAAATTTCTGCATGGCCTGATCACTGGGACATTTGTGTTTATTTGTTTAAATGAATCACTAATAGCTTCAAATAATAGCAAAGTTCAAAATTCGGATGCTCTTCGATCGATCTCGTTCAACACTGTTCGAATTATGATACCTTTATCTTCGTTATCAAATTGAGATAGCCAAATAGACAAAACTGGTCACGAAAAGGTTTGTTTTGGCGATTCTATGGCCTATTACAACAGCAGCGGCCAGTTAGATAGGAAAACGATCTTATGACCCCTACAATCGGGGCAGAGCAAAACTATAAAATATTGTATTTCATGAAAGAATACCATATAATAAACAGCTATCTGCATTATCGTTTGGATTCAATCCTTGAAGGAAGTTTGTTTAAGGAAAAGATAAGCAAATACCTGGATATAAGATCATTTGTGCCAATCCGTACGATAACTACATTTCTTCAGAAATGAAAACAAATTTCCATTTCCAAATACAAAACCTGCAACAAAATTCAATTTTTCCTTTATGTTTCGGAATAAATTCTTGATTTTTCAGAGTACTTAGAGCAACAAGAAGAGACGTTCATACGTAAGATTTCGGACATGCCAGTACATTAGCAAGATTCAATGAGACCACTGGGTATTGACTGACCCGTAACGGTACCATGTCCAGGTCAAAATCAAAACCAGTATTCATAAGCAGCTTCGTCTTCTTGTAAAACTGTACAGTATAATGCAAAGACTCGTTGCTTAATACTTTTAAAAAAACCTAAAAGATTACTAGATTGTGAGTTCAAAAAGGATATCGTATTCACGGAAATTCAAGGTGGCTTTTCGTGCTTAGGCATCTAGCAGGTTCATTCGTATTTGTACTGTTGAAAAATATCCCAAGACGTAAACATTGATTGACAACCACTGGTTTCAGTGTCGTAATATCTGAGCAACATAAACATTAAATAAACATATACAAACCCATGACTTTGTTACATGCACTTCTTATTCGAACGTTTTCTGCATAACAACTTTTTCTCTGATGGTTAGGTTATTCAAAAAAAGTTTCTCCTCTTCGGATATTTTTCAGAATTGTAAGTTAGTCCAATGGTACTTATTGATAACGGAAGTTATTAGGCTGAGCCTATGCTCAGTGGTGGTAATATCTGTAGCGAAAGACTTTGACAGTCACTAGTGGTTGATGCTGTTGCCTCTAGTTTAATGATTGTGCTTCATGCCAAAAGTTCTTGTATTATCAAAATAATGACATGAATTCACGGGGATTTCAGCAGAAGAGAAGCAAAAAGCTTGAATTTGAAGATGAATACTGAAGGCATCAAAAGAAATTGCTAGATTCAAACGAATATACTATCATTTCAAGGGTCAATATAAAAACGCGATGTTGTCATATAAAGCTGCCCTGGAGCTTTACAATTTTCAATGGCTCAATTTTCAAACTTTCACAACTGGAAACTTTAACTTTTAAAGATAAATGAACCGGACCGAGTAGAACAATAATGCTGGATTAACAAGCAGCATTTTACGGTAGCTTCCACCAACCTGACTTATCCTAAGAATAAAACTAAAAACCGAATTCTAAAATACAATACTGAACCCATCTGAAATGAGAAAATAAACACAGTGACCTAGTACCACTGCATGGAGGACTTTCATTCTTGAATAGCTGGAAATCAATATTGAATGATGTTAACAAACAAGAGGAATGTGACGTAACACGTGACGTCTATTGAAAGATAAATATGAAATAGAAATGCATACAATTAGACTTTACTGATAATTGCATTTTTCTTGACAACTGCTCAGTGCTAGAAAATGGGATGACACCATTCGCAAAGTAGTATAGGCTTCAATCTACACCGTTAATGGAATTCCCAGAAAATTCGTTCAAAATATGAAGTGCTGCTAATCATTTTAAGCAGAGTTTATTTGAAGTGAAAAGAAGCTCTTGGGGGAATTGCTAATGGTGAGCCTCTTTGCCTGACAAATCACCCATGATTTGATCTAGCATCCATCATATGCGAGCCGGTGAAAATCAACATTTGCATTTCAACATCCATGAAAACTATGTTGGAAAAAATGGTCATCCGTGAAAGTGGAAGAAATTGAGCTTTTTTGAATGATGGGCTAATGTAGAAAAACTCCTTGCAAAAACTTGGATGTTCCTTGTTTAAGTTCTCTACTTTCTATGCCAAAATTATGTGTCAAATCAATAACACCTCCCCCCCCCCCCCCCCCCCAACCTCCTTTATTTCCGACTGGCTTGACCGACCGACTGGAAAGTTTGTTTTTATGCATTTTCCACTTCTAGCTTCAAGAGAATTTTCCTAGAACGCTGCATTAACTTATAGGCTAAATTGTGAACCCAGAGTGACCATGTTTGTGCTTTAGGGCTATGCAGGGCACGAAACATTAATTTGTGCAGCATAAATGACAAACTTTCGCGGCAGCAGAAGAGCAAACGATAAACTGGTATTGATATCGATAAGCCCGGGTGGTTCTGTTGTGCTACAGCAGAGTCAAGAGTCGATGCATTACATCTATGCTTTAATCATGAATAATTGATTAAGTGATCAAGATTTTCTAAAGATCAACTCCTAGAACCTAAAGGAAGGCGGTATAGCTAGCACTTAACATACTGTATAACTAAAACTCATCGCTGGGAAGGAAAAGCCAGAAATTAGGAAATCGTATCTGTTCTTAACAAAAATGGCTGAATACCAATAGCGATATGTGAAAGCCAGACCAGCCGCAATGAAGTTTGTGTACGTGTTTCTTTTCCTGGTAGCAGCTTTGTTATCTTGTAATGCGTTAAACAAAGCAACGAAGAACACGGTTCAGCAAATTAGTCAAATCTCAAAACGAGTGCTAAAAGCAATTCCATTAAAAGGAAAAACATTGCCTCTGCAAAAAACTCAAGCGAAGGTAGAAAGGCCTAAACAAAACAAGGCATCAAATGCAAAAAGATGGATGCCAGCTAAAAAGAATAATGTCAAATACGTCGCGAAAATTGCAAATAACAAGAAAAGATGGATGCCGGCATTTGCTGAGATGGCTCAGAATGATATGGAGAGTACTATGATGTTTGATACAGGATTTGTAAGTAGTGATCCACGGTCAAGTTTCCAGGAGGCTCAACAACAGCACGCCGGTGAGTTCGGCCTACCACAAACCGAAGCAGCACAGCAAGGCCTTCCTCCAGAGCAAAGTTTTCTTACCCCCGGCAACAATGACCAAGAAATTGGTCTACCAGGGCAAGCAGTTGCTGGTCGAACACAAGATAACCAGTTTCAAGCGTATGGAAATGAAATCGAATCGTTCACTAAGGAAGGCTTAGACGGGGGTACAAATTCAATGTTTAATAATTTTGATGGCTTTCAAGAATCTGCACTAAACAGCCCTAAATATCAAGAAGGGGATTTCATAGGAGGGCCAACGATCGACAGTTCTGAAGGTAAACAAGCAAATTTGTACGATGCTTTTACGCTAGCACCTGGAATGGCAGAGAATTTTGTAAACCCCGTGAAGGAGAACAACGGTGATTCCAAAGTATCAGGAGACGGCAAAAAAGATAAAAGTAAAGATGAAAAGAAAAAGAATGCGGAAAAAGAAAACACAAAAAAGGAAGAAGATGAAGAAAAATCAAACAAGAAAGAAGAGAAGGAAAAATCAAAAAAGGAAGAGGAAAAAGCAAAAGGAAAGAATGAATCAAAGGAAGGGAAAAAGGGTGAAAGCAGTGCGAAGAGCGAAGCCAAGGCGATTTCAGGAGCCCAAAAGGAGAATGTAGAGAGTGAAGATACAAAAGAGGCTAACAATGACGAGGAATCTGGTAAGGAGGCCAAAGGTCCAGGGGATAAGTTAGAAAATGCTGAGAAGGAGCAAAAAGATGAAAAGGTTAAAGGAAAGGAGGGAAAAGCTAAGAGTTCGGCGGCAAAGGAGAAGAATGTGAGTGAGACAAAATCCAAGGAGGATAGCGAAAAAGACGACTCACGTGAAAAAGATGACAAGGAGCAGAACGGCAAAGCAAATTTTGCAAACAGTGAGAACGAATCAGCACAGGTAGAGAAAGAAGAAGAAAGGGAAAAGATGAAACAAATGAAAAAGAAGATGCAGACGACCAAAGTAAGCAGAAAGAAAGTAAAAATCACAAAGTAAACAAGAAAATAAAGAACGTACAAAAGGAAACCAAGCATATCGAAAAGTTTTTCAAAGAGGCAAACGCTGTTGAACCGAATATTGAGCAAGGTAAAAATTCGAAAAGTGGAGATGAAGATGATGATGATCAGCAACCAAAAAGAATTTCTAAGAGTAAAGAAAAACAGGAAGTGATAAATTCTCAGAAGGAAGAAGAGGAAAAACCAACAAATTCACAGAACAAAATGCAAAAGCAATCGCAATCCTCTGAGAACAAAGAGCGAGAACAGAATGCTGCAAATTCGAAGCAAGATTCGAACGAGGTGTCTAAAATTGAAGATGAAAGTCGAATTAAAAAGCTGAAGCAGAGAATCAATACACAGAAAATGAAGAAAACCCGCGGACGTTTACAACAAGACGCTGCAGAGCGACAAAAAATAACACCAGATAACGGAGGAGCAATGATTGACAGTTCGCTTGCAAGCAATGTCAGCCCCGCTAATGCACATCTTGGCCTAGCAGCGGAAGGGCTGAGAAAACAGTTGGTTTCCAATCTAAGGCACGCTCTTATGAGAAATGTTGCAGCGGCAATTGCTAAAGGAACAACTACTAATTTGCAAGAAGAAAACAGTGGCGGGCAAAGCCAGGGAGTAATGCAAAATCTGCAACCGCAAGGAAACAACGGAGGTAGTGCAGCAATGAAACAGGAGTCACAACAAGGCAATGAAAAGCCAAGTAGTACCAATGGACAGAGCAGTTTTCAAAATGGAGGCCAGAAAAATACACAAGAGAACGAGGCTGGGGCAAAGGAAGATGCAAACCAAGTGAGTGGCAGCCAAGATGAAAACCGGGGGTCAGATCAATCACTTGTTCCAACGCTGATGAAGATGGACAAGCAAATGCTAGTTAATACGATTCTGAAACTGATGAAGAAAAACCAAGGGAAAAGTAATGAGAATGGCGAAAAGGAAGCCATGGAGAAAAATGAAAAAGAGGAAAAGGAAAGTAAGGATGGAGGTGCAATAAACCAATCATTTTCTAATCAAGCTGAGACACAGCCAGACTTGGCAACAGCCTCAGATGGAGCAACTGGCCATGCAGTTGATCAAGAGGCTGAAGCTAAAGATACTGATAATGCAGCAAGCGTTGACAAGGAAAGTCAGGCAGCAAGTGCTGATGAGACAAAAGTAGAAGCAAAAAACCCAAAGATTGCTTCAGGTACCCAAGAAGAAAATGGGCACAGTGAGTACACTGCAGTGCCAATTAAGTCATCGGGCGATACGAAATTCTATAAATTCAAGAAATTGCAAGGACAAAGCCATATAAAGGGGAAATTGGCACGCGTACGCGAAGGTGATGATCCATACGCACAAATTGGGCTGGTGGACCCTGCTAACAATGACAAGATGCCAACACATCACAAAGCATCAGCGCTTAAAGAAGATATGGAAAGCCAGCAAGCAAAAGTATCAAAATTTGTGAAAGGCGGTGATGATGGAGGCAAAGAAATGACAGACAATAATGTAGACAATAGTGAACAGAGCAAAGAGGCGTCTGGTCAGAATCAGGAATCACTTAATCAGGAATCAAACCAATCGAATCAAAGATCTGAGCAAGCTAATGGTCAGGAGGCAGAACAACAATCTGATGGAGATCAGGCCCAGGGACAGGCTAATCAGGACCAGCAATCGAGCAATGATAACGGTGATCAATCAGGCAATCAAGGAGGCAATCAAGTGGGCAATCAAGAAGTAACAACTAATCACAAAACTGACCAAGACGCAGCAATTCAACAAACGCAAGTACAACAACAACCTGATGGCGTAACCACGGTAACAAATATAAATGCTGACACACCAAAAATGGTAGCACAGCTGATGAAAATATCGCAGCGTCTTCACGAAATCAATGACAAAAAGGGCGAACAAAGCCAACAAAAGGTGAATGATGATCAATCAAAAACAATCAGCAATACTTACAGTGACGCGGGTATCCCGCAGAAATCCCACGACGATGCATATGCGTCGATTGGCTCATTTGATCCCAACGTGAAGAAGAAGGCAGCTATTGGCAAGAAGAAGACTGTAATGAACAAACAATTTGCTATCAAACAGTCAACGAGCAACGATAACATATTAAGTAAAAGAAGAATATGATTAATAAATCAATTACGAAAATAAGAGCATATTCTGTAAGAAAAATGCTCACGAGCATTATTAATAACGATGGCTGTCCAAATCGTTCTTGTCTGTTTCATGGACAAAAATAAAAATGAAGATCACAGAATATAAAAAGCAATTCACAAAAGATGAGTTTTACAGTTGACAAAAGAAACAAAAGTAGAAATATTGTGAAGCTTCTTACACTACTATCAGATAAGGACGTCGAAAATATGTACACTACTTTTTTGAATAATTTGTTTCGAATAATCCAAGATTAACAACGAAACAATGAAAAGATAACGGGTAAAACAAAATCGAGTAGAAGTGATAACACAAAAAATTGAAGAATCCAATGAAGAAACAGTAGGCAGAGATTGGCTGATTGTACTTTAACTCTAAATTTTAATAAAAAATGCAACATGTGATTAGATTTTTTACAATGATTTTACTTCTTATTGAAACTGATAATTATAACGACCAGAAATCTGAGTGTTATTTATTGAACTTTCCTTCTAAATGGCTTTGAAAAATACAAACATTTGAGTGAGCCTTCAGAGTTTAAAATGTCAGAACATAGATCGAAAAGCTGTAGTTTACTCAAATGTTTGCTTTTTTCAAAGCAGTTTTCAAATTTTGTACCACCAAAAGTTTGTTTGAACTTTCTTTTTGTTAATAAAACATTACAAACCAATTCAAATTAAGAAACAGTTTCTTAACCAAATTGTGATCCCTTTCAAGCATATAACAGTAACAAAAATAACTTTAAACGTAAATACTAAACTACTTTTTATAAGTTTAAAAGCTGATTGACGCCTGTAGAAAATTTAATTGCATTCTAAATAAGCTTTGCCACTGAAGCAATCAAAGCTGATTTGAGAAAGGCCTTGGAGGATTTTCAATGATGATGTCAGAATGATTTTGAAAATGGTTTGCTTTATTGCTTAACCTGCATGTTTAGGGAATTCTTGCAAAAAAGCTTTCCGTGTTTTTTTGGGTTGTGAGATATTTTTCTGATCGGCTCTCTTATATTCTTGATCTGAATGGAACTTTTATCATAAACCTTTGTGTGGCATGCTACTATTGAAAAAATCTTATGAACAATTTATGAAGCAACAATTTCTTTCATGAAAAATAACAACGATTTTCAACTTCACTTTTAAAAATAAAACAACAAATTCCTCTTTATGAATTTTCTTTCACAAGGTGTCATGCAAAAAGATACACGCATTTTAGTATTATTTCCTTGGTAGTTGTATATTTTTCGTTGCTGTGAATGACCGTCAAAGCTGAAACTCGTGAATTTGTTCACTACAGCAACAGTCAAAATTTCGCAAACCTTTTCATAGTAATTCGGTGATATCTTGTTCTATTTAGAAGGTCTAACAGATTAAAAGTAAACCAGAAACCTAAAACTTCAAAAAGGCAAGGCATCTTTCTGCCGTAACACAGATTCAAGCAGTGTATTCAATAATTCCTTTTACACTTAATACTGCAAGTAAATGACTTAATAATGTGGATGACAAAATAACAAATTTACCGAGTTCGTTGTCAGCAAGCTGCAATCACGCTTTCTTTCCAAATTCTTTGCAGAAAAATATAAGAAAAAACTTTAGTGTGTCTCTAGAAATGTTTTGCTACCCAACAGTGGCCAGCATGGGCGTAGCGTGCGGGGGTGTGGAGGGGTGTACGCCCCTTCAGCTTTCGGAGAACTTGTCGGTTGACTTAAATTTATAACAAAATATTAATGTAACAAAAGAATTTCTGTCGGTAAAATATGGTTTTGCATCTTCTATAGACCCCCCTCCCCCCCAGCGAGAATTGTCATGCGACGCCACTTGTTCCCGGACGGGCTTTGGCTACCTCCCCTTTAGCCCCGTTCCCATTTAAGAAAGGTAAAACAGTGTAAAAGTCACTTCTACTTTTACTTCTACGTATTTAATCAACAACTTCAATACTGAAGGCTCTGTTGATGTAAAGAAAAACAAAAACAAACAAATACACAAAAAGTTAACAACAAATAATAACAAATAAATAAGTTAAGCAACAGAGCAGCAGTTCCGTGACTAAGATAGTATTTATCCAATGTTGATATTTTGCCCTTTGAATTTTTTTTCCTATGAAATCAAACTGCACTGCAACCGTACTTATTTATCTGTTACTGGTTTCTTTACGATTTTTCTGTTGAAAATTTTTTTATTAAACTTGTTTGGTCTTTTTTACATTAAGTTTTTCTGTTTTATTAACTTATACTAAATTGCGTTTTTAAAAGAATTGATTGTTTTTGAGTCAATCACTGATTGTGGTAACATATTCCACGCTTGAATTGTGCGGGGAAAGTACGAAAAGTTATAATAATCTGGTCCAGTTCCTGAGACTTGATATGCTTGGTCATGGCTTTGTCTTGACTTCCTGGAGGATGGTTTCATGTAATTATCTTATCAGCTGCTACCATTCCATCATGGATTTTGTAAAACATTGCAAGTCTCTGTTTTGTTATCCTTTCCTCCAGGGTTTCCCATTTCAGTTCTGAAAGCATATCTGTAACACTCGCGAATCGATCATGTCTATTTAAGACGTAACGAGCAGCTCTTCTTTGTACCATTTCAAGCATGTGGATGTTCTTTTTTGTGTATGGATCCCATACTGTTGTAGCATATTCAAAAACTGGTCTTACAATTGCTTTTTAGGCTTTTGATTTCAGTTGAGGCGAGTTTATCCGAAAATTAATTTTGAGAAAATTAAAGGATCTTGTGCCTTTGCTGGCAGTGTGACTGATATGTTGATTCCAGCTTAGATCCTTTGATAACGTTAATTTTAGGTATTTGGCAGACCTAACATGGCATAGACTTTCCCCATGGAGAGGGTAATCGTATATCATTGGTGACCTGCTTCTTGTTATTGTAAAAATTTGACATTTCTCTGGATGGAATTCCATCTGCCACTTATCCTCCCATTGTGCCAACTTTTCAAGATCATTTTGTAGGCTTATTGAATCTATTTCCAAGTTAATTGTTAGATACGCTATTGTGTCATCAGCAAAGAGTCTCACTATCGAATTTAGTGTCTTGGACAGGTCGTTTATATAGAAGAAGAATAAACATGGACCTAATACTGAGCCTTGAGGGACCCCAGAGAGGACATCTGCCTCGTATGAGTATTCCCCATCTAGCAGCACTGTCTGTTTTCTGTTCATAAGAAAGCTGATAATCCATGCATTTGTTTTACCACTAATTCCATAGTATTTCAACTTTTCCAACAACCTTAAGTGACCCACCTTATCAAATGCTTTGAAAAAGTCCATTATAAGCACATCTGTTTGTTTTCTTTCCTTTAGATTTTTTAACACATCTTCTTGAAATTCTATGAACTGTGTTTCACATGAAAGTTTGTCCCTGAATCCATGTTGCAGATTATACAGAATGGAATTAGAAGCAGCATGAGACATTATGTTGCTAACAATAACATGTTCCATGATCTTGCAGACAATACAGGTAAGAGATATAGGGCAATAATTACTGGCCATTGATTCTTTCCCTTTCTTGTATACTGAAAGGGGGAAAAGCAGATACAGTGGAATCCCGTTATAACGAACCCCTAATATAACGAACTTCCCGGTATAACGAACTAAATGTCTTGTCCCTTGGATCCTGCCCAACAAACTTCTTACAAATTTTCTCGGTATAAAGAACCCCGGATTTAACAAACTCTCGATATTATGAACCAAATTGTGGGTCCTTCATCATAATTATAATCATAATTAATTTTTCCCTTTGTTATTGATACTTAATTATTTTTGGCGTTCATCTATCATTTTCTCTTGGGGGAAATCATTTTTGTAATCGGCTGATGATACATTTTAAGCACTGGATGATAGACTCAGAGCACGAGATGATGCAAGTTTGACCGCGTCAAAAATTACGGCGAATGAGTACATTGACACTTATAAGCACCTTGATACATATGAGACATTGGCAATGAGTGACGACAAAACTTTATTGGGAGACCCAGATGGAATGCGTAAAGAAATAGACAAGTAAGAATGTGAAGTAATCGAAGACGTCATTCAGCCGCCACTGGAAGTGAAGCGATACCAGCTTTGCCATGTCTGGTCACCAAATTGTAAAAGGAGCATAAAGATCTTCATTTTCAATGACTGACCAATAGAAATATTTGACTTCAGCTTGGTTTTTGGAGAAAGTGTGCACAGAGGTTGGAGAAAGCCTAGGCAAGCCCAACAAAGGTATTGTTAGGCGTGTACTGCGAAAAGACCTGAAAGACGTTTTCTCCCGGTTTAACGAACTCCCGATATAACGAAATGTTTTCTGGTTCCCTTTCCGCTGTATTTGCAAACATTTTGTGCTTTAAATCAAGTGCAAACAGCATTCGCTGGTAAATTTTAATGATAATATTTAATGATAATTTAATGACAAAATTCCAGTTTAAAAATTGGCAATTTCACGTTTAAACACAAAGTGATTTTGAAAACTCGAAAAATCATGTATAAAGTATCTTTTTGGGACAACCTTTTCCGAAACCTTAAGAAAAGAGCTTTTTTGAATATATCTTAATTATTTGTACCATTGCAGCAAATAAATATCCGCACAATGGCAGCCAACACTGTTTGATGATTTTGAATTCACTTTCAAATTCGCGAGGTTAGATAGCTTGATGAAGAAAGGGGGGGGCGATTAACTCAAATCCTGTAATGATGCATGAAACAGACGTAAGATTTTTATTCATAGGTGCCGTAATCTATTTTGCGATGTTTGGAGATTTCTTGTATTCTTCAGATAGAGATTGGCAATCTATATCGAGGTTTAAAAGTAACCTAGTAGAAGAAGTAAGTTGCATAGAGACTTCAAGGAAAGCTATACGTTATCTCCAAAAATCTCTTCTTTTATATGTTGCCTTAATACTGTGACAAAAAGCTGATACTAGACCGAAATTTCGATATCATATACTCAGCAGCTAAGCTCTTTTTTTCTAAAATGAAATCGGAACTTGTATTTCTAGTAAGGAACTTTGATACTGAGGAAGGAAAGCAGAACATATGACAAAGTCATCACTAGATGTCAGGAAAATGACGTAAAACTTTCGTGATGACAATCAATGAGGAGATTCCGCCCTTTCCAGTCCTCGCTGTGTTTCCCCTCTGGTACTTAGCTCTGAGATCCTGATTTGCAACAGGACAAGTGCAAAAGCCAAGTAATTAGGGTGATAGCAAACATCACATAACAGGTCGTTGGGCAGCAGGTCAGTGAAAGCGGCTTTGATTGGTTCATTGGTGATCTATTGTTAATCATATGCATGAGTTCTTGGGCTTATCCGCTTCACGGTTTCAACGTCTTGTCCAAGACGTTTTTGCTGATTAAAAATACAAATTAAAGTAACGAAATGTTGACATTATTACAGAAAATACAATTATTATGAGAATGATAATGGTTTAATGTTAAAGAGAGACAAATACGCAAAAAGGATGAGGTTAGTGAGAATTTTTTATTTGCGTTACACAGTGTAATGATGAGTATCAATGGATAAATTGTAAACAGGCTAAATCAATAGCTCGTTGAAATGATACATTTACGGTCCAGGATGCACATCTATTAACGAAATCATAAATCGACGTACCTTCAGTTGCATTTTAAACTTCTTGCTCAAATTTGCCATTCGAAAAATGCCTCAATCAATAATATTGCTTCTAATTTGATAGGAAAAAATATTTATATGCGATGGCAATTGAGAAGACTTTAACTGAGTTTTTTATCCTTCTCGTCCGAGGTTGAGCCTAGCAAAATCAAGACACTACTCAATATTCTGAGATTCTGTGCAGGTTTACTTAGGCCATATAAATCAGTTGCAACACCCACTGCACTTAAAAAAGACCTAAGAGAGCAACGTATGCTGTCTTTCTCAAGATACATTAAGTTGATCGAAATCTATCATTTCTAAAAAAGCAAACATTTCAAACTTAATTTTTGCATTTTCAAAGCCTTTTTGAAGTCTTACAACACCAAAAGATTGCTTGCCTATTATTTTGAAAATTTCAAGCACTCAAAGACGCACTCGTAGCAGTAGGCCTAGGTTCCTTATATACCCTTCCTGGCAATATACTAAGCCAATATCTAAATTTTGTCTGTAGCAGCAGTTTGTCCTTAGAAGCTGGCCACTCTGAGTAAGTCATTATATAAGTAATCCTCTGGCAGGATACAATCTAAGTTAATAAAACAACTCACTACTAAAATATCGAATACTATTATAACAGTTTGACTCGACTCTAGATAGATGCTATGGGGAAAGTCATGTATAATTATTTGGTACATTTCGCGTTCAAACTTGCTTCAAAGATATACCTGTGAAATTTCCTTATTAGGGTCGTCGTAACTGAATTTCATCACTCCGGTTTAAGATAAGAGTTTGCAGACGGGGTGGGCGTTGGCTCTGTAGGTGTGGCATAAGTACTAATTCTTGGTAAAGCGGAGATTCGGTAGATTTCCCGATAATAGCAGTGGCGATCTGCCAACAGCCTTTGTTGCACGAGGGTGTACCCTTGCCTTGATGGCTTTGTTGTTAAATACTCCTATCCTACAGAGAGCAAGCAAAATCAAATAGAATTAATCCTGGTTAGGCCTTTTATTACCGAAAAGTTCAATTTCTTGCTTGGAAAAACTGATGTTCAAGACACATATTGTGCTTTCTATTAAACAGGGCTGATTGCAAACTAGTGGCATTTCTAGCCTGTGTTATTGTGGCAGCCCATACAGATGCAAGTAACTTAGCAACAGAACAAAGGACAGTGAAACTAGCACAAGGGTATCAACATACAGCCAGGCCTCGAAGGACAGAGATTAACCCAGAAAATGTGACAGTCTCAAGATTCAGTAAAAAAACACTTATAGATATAACGGGATCTGAATTCCCAGAAACAAACTATCAACAGCCGGAATTCTTTTTTGATACTATGCACGACTTTGGTGATTATGACAATGAAGAAATCTTGAAACAAAGTGAAGGAAGGCTAGATGGCGACACCACAACTTCTGGCAACAGTAGAAGTGACTTGGCAGATAGCAAGCAAAATGAATTATCAAGCTTCGCATCCATTACGCAGGAGAATTTTGATAATGATCAGCTAGAGGCTATCGACCAAGCAAATGAACAAGCAATGGAAAACCGCGGGAATGACGAGGAGACGTATCGTTATGATGATGATGTTAACTCTTTTTATCCAACAACACCAGGTATGTTGAACTTAAGAAAACAATGGGTTACCAAGGAAGATGTGAGATTTTCATTTTTGGAAGATTAAGTATTACGCTGTATTCAATTTTTTGAAATCATTTATTTCCATGGATCTCATTAAACTACACAAAATAATTTCTATCACATTTTCCATGCAATACTTTCATTGTTTTCTTCCCTCCAGCAAATGCAGGAGCTGGTTTAATTTTTCTACCTGGCCAAGCTGATATTGCGAAAAGAGGTTGGAAAGTCATTGCAATGAAAAGATTTAGTGGAAGCAGTGGAACTTGGACTATTAAGCTCCAAGTATGGGATTGGAGGCGATATGTGACAGGATTCAAATACGAATGTAAGTGATATTACAAGTTGGATTATTCCTGACAGGGTGCTATCCCTGAGTGGAGTTGTAAAGTTAGTTCATTTGGGGTTTGGGCATATCGGGTGAGGCACGGCACCCTGAGGCAAATTTTTCGTATGCAAAATTTTTCATTAGAAAGGACCTTAAGATTTCGTATCATATCTCACAACTGAAATGGAAAGAGAGTAAGGAAGTCATTTACAATCTGTGTATTGTGAGTTCTACACCTTGTGTTATTTCATTTTTTACAACCTGTGTAATTTCAACAAATAAACTATACATAACCTTAAAGAACTAGAACGAGTTAGCACGCCTCAAATGAATAATGCTGAAAATGAATTTTTAACAAACTAAACAATTTTTTCAAATACAACAAAAAGTGTATGAAGCGTAAGATCATAACCAAATGTTGAACATTATCATATATTATATATCACTGGCTAAAACAAGCCGAAGGACGAATCGTCCTTCCCTTTGACTAATTTTGATCGAACCTTGGCTTATAGTTGTTGATTTTTTTCATTATCACATTGTATTGTTATTTATTCACATTTGTTAGAAGAGCTACAAAAGTTTTCGGTTCTTCATTAGATGACTCGAGGGTGTTATTTGAAGTGTAAGTCAAGAGAAAGCGACAGAATTTTGCACAAGCACCAGATTTAACCAAACGTTCATGCTTAGGCAACTATATACATTTAAAAATCATTTTATTTACAGCTGTAGAGTGGGGAAGCGTTGGCGTTCTGGTCGATGGAACGATATCAAAACACATGTGGATGGTGCAAAGAATGGTGTATAATATCTTATTGATGTTTCGCAAGGGGTCAATGTTGAGTGTGGCATCTTTTGGAGCCAGCGTCAAAATGGTATTCAATTCATCTGCTTTTAATCCTCATTAGCATTACAGAGATTCTAGCAACACATGTTGTCTAGCGCTTGCTGTACATAAAGCATTTGTTTATATACAATAGCAACATGCTCTTTGAGTCACAAAACCGATACTTCTAATTTGGATAACAGTGCTTTTCAGCAAAATTATATTAAATGTAAGACAAAAGAAAAGTGTATACCAAACTTTAATCGGGATTTTTATAATGTTTAAGGGATGTTTTTGAACTTAACTTAAAATCCAGAAGCAAGATGAATGATATCTATACCAGGAAAAACGCATGTCTATTTATGAAGCGGGTTGATGTTAAGAGAACTCCTTATTACCAGATCAAAAGCAGTGTCCAATTTTACTTCAATTAGGACATCCCAGTAAAATCGCTTTTATGAGAAGTAAGAAAACACAAGACTAGAGTTAATAACTCTTATGTTAAGAAATATAATTTCATATATAGTGTATTATTTTGATTTCTTGTTAATGCTTAACTATATGTTTGGAATAAAAGACATTTCGGCCTGTAGATCTATTAGAAAAATGCTCTGAAACTGATAAAGGAAACGCGAAACCAATACTGCACTGCAGTTTAAAATCTTCTTTCGCAATGACATTCACAATCTAATACAAATCAACTATTATCTAGGCGACAGAATTCAAAGCATTTTCAGCTGCCGCAGAAATAAAAACTGTTTGTCAAGGAATTGCATCAGTAGAAGGCAGAAAGATCGGAGAAGCATTAGAGACATACTACAAAAACTTCCAGGGTGTAAAGACACAAAAACCAAAATATAAAATGGCAATGTTCCTTATCGTGAAAGGAGCCACAATTGGCAACGTTGATCTTTTAAAAAAATACGGCGAAATGTACAAGAAACTTGGCGTTACAATTTACGTCATTGGCATTGGGAGCAATATAAATATGGAACAGATGCAAATGGTTACAGAAATGGGGATGATCTACCAGGCGAAAAACTACGCTGCTGTCATGACAGGAGCAGGTTTGACAGTTGGAGGGTCTGCAGCTGGAAAATCCTTGCTTCTAGGATTGCAAGGAGCTTGTGGTTCATGTAAGACATTTGTGATTCATTAGTTAGAAATACAAATATTCTCTATGGAACCATTACTGAGAGAAAGCATAAGCAGGTTACACGACCAGTGCCGGATTCGAATTCCATGGCGGCGTCGCAGGAAGGGGGGGGGGGTAGAATCGGCAGAATGGATTTTGTATTTCACCGAATTTCGAAAAATAATGTTAGGGAAGGGTGATATTTTTTAAAATGCATGCTATAAGATGTTATTCTATGGTTTCAAATCTACCTTTTCGTAACCAAAACATTAAACATAAGCGCTATCCTTTGGTGAGATCGACGTTCCCTGTTAATAGATGTCTTATGACAGTTAAATGTGTCTGGCTCAAAATTGTTTGCATTTTCTTTTTGTTAGATTTTGGAGCGAGAGCTGGAATTGCTGCTGGTGGCGGCGGCAGTGGTGGAGCTGGCGGTGGTGCAGGCGGTAGTGGCGGCGGAGGCGCTGGTTCAGGCGGTAAGGCAAAAGCTGGTGCCTCTGGATCTGGTGGTGCAGAAGGAGGTATACAGAAATTTTTAATTCAGGGGAATCCTTGATTATCATTCAATATAACCTTTTATATTTGTATACAAAATATGTTTCTATAACTCATTGAAGATATCAAAAGGTTTAAATAAATTCATGCTCAACTTGAAGTTTGGATAAGGATAAAATTTTGCAAAGAGACATTCAAGCAGGTAAATGAAATAAGATGACAAATAAAATAATCTATTTGAAAATAGGTTGGTAAACAAACAGCTTTTTGCAAATTATGTTAGATATTTTTAATAAACGCCAAGATTTTCAGCTTCTTTCATTTTGATAAAGGTTGGTGGACATCTTCTTGGACATGGACAAGTCATATTTCTGGAATTCAGTATGGAAGTTAGTACTGAAAAATACTGTTTCTTCTTCACTATTTTTACTATTAAACACTCAAGCAAAGATTCGAAATTTTAACAAAAGCTATTCCTATCTATTACATACTTCAATTGTCTTTATCCTTCAAAGCCATATTTACAGATATACTAAATGTTAAATTTCAATAACTTTATGAAAAAAAATTCTATTTATAAGATCTGATTTATAAATTTTTAAAAATAGGATTTTCTAAAAAATTCTATATTTTTTCATGCACTGGTCTTTTCAATATTTTTAAATGAAGAAAAATATCTAAGAAATTGGTCATCACTTTTTATGACAGGTATCAAAAAAGCAAACATTGGTTTTGTAATTGATGGATCTAATGCTGACATGATAACTTTCTTGCAAAGATTCGTTTTCAACATGATCATGATGTTCCAACAACAAGGTTCTTATGTTACTATTATGGTTTATGGAAGGGACCAATATCGGTTGGCACATTGGAAATCATTTTCAGATGCTGGTCAAGTTCAGGTAGGCATAACTTCAAAAAATATTTCCTTACCGATGAACAATGAATATTTTAAAAGGGACCAAAAAGATAAGATGACATTTAATTCTAGCATTAGAGTAATTATACAACATCCTTTAATAGAATCTAAAAGATGTAGAGAAAGTGTTTTGTGAATAAACGGCCATTTTCAGAACTTCAGTTGTAAGATAAAGAAAAACAATCTAACAATGTTGCCTCAAAACAGTTCAGTTTTCTTCAAACCACAACAAGCATTTAATTTCAAATTTTTACTAATAACATCTTTCTGCACAGCAAACCTGCACATCAATTCCATATGTGGAGACTTCAATCAGAAATACAGCAAAAGCATTGACAGAAATAAAGACTTTGTTCACACAACAAAAATCAGCAAAAGCTGAAAATGCAAACGTTCTGTTTCTGCTGATGACTGGCAGTTCGACAGACAAATCAGGATTGACAGCCATTGGTGGACAACTGAAGAGCCTTGGAATTAAAGTTGTGGGTATTGGAGCTGGGGCACAGGCAGCAGGAGTAAAAGCTGAACTTGGCATGGTTGCCACTAGTGAGCAGTACGTTCGTGCTGGAGCACTGAGTGCAATTGTGGGTGGTAGCAGCTTTAGTGGTCTGGTTAAAGGTCTCATAGCAGGTATGACGGCTTTTTTGTTAATAAAAGCATACTGTAATTCATTAGAATAAACACGCTTTGAATGAGCAATAAACATTTCAATATTTGTCGAATTCTGAGTAATCGATAGCAAAGAGGTAGGCACATTGGCCTTTGTTTGGCTTTCTGTGGAATTTAAAGCTATATCTCTCGAGGACTTGAATAGAATCGTTTTTCATTCTAGCATTTACTGTTTTCGTGAAAGTTCTGGGGTTTGGATGTGTCATACACATACACATACGCCTAGGGGGCGTGTGGACACTTTGTTATCTTCTTTCCTCCACAACGTTGAAATTTAAAAACTGATGATTTTCAAAATCATTCTCCAGTACTAACCTCGTCACCAATTAGGTTTGTTTTTCTTTTGAAGCAGTATTCTTGAACTTTATCCATGCTTTGGTGACGTTGATTCATAAATAGGCACATTAGTTGTAGGCCATCCTCTCACGTCTCAACCAGTACTTCTAGCCTTACAAAGATTGTTTTACATCGTTAACATCGATATCTAGCTTCTATAAAGAAACTGTTGAGCACATACAGTGAGGAATTATGGCGTCTTCCCTTGAATGCAAATGCAATACATGGTGCATCCGCGCTGTGCCCACTTCCCATGGTACAGGCTGTGGACATTTCCCGCCAAACCAATTTCAATCAAAAGGAGGCTACGTGCATATTGCAGATCATTCTACCTTCAGAAAATTGAAATCTGTTTAAATCAAATGCATAGTCAGGGCCTCCGATGAAGGGGGCCGAGGGGCCATGGCACCCCTCATTTTTTGCAAAACAATGGAAATTTTTAAAAATTCTTTTGCTATGATTATTAAAATCTCTCAAGGCCCCTCCCCCCGCTTATATGAGAGATCAGATAATCTAGTTGCTTGCAGTTTTTGCTGGGTGTCTTGATGCATGTTATTGAAATTGATGCTCATTTTTTACTCAATGAGAATTGCAAACGGTAGGCCTAGATCAACTAATGTTGCACCCTCCTTGGGTATTTTGACCAAACCTTTTAGAATCTTAACAATTTCTATCTTCCTTGCTTCATTCCACCTATCAAAGGTGGTGGGGCCATGTGCTCTCTGGATAGAAGCTTTTGCTAAATTTACAAATTTTTCTTTTCACTAGATATTGGACAAGGAAGTTCCGTGAATGTTGATTCTGGTATGTAGCCTACAATCAATTTCAAACTTTTCAAGCTTCTAAACAAATTGAATATGTTATATAATATTCAAACAAGGTCGGTTACGATAGAGGGTGTGAGCGAGTCATATCACAGCCCCTGGGAACATGGAACTTTTTCTGGCGTTATTTGACGTGCTGGATAAAATGGGATGCAAAAAAGCTTTAAAAATTTCACAAAATCAATTTTTAAACTATGGTTCTTGTACCCAGTCCTATATTGGGTCTTGCACTGTAACTTTGTAACTATTCTAACTGAAACTTGGTTTCCTGGCGTAATCTGAAGTGCTAGATAAAGTGAAATGTAGACCTAGTTTTAAAACTTCACCAAAGGCTCTATTTAGACTGAGGTACTTATACCTAGTCCATTGCTGGCTTTATGAACCTCCCGGATTCTTTCATGAACTTTTTTGTTTTTAAATAAATCTGCAAATATATTATATTTGTGTAACTGGTTAGAAGAAACATAAAGATGCCAGTAAATCGAAGCTAATAGATAATTGTTGATTAAATTTAGGAAGCTCCAGTATGATTTCAGTACAGAAAGAATGGAACTGGGCAGCTAAATTCAAGCAACTGAAATATGGCTGTAAGTACCAATTCCACTTATATGACAACATACTGACCCGTAACTAGTAGCTTAGCGAGGAAGAAGCAAGAGAACCAAACCACCCCTCAGTGATGAACACAGCTAAAAGTAAAGCAACAATGAATTTTGTATATTATTTAAACATTGAACTTACGAATCATTAAGACAAAGCCCACCTTAAATCAATCACAGCACTAACTCAATAATTTGTTCTGCTTCAGTCCTAGCAAGAGCCAACGTAGGCATTCTAGTTGAATCAGTGGCACTCATTAACTTCGGTTTTGTTCGACGGCTTGTTTACAACATCGCTAGAATGTTTGCACTCTCTGGCAGCTACTTTTCCGTCATTTCATACGGCACAAGCATGTACAGAGTATGCAATTTCGTACAGTTCAAGAGTGCGGGTGAAATACAGGCAATGGCGATGAAGATACCCAAGGGATCATCAGGACAGGTATAAAAAGCCAATGAAAAGGCATCGTTTTTTATCTGATGCTCAATAAGTAAACTTAAAAAAAGCACAGTGAATCTTCAAAGTTGAGCAAAAGCTTTCAATTTTCATAGAAAAAGAGAAATTATTGAGAACAGACAGCATTTCGATATTGCAAATACATTAAGATACCGATTTATCGACGTTTATCTTGATGGTATTATCATAACTTAATTTGAATAAGGATTTTCAGGCATTTTGGTTAACTTCGCCATAATTTTTGGATCTTTAATATCTTTATATTGAAGACAATTTCCCGGATGTAATGACTAAAGTTCTGACTTTGTATTTCAGGCCTTAACAGGCAAAGCAATGAAATTCATGGGAGAGTCATTCAAAGAGGCACCGCCTGGCAATCCCAACATGCTTTTCGTCATCACTCAATCTGGTTCCTCCGATGATACAGCAGGTCCTGCTGTACAGCTTCGAAAAGACGGGATCAAAGTTATAAGCTTTGGAATGGGAGAAAAAGTTGACGCTAAACAGCTCACCTTGACAGCACACTCTTCCACGCTGGTGTTTATGGCGAAAAAAGAGGCGCTAGTTACGTCACTTTCCAGTTGTCAGAGCGCCACCGCTAGAGGTGAGATCTATAATGTTGTTTTAAAAGTGATGTCAGTCATGAAAGGAAGACAATCTGACAGCAACTCCAGTTTCTGCCAAGGCTAAGGCCATCGCTATAAGGAGCGTGAGGGATGTGAAACTTCCCTTGGAAAAAAAATTCCGTTGCAATTTTCAAACTAGTTGGCTATTACAGGGCCGCCGGAGCCAGGGGGGCCACGGGGGCACAGGCCCCCCTGTTTGCAAAAAGTATAAAAAAGTGCCTTTTTTTGAAAAATATATTGCGTGTATTTTTTCAATGCCAGATATTCTGCCTTTAGGAACTAAGTAAAATAACATAACTCTGGAGGTTGTTGGAGGACCATTCATTGAAAATTCCTTAAATGTTTACTTGGTCTTGATGCAAAAAGCGCAAGCTCCTGTGATGAACAATATCAACTGCGAAAGAGACTGCCAGTTCCGCGAGAAAATTTCCTTAGTAGGCTTAAACTCTCTAGTATGTCTTCAGCAACAAACGCATTAGTGAAAGGTCCCGTCAAGTCCCCGGCGGGCACAGTCAGTTGGTTCAATGTATATCAATGTGTGTGTTCTTGAAAGTAGAAACTGGAGCCCTATCTCTGATTCTGGGATGCGTAAAATAAACCCTATTCTGTGACTTTGCCAAAATTGTGAAACTCTTTACACTAAGAATATTCAAGCTTGAGCAGGAATTTTTGATACCAATTCATGTTAGAACCATTATTTTTCTTAAACTTATGACTAGGCAAGTTAAAAAACAGAGTTCACTAAAATTGATTTCAACAACAATCCCTTGTGGCTCTTGACATATATATAAACAAAATCAGACATCTGCAAAACTATAACTGCAACATATTGCTTGCTTCACAACATTGTGTTCAGTGCTTTTTATGAAGAAATTAAAAAGTTGTGTCCCTGCAATGAGTACATGCTAACAAAGACTTAAATTTCTTATCTAGGATTAGAACAATATACAAGACTAGACGTACTGCAAAATTTGTTGTACTTCAATATGCCTTTAATTGATCTAGAAAGTTATCTGCAACATCATATCTATAAATTCCTGCCCTTTTCGTGTTTCTTCTGACTGATTAAGAATGCAACCCAGTTTTCAAGATTCTATGTCCCAGAATTCTAGCTTTTTTCGAGTTTTTCGGAACTCACATGTAATACGTTTTACCAACAAACTGAGCCCCCCGGGATCAAGTTTAAGGAGAGTAAAAAACTTGTTTCGTTCATAAGACTGACGAGATAAACCTTATCAATGTTGCAAGTGAAATTTGCTATGGCAGTGAAGAATGTGCCCGCACCTTCAGCCGATTGCGTGAAGATGGCTTAGCCATAAATTTGTTTAGCTTTTAAGAAAAAATTCCATGGAGGCGAACGAATTTGTGTAAGTGGGGATGGTGCGAATACCAAGGGGGGCGAAATTGTTTAAATATGAAAGTGAGAAAATTAATATCATTATTATGTCCAACGTGTGTCATAATTTTTATAATTGTCTAAATTACAGTGAAATCTGTACCATTTTTGGCACTTACTAATGTTTCGGAAAAAATATTTGTGCCCTTTTTATTCGTTTTGGCCCCCCCCCCCCCCCACCGGTTCAAAACTGCGTCCGGCGGCCCTGTATTATAGAATGGCGCATCCACTTTGCCGGTGTATATATGCGTTTTGGTACCCTATGCAAAAGTGTAACATTGTGAAACGCAATGTGTTACAAATCATGTTGATTTATCATGGTGTGATGTTAGGACACAATGTGCGTTACAAATGGAACACAGGCCCTGGGCCAAGTAACTCTGAGACCAAGACTAGATAGATTTGAGACCTCCTACAAAATTTTTGATAGAAGGACTTTGATTCCCTGCATTTTTGCTATAAAATAAATCCGACTAATTATTCCAAGTTTCTTATTCTGCCATTGTGAAACAATTTTTTTGCGTAACCCAGAATTTGAAAATGGCTTTGAAAAAAGCAAACATTTTACAACATACTTAAAGTTTTTTCGTCTGACACTCCTCAGAGCATAAAACGTCAGAATAGGTTCCGAAAAACATGTTTGAAAAATATATACCCAGTTGTGGATCGAAATAGGCCAATCAGAAAAACGCAAGCACAAGACCGGTATAGTTGACCAATCAGTGCCGCGAGCCTGAAGAAAAATTACCAATGGAGTCCAAGAGAGAAAACGAACTCCTTTTGTCTACACAATGGCGGCTTTTTCGTTTTTATGTAGATTGACTCCAAAACTGCTAGATGGAAGGACGACCGGGCTCTGCCAATTATCCGAAACATGTCTTCATTATAGAGTTTTGCACAATCTGGGTTGTCTAAAAGATGTTGACCAATGGCAGAATCACTTGTTTTAACAGTGTTTCTAGACCTACAAGATCGAGGAGGCTGTTCTCTTTGAGGGGCAGTTTTGTTTCGTACGTTGGAAGGAACATGCTGTTTTATCCTATCCCCCAATCTTTGGGTTGTGCGCCCTACGTAGCCAGAATCACACTGGCACGTAAATTCATAAATGACGGAACTTTTTTGTTTGGTAGGGACGCAATCCTTTTGAATGGATGGAAGGGCTCTCCTAGTGCTGTAAACAATCCGAGGATTGACAGCAAAGAAACAATTGGTTATGGCTTGCCTAATCTGACTCTCGAATCGCAAGGAAGTGTTACCAATCCATGGTAGTTTCAAATAAACTGGGCACTTTTGCGGACCAAACTTTTGAACAGCCAAAAAACTTGCGATCTTCTCCTTAGTATAAGATAAAATGACGTCTTCAGGATAGCCGTTGTCCAAGAAGATCGTTTTGAGTTTTTCCAGTTCAGCGTGCAGTTTAGATTTCGAGCAGATCATAAGTGCCCTATGTACTAATGTTTTGACAAGGTTGACTTTGCGTTGTTTTGGGCAAAATGAATTCCAGCGTATGTACTGACCGGTAAAAGTAGGCTTGCGATATACACTGGTAAGAAATCCAGTGTTAGACTTTTCGACCAAAACATCTAAAAATGGTAAGGAATCATTTTCTTCCTTTTCAAACGTAAACTGGAGGGCTGGGTGTAGGCTATTTAGGTGTTTTAGAAAAATATCACACTCAGCCTCTGTTTTGAAAATGTTATATGTGTCATCCACATACCGAAAATAGACACCTGGCTTTTGGTCGTAGTCGAACAAACGCTCTTCATGAAAGCCAACAAAGATATTGGCCAAGGCAGGTCCCAGAGGGCTACCCATAGCGACACCATCCTTTTGTTGGTACATTTCATTGTTAAAACTGAATTCAACTGAACGTGTTGCAGTTTCCATCAGTTTAATGAATACTTCCTCTGGGAATGGTGGGCTATTAAGCTCGCTCCGGTACAAAGCGTCGGCACATATTTTGATGGTCTCACTCAAAGGAACATTTGTGAAAAGACTACTAATGTCAAAAGAACACATGAAAGATGTTTCGTTTTCGATGTTCAAGTTTTGCATGAACTCAGCGAACGTAAAAGAATCCTTGATGCAATGTTTTGAATATTTTGAAGAACAGGGTCCAAAACTTCAGAAAGCCACTTAGCCAGTTCGTGTTGTGCTGAGCCAATCATAGACAAGATAGGTCTAAGTGGGACGTTCGGCTTGTGTATTTTAGGGAGGCCATACATTTGTGGTCGTTGAGAGCCCGTGGGTCTTATCCTATCATAAATTTCTGTAGCCAACTTTTTTGCGTTGACCAGTTCCAACAAACGTTTTTGGAGTTTCCGCTCTAGTTTGGCCGTTTTGTCATGTGTTTCGACATCACCCAATTTAGCAAATTTTTCTTTGTCGTGGAGAATTACCTCCATTTTATTGATGTAGTCCTTTTTGTTTAAAATTACCACTCCAGACCCTTTATCAGGTTTTGTAATAAAGATGTCATTGTTAGCCCGTAGAGATTTTAGTGCTTGGAAATGTTCTCTATGCAAAAGAAAATCTGAGTGGTCGATGGGAGAGCCGCTGTAAGCGTACGCCAAATCGCTTAGTCGTGCTCGTAATTTGTTAAACTCCAAAGGGTTAGAAATCTCGTGCTTAGCAAGTTGAGCGTGTAAAATTTCGAATTCAGCAAGAGTTCCTCTCTGTTGATTGTTAGGGGTGGGATACAAAATTCAAGTCCCTTACATAAGACAAATGTTTCAGTATCAGAGAGAGAATAATCCGAGAAATTAAAAATATGTTTTTTGGTGTCGCTCAACATGCCACCGAAACGTTTCCTTACTAGCAAGCCAATACTCCTATTGTGTTTTTCCGTGGTATGTTTTAGTGTCCGCTGGTCAATTTCAGAAATGTAGCGGCAAAGTCGAAAATTGTCAAGGAATGAAAGAAATGGACGCGTTTTAGACCATTGGCGTGTATACAGGCATTTTAAGTTCAGAACATTGGTTTTTCTTTTCTGAATCTCATTTCTATTCTGCCATTATAACCTTTTCTAGTTTGTGGAACTGTTGCTGGTGGTGCAGATTTTGGTGCTTCGGGGAAATCTGGGATAAAAGAGGGAATATTGGCAGGTAAGATGTAATCGCATATTTTAATACCTTTGAAAACAAATTATCAAAGTGAAACTACTAGAAATGAATTGTGATTTTTTGTTAGCATGCTGGTGTTAATTTTGAAGATACATGTCTGGTTTTGCAACGATAGTGTTTAATCTTGCGTGATGAGAAATCGAACAACTCTTTCTAGAAACTTAAAGGCATTTGACATGCATAAATACAGCGAACCCAAAAATAACGTGACCAGAGCACGCGCGTTTTTTTGAAACTACTCACGTGAAACCATTGTGCGTTGTCCTAGGGCTTCGCCGATTTGCAGAAAGGCGGAAACTGTCACGTGTTTTTCTCTGTACGCAGTTTGATTGGTCACTCGCTGGGGGTGGCTGTAAGCCATTTTTACCTGTGGCAAATGCCTTAAACTCAGACTTTTGTCACTATTTTAGAAGTTAAGAGGCTTTTTCAGTTCAATTTATGACCATTTTAGTTAATTGAAGTTGGTATAAATGCTTTTTTAAATTAGGTGTATCAAAGGCCTTTAGCGTATTTGATAGTTCAAACAGCTCTGCCTATACTTTACTCCTACTAATTGATGCAGCGTGTACAACGCTGCCTATCTGACATTGAGCACATTATTGAAGCTTTGGTAAAAGAGCAATTTTCGTGATATTTTATACAAAATGATTAGAAACTTGTGATATAAATCTATAACTAAATGCATAAAACATTGATTACAGCAAGCTATGCAGACATTGTTAAAAACTGGGAATGGAAGACACAAAACGTTGCATTTGCTTACGGAGGTAAGAAACAATGACGTAATAGTTAAGGTTTTTGCTTTATCAAAAAGTGATTTGTAGGTTTTCAAGATCAATGGCGAAAAAACTAAAAGTTGCAAAAATGTCTTAAAACTAAAAAACGAATTTATAGGACGTTTCATTCAATCTCAAATTTTAAACTGTTATTAGAATAAACGTAATGTTGGTTCTTGGTCAGCTCGTTGTAGATTGAAAGTTCTAACTTCTTAGAGCTGTTGAAAAGAATATTCAATTGGCATTTACTCATTTCAAAAAATCTTTTAAAGAATGTAAATGCATCAACTGTAGAGAAAGTATGTTCCTATTGTTGATTAATATTGTGTCTGTACACAAAAATAGTTGCTGAATGATAACAAAGTTGTTGATAAGAGTAATGAAATTCCATTAAAATCATATGGTGACTAGTCGTAAGGGAGAGATTTCTTTAAAATGATGTAAGTGCTAGATCTGCTTAAATTTATATCACTGATTTATGCTCCAAACACTTTCAAACCTCTTGAATGAAGAAATCTGCAAAACGATTGACTTTTTGATGGTTAGCATCATCGAAGTAGCATTTATGAATAATTCTTCGATCATCTCATAGCTTGCAAGAAGGCAAAGATCGCATTCCTCGTCGACTCTACCAACCTCCACCATTTTGACGTTCTCCAGAAGCAGGTATACAACATGTACAGACTGTTTGAGGCTGGAACGTCAGTTTCGATAGTAACATACGGTGGATCGACCGATGAGTCTTTGATATCGTTCCGCAGCTATCAAGACCTTACAGTTTTGCAGATGGCTTGCCAGTCTATGGGTTATCAAGGGACGAAAGGCAGGAAAACAGGTGCTGCTCTAACCAAAATGGCCAGTGTCTTTGGAGGAGCATCTGGAGGTGTTAAGCAGTTGTTATTCCTCCTCATCACCGGAAAATCTGATGATGACGTCGTTGGGCCGGCAAGGAACTTAGTCCAGAAAGGAGTGTCAATTTTTGCCATCGGTATTGGTAGCAGTGTTGATTCAAACGAACTAAAAACCATTTCTAGGTACTACCTAACAACAAAATGGCGGGGTTTGGTGACGTCGTTGGTCAAAATTCAAAACACAGTGATAAAAGGTAGCATTCGTTGCTTTATTTTTAAGGCATTCCAAAATTTAATCACATTGTATTGTTTTATGCTTTTGTACTTTAATATCCAAATTGCCACATATTGACATTGTCATGAAGAAGATATGACCAATCACCTTTGTTATCTACCTAGACAATAGAAGCCGAGTGAAGCGGGGCGGTTGTCGGGGGAAGGCCTTCCTAAAACTTCCCAAATAAACTTAAAAGCAATCGATTTACTTATTATGTTCTCGGCTTTTAGTATGTTTGGTCCCCTGAACCTTTAAGCCTCCCCGCACTACCCCCACCCCTATTCTATAGAGGAGTCCGCAACAACTGTCCCTTGGCCAACTGCAATTATTACTGTTTTCCACGAGGCGTTGATAGAGCTTTTGAATATAGCTAATACGCAATAAAGAATTTTTCCAAGTGATTTCCAGCCATTTACTCTCTACAAATAATATATATCTCCATTCAGTTAATGGCAAAGGTGCTTCAGCAGAGGTTGATACTGGTGTGCAACCAGACACCCCGACAGGAAGCGAGGGTAGAGTTGCTACGCTCCCGCCACCTTCATTTGGTTATACGTCCTGTTCCGCAACGCAGCCAGTCGGTTCCTTATCCACCAAATGGGATTGGTCCGCAATGATATCTGGAATAAAAGCTGGTTCCATAAAGCCAGCAAACGTGATTATGCTGATCGATATTTCACAGGAAGTTAACTTCGAAGCACAAATCCGGTTCTGTTTCAACGTGCTGAGATTGTTCCAGCTCTCCGGTAGCAGTTTCTCGGTTATAACATACGGCTCCAGTGCGAATGCTATTGCAGCCGCTAAGACCATATCAAGTGAAGGAGATCTGAAAGCAATGCTTGCAGCTATCAAAGCAAAGCAAGAAAAGACTGTAAACTGCGGTCAGGCTCTGAAGACGGCTCGCACAAGCTTCTTTGCTAAGCTAAGAAAGAATATGAAAACAGCCATGTTTGTTGTATCTCGAATGAAGAGTACGGACGACGTTTATAAAGCAGTTGAGCAGCTCAAAGGAGCCCAGTTGACCATTTGTGGAGCTGGTATGTTATAAGACTTCAGTTCTGATAATCCGGAATAACATATCATTGCTAAGTTCAGGGTTGCCAGTTTGGCCTTTTCAGGCCAGATCTTCTTGGCCCTTTTCAGATTAAAATTGCTTGGAAAGTGTGCTGTTGGCCTACTACTTATTTGTGGCCTTTTTAGCAGAAATTTTGTGGATATTACTTTGCTTTAAAAATTCTCAACAAGTAACAACGAAATGAAAGAAAGTTTTTTTGAAAAAGAAACTTTTCAGTTTTTTTTTTGAGTTTGAAGAATTATTTAAAGGGCATGGAATTACATACAGCTTATTTTTGGGAAAGTTAAGCACATTTTTGCCTGAGTTGGTCAACCGTCAGGCCTTCTTTTGTCAATCTTATCTGGCAACCCTGCTACTTACCTTGCTACGCCCTACATGTAGTACTTTCCTATTATTAAATTCATTAAGAGTTTCTTGGAGGTGATATCGCCAAGCCCAAAGTTAGACCAATGTCTTTGTACTAGCTTTGCCAGTCGGATATGGTATGATGGCATTGCTAGACTTAGCCAGTTATTGATAGGGAATTTTTCAAAATTTGTATAAACAATTTCAAGAGACTGAGACGTTTAGCCTGATCATTATTTAATTAACTAGCGCTATTTGTTTTCAGGTCTCGGTGATGATTACAGTCAAGAAGAATTATCTGTCATGTCATCAATTGGTCAGCTAGCCTTTTCCGGAATGATGTCACAAGCAGCTGGATTTGTCCTTAGAATACAGACGATGATGTCGTTCAGTGAGTTTGCCTTGTTTTTGTAAATTCATAAATGGTTAAATAGCTGTAGATTATTGGCTGTTTTTTACGTCATAAGAGAGAGTCGATGTGTAGAATATTTACGTTCTAATGCGTTCTAAGAGTCTGTTAAAGTTCTAAAGCTTCTTTCGGTAGAGTTGCAGACTGCAAGGATGACTGTAGAGTAGCACTGGAACTGCCAGGGCTGATACCAAAAGCTACGATTGATAACGAAATAAAAATTCGGTATACGGTATTAAGTGTTGTGTGGAGATGTGAGAGAACTGGAACTTAGTTTCTAGGTCTTGTGTAACCAGAAAAACGGAAGAAACGCGAGAGGTGACTGTAGTAGAGTTTTTGAGAAAAGAAAGGTCGTAAGAAAGATGTAATAAAAGTAAATAAGAAGTGGATTGATGAAAAAAGAAAACAGTATATGTCCTGTGTATTTTATGGCATTCTTTTTTAGCAACACGGGATTCAGGTCACTTCGTCACAGTTGCAAAATTAACATTAGCTCACGTATTTGAGTGAAAGTTATCCATCTAGTTATTAGCATCTCCGCGACTAGACGGTATCAGCAGCACAATTACACACGAATTTCCCTTTTAGTAATGAATGGTGTGCCAAAAGCGGATACAATGACCAGAGAAGCAATAAAGCAAGCAGCAGGCGCTGATGCCTATGGTGGTGCAATGAACACTGTCCAAACTGGAAGTGCACCGTCTGAGGAAGCTGGCAAACCAGGCTGCCCCAACACTGGCTTCTCAGGTGCATCTGGTGCTGGCGCCGGGGCTGGTGGCAGTGGGGGAGGCACTGGTGGAGGAGGCACTGGTGGAGGAGGTACCGGTGGAGGAAGTTCCGGTGGAGGAGGTACCGGTGGAGGAGGTACCGGTGGAGGAGGTACTGGTGGAGGAGGTACTGGTGGAGGAGGTACCGGTGGAGGAGGTACCGGTGGAGGAGGTACCGGTGGAGGAGGTACTGGTGGAGGAGGTACCGGTGGAGGAGGTACTAGTGGAGGAGGTACTAGTGGAGGGGGTGCAGGTGGTGGTACTGGTGGCGCTGGGGCAGGTGGCGCAGGTGGTGGTGCTGGTGGGGCTGCTGCTGGTGGTGGTGCTGGTGCTGCCGCTGGTGGAGCTGCTGGTGCTGCCGCCGGTGGTGCTGCTGGTGCTGCAGCTGGTGGAGCTGCTGGTGGTGCTGCAGGAGCAGCTGCTGGCGGGGCAGCAGGGAATGCAGCAGGAGGGGCAGCAGGAGGAGCAGCAGGTGGTGCAGCAGGAGGAGCAGCAGGTGGTGCAGCAGGTGGGGCTGCAGGTGGTGCAGCTGGTGGTGCAGCTGGTGGTGGTGCCTTAGCTGGTGCAGTTGCTAGCATCTTGAATGCAGCAGCGGGTGGAGTTGCAGGCTTAGGAACGGGAGCTGGAGGCGGTGCAGGGCTTATTGCAGCTGGAGGAAGCGCAGAATTAAATGCTGCTGCAGGTGATGCGGGCACAGGAGCAGGTGCATCAAATGTTGCTGTTGGAGGTGGGGTTGCTGGGGGCACAGATGTGGCAGCAAAAGCAGGTGGCGGTGCTACATCTGGAGCTATAAGCCAAGCAGGAGGAAGCGTTCCTGGGGGATCGAATGGCGGATGCCCCGCGGGTTGCAAGCCTTGTAACCAATGCACAAAAAAGCGACGAAGTTATTTACGAGATGACGTCATTTGCCCTGCCTCATGTGAGCCCTGTCTAGATAAAACGTGCAGCGAGGCCAAATCGAAGTCTTCGGTCGATCCAATGCTGCTAAAAATTGACAATGATAAGGGAGAGGCAGAGTCAAACGACATTGACTTAAACGGTAAGTAACAGCTTATTCGGAGATTTACGGTGACTTTCAACTACTTACCAGATAGATTCTCGTTCCACCGCATTTTTACAATATCGTAGGTTATAGATATCACTTTGGTAGCAAAAGTTATTTAAGAAAAATTATTGTATGTAGTTTGTAGAAAAGTCAATGTTGAAATAATGACAGCATCAAGAACATCCCAGTTTCAAGTTTTCTAAGAAAAATAAAAACATCGAGCCACGGCAAAAAGTATCTGGTTTCTATAGAAAAAGAGTATACTAAGCTTTCCTAAACAGGCATTTAAAAGCACGTTTTCAATATACATAACTTTGAGAACATTAACATGTTAGTTGAACCGGGTTTGGCAAGCCATTGATTGTCCTGCACACTTTTTCAAAGCTATCCAAACACTGCTAGAGGACTTTTACGGTGAAAACTCGAATGGAAAACGGACAATACGACCCAGATCATCACACCAGAGGTATGCACACATTCCGTAGAGCTGATATCTTTGCGCAAACTTGAAAAAACAATCTAAGATTAAATAGAATTTTCGAGTCTTACTTCATTGATAATGCAACGCAGGCTGATATAAATCGAGACTTGATATTTTTTATGATGCAAAAGTATTTAATGTTGGTTTATGTTTTATTTAGAATACTATACCTTAAAACATTCTTTTAAATTGTACCATATCTAAAATTTATTCTGATTATTAATAGATTGATTATTAATTGGCTTTAATTAGCTTCTTTATAGCTATTAGACTTAGATCTAGTTCGCCAACTGTAAACAAATTATTTATGATCATACATTATTTTCATTTTCAGATTGAGAAAAGTGCGCGAAAAAGTAAAGTAGAGCAAATGTGATTGCTTTCTTGGTGTGCAGTAATATGATGAATATAACACAAGAATGGAACATCAAAATGACGAGCTGGGGATGACGAAAAATTTGTTACAAAAGAACAAGCGTCTGTAACTTAAAAAGCATGTGAAAGCTAAGCATATAAGCTTCGTGTCGGAGCAGAGATGTTTTATGTCTCCTAGTATTATAGGCACTAATTGAGTCTCAGTCATTGTAGGGTTTTCACATTGAGGTGAAAGCCTGAACAATATGCAGTTCGTAATTAACATTTGCTTAGCTTGTAATAAACAGAAAGACGTAACAAAATGGCGGACAAGGCCCATAGGCCATCTCGGAGTTCGCGAGGCCATGATGGAGTCCTATTGTCATATAGCTACTTCAAATCACTCAGATGAGCAAACCAGCGAATAATTCGTGGTAGATAGATGCTGTTGTCCCATTTTTTTGCTATCCGTGAAACTACTTCAGAATATAGAAAAATACTTTTATACCGAAAATCAGAATTATGTTTATTAACCTTGAACCTTGTTTGAGCCAAAGAAGAATTTACAAGTTTGATATAGGCCGCAATTATATTTGCTGCGAATTTTACCATACTTGAGTCATGGCTTTGAAAACTCCGAGATGGTCAATTTGACCTAAGTTTAATTGCAGTCAGTTGCTGCATTCGTCGAGTTTATTTATTATGTAGACATGAAACGTAAGGATAATATTCTTGGCGAAAGACACTTGTAGTAGAAATGGTAAAACTCGTAAACTAGAAATTGCTACACACCCTAGATAAAGTAAACAGGTTGCCATTATCTTTCCGATGTGGCATGAGACTTAGCAATTCAGCACCTAGTTTGTTAATACTTATAGATTACATTGAATGATCAAAGTTGGTTTCCACTTTTGCTGTAAATAATAATTTGGATAATTATAAAGTAACAAGATTTTTAATAATATAACAAACAAACTCAAAAGAAAAGCTTTTATTTCCAATCTGCCACTGGCTGCTACTTCACCAAGCTGAATTCAAGTGCTTGAATTGAAACTACCCGTTTTACTGTCTGGTTCAAAAGTACAAACGATCACACTTTTAAAGCTTAATAAAAACTTGAATCTGGTGTAACTAAAGATACAATCAGCTACAAAGAAACTCCTGAAAGAAATAACAGCGAATAAAGAGAAAAATGAACTCTCCTTAAGTATAAAGGTTTGCGAGTATAGCACTCCCTAAAGATAAACAAGCAAGGTTTGCGAGTATAAGCAACTTAACGAGCTGGAGATTTTCAGACATTGCAGGTATAAAAACCAACTTTCTTATTCGGAATCTTAAAAAAATTGGTTCGAGACATAAAATTACAAAACCTTTTGTACATATAATAATCAAGACATTGTAACACCTGCTCCCTCATGCACAAAGCTCTAGAACCACCAAATTTTCTATACCATCAATAAACTGGCGACACATGGTCCTGCCAAAATACACAGCTAACAACATATTAGCTCAAGTTGGCCTTCTAAATACTCATCATTTCCAACCCCCGCCCCCCCCCACCTCTTTTCTCTCTCTCTTGAACAGCATGACAATGTTGACATTTTTTACAATTATCATACGAACCACATGAGAGACGTACTGTCCTGATCTATTGTAAACTGAAATTGATCCAGGATGGGATAGGGGGATTCGTCCTTGAAAGCTGACATTAAAGTACTATGACTTTTCACAGTGATTATACCGAACGTTTAACGTCTAAATGTTGCCCAAGCAAAAAGTTCTTTCAAGATCTGACACTGATAACTATAACTTTCGGCATTCTTAACAAAGTTAACCAAAATTTTGCAAGAAGGTAGTTTCTTTAACTAATACGTCTGTTAGAAATTTCTTACTCTTGGTAGAGATAACAAGAAACGCGAAAACTTCATTTCTGGTAGCAAAACATTTCTCATGCAAAGATGGACTTAATACTTTCACACAATGATTTTCAAACGAATCTGATAGAAAAAAGGACTTTTGCTCAATAAACTATCATCATTAAATCACGAATTTTTCATCTACATATAAAATATTTCATTCTCTTTCAAACTCCTAAACTGAAATGGATCCTTCTCTAAAATCAGTCTTTCCAATCAGAGCATTGATTAACACGGGCTTGCCTTGCTTCTGCAGGTCTTGAGCTTTCTTGAAAACCTCGTCGATGTCATCATTTGAGCCCTTTTCAATCTTCAGTCCTTCTCCGCCATACCCTTTAGCAACGACGTCATAATTTGTATGCTAAAATAAACATTTTGCCATCATTCACTTGAAGGTCCTGCCAATGCACATATGAGGGTAAAAAACAGCAGTTTAGGGTATATATCAAAGAGAGTATCATACTGCTTTTCCTAGCAAAACTATCTTAAATATATCCCCTTCCGACATGTAGTCCTGCTGACCGACGTTACGAAAGAACACAGTCTATCTCTGTAAGGTCTGTATGTACACCTTGCTTTCAAAGCACGAAAGTATAATTGTGGTTGAAAAATCGTAAAGCAAAAAGGCATGGTACCAATTCAAAACACAAAAAAGCTCCATTTAGCTAAAGTAATACGAGTGATGATTTACTGCAGGATCGCAAAAATTAATATCATTTAGGATATCTCATGTATGGAGCTCATATTTCATGCAAGGTCCAAATTCTGAAAGAAACGAACAACTCACAGCCAATTGGCATCCAACAGGTGTTCCAAACATAGGCACTTGCTCCCTCGCAATCTGTGACCAGCAAGCATCATTACCAACAAGAGCTATAACTGGAGCCTGTGAAAAAAGTACAGCAAGATCAATAATAATCTACAAAGTGTGCCTTCCTGGCTAAAAGATGTCTAGACCAAACTCTTAATTTTCAGGACATTAAAATTGCTCATACTATTTTGTGGTCATATAGGTTCACATTTTCGTAAAGCTTTGAAAAAGACTTAATATATTCATTTTAAGAAATACAGTTAGCGATGGTGCAGATAGAAGCGTTCAGAGATATCTCCAAAACGAAACATCTCGAACTCCGGCTCATTTTCACCAAATGAAATCAAAGGTGGATCTAAATGGTGAGAATAAACCTGTCAATCTAAGCATAACCAATCAAATGCCGAGTTCTAATCTTAACAGACTGATTCATAAATTCATACCATTGGCAGTACATAAGTGATAGGGTCTATAGAAAGCTTGAAGGGCCTATGGCTGCTAATTCCTGGAAGGTGTCGAGCGCAAACAAAGGGGACCAACCTTATGTCTTGCAAATGTATCGAACTCGGCAACACTGTAGGCACATGATCCATCACCATAAATGATCCAGACTTCAGATTCGGGTCGGCATAACTTTGCACCGAGGGCAAAACCACCACCAACACCAAGAGTGCCAAATGCACCAGGGTCCAGCCAGCGCAATGGTCCACGTGGTCTGAAAATAGTAACGTAGCAAGGCTTTATGAATAAAGGGTGGCTGCTGAATGCTTGTTCGAAAAACGAAAGATTCTGTGCTTCAAAAGAAGTTTCTAAGACATGCATCTTCGTGGATATAAGTAAGAGTTAAGGGTATATGTACTTATCAATAGGTGCACAAATACTGGTTTAGCAATGACTTCATTCAAATTCAATAATAACAGGTTTGATAATTCAAAAAGTAATGGCCTAAAAGTGAGTTTTCGTAACAGCATGTCACTTTATTTCATCATTAACAGAAATCTAATATAATCACCCTGTTGTTCCAACTTTAATCAACAACTATTTCAAAACCGTTTTCTCCCATTCGGTAACAAATGCAAGCTAAGCTAGCCAACAGCAACATTTGTAAACGACCTTTACCTGAGAATATAAGCGGCAGAGCCGACGAAATCACCCCCATCTGCGACGATAATGGAGTCATCAGAAATGGTCTCTTCCAAACGGTGTAAAACTTTGATTGGATTCAAAAACTCTCCAGCTGGATCGTTTGCCTTATCACTGTAAAAAGAGTTTGGAAGATCTAGTTTTAGACCCTTTGGTTAGATGATCAAATGGACAAAGATTTTGGAGAGTTCTAAGTATTGCCTAACTCCAAGTCCAAAGTAGCGATTTTTGGCGCCAGCGACTGAAATATATGTCTTATTACGACAAACCGCAATTCGCTATTGAACAATCGACATATGCTATTCGTTCCATGCAACATAATCTCGGATGGAACTGCGATCTTTTTACAAGAAAACATAATAGCAATCACTGATTAAAAGCTTACTATTGTGCGCTGGGCTTGATGAGTCGAAACTGTTTCGGTTTTGGAAGTAGTGAATTACTGAATGCAAGGGCAAGGACGACTGGCAGGAAAGAAACAACTCGAATACTTCCTTGTCCATCAGCCAAATCGAGAGCTAGGCCTAGTTAAAACGTGTAATCTTTCAAGATCGTAAAAAGATCGTAATTCTGATAAAGAGTGCTGTCTTACCTGTTGCTTTTTTCTTTTTCGTTATCCCTGTCTTTCAACATGGTGGCCCATTCTGTATCCACTTTGTAACTTCCGATCTTCTGTTGAATCGAGACCAGTAAACTGGCAGGATCAGCTGGAAAATCGAAACACATGAATGAATATAGTGCCAAACATTTGCTTTTTAAAATAGCAAAAAATGAGCAGAATAAGACAGAAGAAAGGATTCTGAAAACTATCAATATAAATAGAGTGTACAAATGTACAAAGTACATTTTAGATCTATCGTTTCATACCTTGCACAGCTAAATTTGGATTCCAGAATACACTTGCGTTCTAAAACAAAAAAGACATAAATATATTTGTTCTAATAGAAAACAAATTGGAATTTTGAAAGAATTGCATATTTTCTTAACCTTATTTCAAGATATTTCTGATCAAGTTCTAACATGGCTAATCCAATTGTGATGATCTCACTACGATAGGTTTCAATTAACAAGGCATACTTGGGACAATTCTTGTTAATAGTTTAATATCCCTCAAAAGCAAGCAAACGATGATGGCGACAACTAACCTTCATCAGTTGTGTTTTGTCTCTGTTAACGGCAATGATTTTCGATTTCCGATTCAAAACTCGACCATAAGACAATCGGAAATCACAAACAGTCCCTGGGAATCAAAACACACTTATACATGAAGCGAATTGATGCAAAGCTTTATTAAAGAGACACTGCAATGTTGCCCTTAGAGATGTATCTACACTCAATGCAACTGTGATTCGGTACCCCTGAGAAACATCTATACAAACGTTATATGATCAATTAGTTTTGCAGGCACCTCAAAAGATACAAGAAATACTACAAAAAAGCACACTCTGTTAAAAGCACAATGTCCAGAAGTTTTCATATTGGACATTTTAGAACAAGTTGCGCTTGGCAACTGATACACCTAGGAGCAGGGTCCTTCCAGCACAAATAAATCGCACCTAGTGCTTTTAATTTTATACTACTGAGTTGAAAAAAGATTCAACCAGAAATGAAATCTAAGCTACCAGTTTCATATTTGTGCATCCCAACACAGAGTGGCAAAATACACTAAGCAATAAAGCAAGCCTCCAAATGACAAAAAAAGAAAAACGAACAGAATCACAATTAACATACCAGCCAAAATGACAGCATCAGCCTCTTTCAAAGCATCTCTCCGTCTTTGCCTTATGTGCAGCGGGCTGTTCCTACCCAGAAGGCCCCTCGACATGCCGCCAAGGAAACAGGGGATTCCCAAGGCCTACGATGAAACGTTACACACAAGATATAATCTTGATTTCTGATTACATTATACAATGATGTCATTTAGATACAACTATAAATGAACAACAGTACTGAAAGATAGAATAAAAGATAGAATAAACAATTTAGAATAAAAATTTAGCAAAACAATACCAGCTGACAACGAGGGAAACAAATCTCACGAAATCATTTCACGTATGAAATATAATTCTTGTGTGCTAAAATATGGATGAAAATACTGCATCAATTGCTGCCCAGTTTAGTACCTAAAAGCATTGATATTGCCGTAACAGTCTAAGATGCAAAAGATGTATTACACATTCGGGCGCTTTTGATGACATGGAAAGTTTTTAGGAAATTGTCACAGATACCACGACCTTAGATCGAAGGAACAAATTCTGGAGGTACTTCATTGCTAAGATGATATTGAAATAAATGCATTAATTTCTCAATACATGACATCATGAATATTAGAAATCTAGCCAACCTCAATGGCCTGTTGTAATTTATCAGCGCTGACTGGAGGAAGGGTTGCCTGGCTTCCAAGTAGGATCAAAGGCTTTTTAGCCTTCTTGATAATTGATATTGCTTCCGAAACTAAAAAGAAAAAACAAACATTGGATTTTGATCATGAAAATCGTAGGTAGATGCAATGAACTGCAAAAACGGCTACTTAAAGCCATCAATACTCCCAAGCAGGCAACTACTATCAGAAATCGAAGACTGTCATTGGTGGGGCACTGCATGAGAAGCAAAGAACTAGCCCATGATTTGCTGTTTTTGGAACCATCATATTAAAGACACCATGTTGGCAAACAAGCGAAGACCTACATTGAACAATTGGAGGAAGACACTGGTATCAAAAGAAACAGGCTAAAAAAATGATGGGAGTCCATAAGGGTAGAGAATATTCATCATGCTTAGTAAGTAAGTAAGTAATTAAGTAATTGAGCAAGTAAGTAAGTAATTAAGTAAGTAAGTAAGTAAGTAAGTACGTTTAGCCATTGTTGCAATCAGAAGGTCGAGAAAGTCATTGAAATCATATATTATAAATATTTCGCCCCCATTCTCTAGCTTTGCTTAAACATCCTCATTAATAAATGATTTACCCTTATTCTGATGACAAAAACTTTGAAACAATGCCTATCTGTCCAAGGTAAATTTGACAGCTTATTGGTAAAATTGCAAATACAATTGTATTTTTAATCAAAAAAGAGAAAATTTCCATCAAATAAAATGAAAAGGTAGGAATATATATCTGAATTGAATTGCAGTTTACCTTGGTTGTCTGATGGCATAGGTATATCAACAGGAAGTGGTGAGCTATCACGCTTTTCCCAAGCACCAGCAAATAGGTTGTTAACATGCCTTGTAATGTACCTGAAAGCAAAATCGTCATCATGTCAAAATGTGACACTGCCAATAATTTCCAAATAATGGTCAGTTTTAACTGTAATGGAGAAAAGACTCTTCCTAGAAGTTAACTACCTAAATAAGGCAATGAATCTGTTACTTGAGATGCTCATTAGGTGGGCGCAGAGGAAAAATAACACCTATGGCAGTTGAAGGAAAGATTGAAAGAAAAAATTTGTCTTTGTCAGAAAGAATAAACAGTAGCTATGAATGAAAGTTGCCATTAAATGTAAAATATGAAGATCAGAAGAGAGAATGATCACTTACCAATTGACAATTTTTGGAAGCAAACCAACAGGATTCTCCTGAAATGATAAAAAGTAGCTCTTGATAAAAAAGATTTAAATGTAGAAGAGGCACTGCAAATAAAAATACAGATAGGGTTTTCATCACCTGTATCGTAATGGCAATAACAGCTAGATGTGTGAATATAATGAACAAAATAAAGTTTTTCTTTCTTTTTCAGCTGTTGCCTGATGATTGTATAAAGCATCAAGCTCGGAGTTGCAACTTAGAACCATGCAACTCAGAATCAATAAACCAAAGCCTATACACCTTTGCCTACAAAACATCCAGTACTATATGACAAACTGATAAGACTAATTTCATTTCTATCAACCTATGCAAATAAGACTTAGCTGGTTTCAATAAAACATTACCTACATTTGACTAACAGATAAAGGAAGGTCTGATCCTCTTCAAAAGATAAAAACAATCTTTTGGCAGTAAAAAAATCAAAAATGGTCTTGAAAAAAGCAAACATTTTGAAAAATTCTAGAGCTTTTGGTTGGACACACTTCAAGGTATAAAACAGCAGAACATAGATCAAAACCTCTAAGCTAGGAAATATATATACTAAGTCTTGGATCGGAATAGGCCAATCGGAATAGGCCATTCGGAATAGGCCAATCAGAAAGGCAAGCACATGATGGTAAAGGTTGCGTAATCAGTGCTGCTTACCTATTGAAATATCACTAGTGGAGCCCTAAGGTAAAAACAAACTCCTTCTGTCTACACAATAGCTGCTTTTCTTGTAAACGTACATTGGGTACCAAATAGCTGGTTTTTCTAAGTCATTTAAGATAAAGGAACCATCAATGTAAAAGCTATACAAGAAAAACTATTCAATAGTGCAAGAATGTTACATAAGACTTAAGATATCAGGTGTGAAAATAAAAATGTCATATTAATACCTTTATTCCAGCTTCCCTTTTAACTAAATGGTATGGGTAAAGAACATCAATTGGGAACTCTACAAAAACTGGTCCTAAAAAGAACAAAAATCTTGGAAAAATTCTGGGATATCAAAAGTTATCAGCATCTCAAATTCAACATCTCAAAAGCTTTGTGAGTCAGCAACACTGATTGAATGTTGACTTTCATTAACACATGGAGTGATTATCATCTAGTTATGAATATAATTATAGAACTTTGATAATAAAAACTATGACTGATGGGTATTATGATTATTATGAAAGTCAAACCTGGTGTCCCAGACTGAGCTGCCTGTAATGCCTTTTTCAGTGTTGGTATGATGTCAGCAACTCTGAAAGGTTAAAAACATACCAAAATTACTTGAAACCAATGTAGACAATGTCAGCAAAATACAATTCAAAATAAGGGACTTTCACTGCTGCTTTCTAAACATATCTTAACACTGTTATGAAAACATAAACAAAAAGATCATTTGAGCAGTTTTAGTTAGCATTATCCTTATATATATTATATACATATACATATATATTCCAGATTGTGTTGTCGCAATCTGGAATATGTATATATATATATATGGAATATGTATACAAACTTCACAAACAAACCAGCATGCCGGCTAATCAACCCCACCAAGTCTGAGATAGGCAAAATCAGCAAGACGATACTCGATCGAATCAACCACAAAATCACCAATTCGCATAAATTCAATCAATGGAAGAACACAACATCGGTAATCGAATGGTTTAAAGCCACCGAAAGCAAACATAACAACACCTTCATCAGCTTCGATGTTGTAGACTTCTACCCTTCAATCAGCCAAGAACTCCTAAACAGAGCACTCGACTTCGCCTCAGACTATGACAATATCACAACTGACGAACGTAACATCATCATTCATGCCAAAAACTCCATCCTTGTTCACAAAAATCAACCATGGAAAAAGAAAAATAACACCACGTTTGATGTTACAATGGGCAGCTACGACGGTGCTGAAACATGCGAGTTGGTTGGAAGCTTTCTGCTGTCACAACTACAACACCTAGACATCAATGTTGGACTATACCGAGACGACGGACTAGCCATTTCAAACTCACCACCAAGAGTCACCGAAAATATCAAAAAGAAAATATGTCAAATTTTTAGCCACAACGGACTACGCATCACGATAGAAGCCAACAAACAGATCATCAACTTCCTAGACGTCACCCTCAACCTGAAAAAAGGTACCTTCCAGCCATACACAAAGCCTGACACCATCCTTCAGTATGTCCATCGCGAGAGCAACCACCCAATAACCACAGCAAAGCATATACCAATCGGCATCAACAAACGTCTGTCATCACTTTCCT